AGGGGACTTACACGTTTGGAAAAATGAACGCTGCCGCAATTTAGCGAAACGAAAAGCCATATCAACAAACAAGAAAGTACTAGTGGCATATTTCAGCATACCTTCCGCCGTTAACAGGGGACTTATACGTTTGGAGAAATGAACGCTGCCGCAATTTAGCGAAACGAGAAGCCATATCAACAAACAAGAAAGTACTAGTGGCATATTTCAGCATACCTTCCGCCGTTAACAGGGGACTTACACGTTTGGAAAAATGAACGCTGTCGCAATTTAGCGAAACGAAAAGCCATATCAACAAACAAGAAAGTACTAGTGGCATATTTCAGCATACCTTCCGCCGTTAACAGGGGACTTATACGTTTGGAGAAATGAACGCTGCCGCAATTTAGCGAAACGAAAAGCCATATCAACAAACAAGAAAGTACTAGTGGCATATTTCAGCATACCTTCCGCCGTTAACAGGGGACTTATACGTTTGGAGAAATGAACGCTGCCGCAATTTAGCGAAACGAAAAGCCATATCAACAAACAAGAAAGTACTAGTGGCATATTTCAGCATACCTTCCGCCGTTAACAGAGGACCTTAAGTTTAGAGAAATAAACGCTGCCGAAAAAATGAACGCTACCGAAAAAATGGACGCTGCCGAAAAAATGAACGCCACCGAAAAAATGAACGCTACCGAAAAAATGAACGCTACCGAAAAAATGAACGCTACCGAAAAAATGAACGCTACCGAAAAAATGTACGCGGCCGAAAAAATGAACGCTACCGAAAAAATGAACGCTACCGAAAAAATGAACGCTGCCGAAAAAATGAACGCTACCGAAAAAATGAACGCTACCGCGGTTAGCAAATCGAAAAGTGATATCAACAAGCAGAAACAGAGGACCTTAAGTTGACCATAAGAAAACCATATCATGAAATATGCTTAAATGCACTTATCTTTCCGTTTGCCAAGGGTGATTTGTGTTGATTGATCCACAGTTGCTCATCATGAGGATCTGCTTTAGTTTTTGGCCTTGTCACATTTGAACTGAGTAATCTGTTAGAACAGAATTATCAAAAACTTTGTCACTACACTACTTTCTATCAATTAGTTAATATGGAAAATATGGTAGCAAAAAATTGTTGCTTAGTTAATGTAATAATAAAATACTTTAAGAGATAAAATACAAGTCGAATATAAAGATAAAAAAATAAAATAAAATAATATTTTTTAATAGTTGATAATGTTGAATATTCTGTAAGATCAAGTCTTTACTTTATGGATGCATGAAGATGACAATAATAATAAACTAAATTGTGAAAAAAATAAGACGAGTACATGCTTTGTGGCTTAAAAAATGTAAGAAGTATTTACTATTTATGATATTAAAATATATATAGACAACACCAGATAGTATTTGGTTTCTATAAAGGCCTGAAACTGTCATATAAAAAGGATTATAGTGTGATAGTCCAAAAGCAGTTGATCTTGAATAACATAAAATTTTTTTCATTTTTTAAATCTATCCTAAATTTATCCAAAATTTGTAATAACTCCAGAAGCCAGGCTTTTCAACCTGAATTTGCACAGGCTAATAATTAGCCGCTAATTAATTAATGCACAGGGCAGCTAGATTAACAAACACTTCCATATGTAGCTACATGGTACGGGGGGGGTTGATAAAAATCGGAAGAAAATTTTTTAAATAGGCCTCTCCATACGGCTGATTTACATCAAAGTACTAAGTAATGAACGTTTTTGTGTTCAATATCGAGGTAAGCAATAGGGCTATCTATTCGAGCGAAAATAAGCCGTTCATTTCGAACGAAAATAAGCCGCAGCTTAAATAAGTCGCGAACAGCGCGTTTATATTATTCCGAATTGGTCGCATGCAAAAACTCGTACCTGCACTCGTATAAACGACTCAACTTCATGCCGAACACCAATGTTTGATTTAGGGTTTGGTCGCCGCGACAAAAAAACATTTGTAAAAATTGAACGTTGCATTTATTATATTTAATAACAAGACGGGCGAAGCGAAAATATGGCCGAACACGAGGTCGAATTCAACACAGAAATTCAGTTAATCCCTTTTATGCTATTAATGTGGAGTACCTTTAGTTACAATAAAGCACAAGAACATACCTCTTTTCCGAGTTTGCCAGACTACCCAGGGTTTATGGGGCTAGGTAGAGGTAGTGATGATTTTTGGAACTTCAATGCACTTGACTTTTTCAGTCTTGAATATAGCTTTGACAGGCGATTTATTAATTTTGCTTGCTATAAGCCTAAAACGACAGAAATGAACAGCTATTGTAAAACAAGTACGATTGTACTATAATGGACCAGGAACTGCGTAACCAAGTTTAATTTCTGAACTGCATTGTATTTATAACAATGAAGAGGACAATGTATTTCTAATCTTTGCGTTTACTTATGCAGGGTGTCTCAAAAAAGCACGAATATTAATATTGTTCGGGTTCGCACCACAGTTCAGCTAAATGACTTTTAGCATTTTAAATGACGATTATGAGCCATTTTCAATTCCCAGAGGCGCTTATCTATTGTGCTTTAGAGCTGTATTGATGACTTGCATATTTAAGTGGTTGCATTTTTTTTTATACAGCCTGTATACAGGGTGTCTCAAAAAAAACGCAACCACTTAATATTCTAAAATTCATATTGTTTATAAGCTCAATAGATTTTATGCCCCTGGGATTTTAAAATGGCTTCTAATCGCACAGTTCAACTGCTAGTAGTCAAATCAGCTAAACTAATAATGGTGCAGCTAACAACTGAACAACGAGTTTTTATTGTCGTGCATGATAACTTGAATGCTAACTGTCGACCTTGTAAAATAAATTGTAAATAAAATTTTACTCGTTAAATACTTTCAATTCAGCTCGTTGGTTTACGCACCCGACTTTGTTTACCGACGATTGTGCCGCTAGAATATGATTACAAGCTTTCTCGCATTCCAGGGGCCAAACGTCTTTTGTCAGTTTTGTGTTGTAGAACAAAGAGGATATTCATGAATATTAAGTGGTTGCGTTTTTTTTTATACACCCTGTATAGGCTGAATATTAATGATATGTATATATTATTTGCTGCAAATATATCAAGAATTGCTTGTAACTTGCTTCAAAGGTCAAAAGTAAAAATTTGAACTCCGTCAATCGATGCGGAATATTGCTTAGAATAATTGTGCCAAGTACGTTTCATTCCGATCAAACAAGTAATGCTAGAGCCTTAGGTTTTTTTAAAGAATTTCAACCAACAATTTCAACCTAAAGTACAGTCAGAATATCATTTCCAACAATTTCTTTGCGAATAGCAAAAAACACTTGTAAAAATTGAACGTTGCAAATTTCAATTAGTGTAACAAGACGGGCGAAGCGAAAATATGGCCGAACACGAGGTCGAATTCAACACAGAAATTCAGTTAATCACTTTTATGCCGTTAATGTGGAGTAACTTACAATAAAGCACAAGAACGTACCTCTTTTTTTGCCAGGCTACCCAGGGTTTATGGGGCTAGGTAGAGGTAGTGATGATTTTTGGAACTTCAATGCACTTGACTTTTTCAGTCTTGAATATAGCTTTGACGAGCGATTTATTAGTTTTGCTTGCTTTAAGCCTAAAACGACAGAAATGAACAGCTATTGTGAAACAATTTCAACCTAAAGTGCAGTCAGAATATCATATCCAAGCATTTCTTTGCGAATAACAAAAAACATTTGTAAAAATTGTTGCAAATACGTTGCAAATTTCAATTATTGTAAAAAGACGGGCGAAGCGAAAATATGGCCGAACACGAGGTCGAATTCAACACAGAAATTCAGTTGATAACTTTTAAGCCATGTATGTGGAGTATCTTACAATAAAGCACAAGAACATACCTCTTTTTTGCCAGGCTACCCAGTTTTAAAAACCTGAATTTAATGAATTTATTGAACTTTTTACAGTAATTCTTGTTCTCAAACAGTAATACCACAACGAAATTTTGAAAATGCCCCGCTCGCGCCGGCGAGCTCTCACTCGTCTCACATCAATCACATGTTAAAAATACTGTCACATGACAACGAATCACTAATCCTATTGGACAAATAAAAAATTATTATTCTGATGTGGTCGGTTGTACAAAACAAAAAGCTGGAAAGCGCTATCCATCGAATAAGGATCGGTTTTTTAATCGCTCTATATTATTTTCGACTTTTCTATAATCGCACTATAATTTTCTAATCAAAAATAATTAAAAAACATAATAAAAACCTCAAAGAACAAATAAACAAACTCCTGCACCTGGATTATTCTTTTTTCGCCATGTCACCCCCGCTTCGTTTATCGCCTTTTTGCGGCATGTTGTCGGCAATCGTCAAAATACGATTCACATTCGGCCAAGCCCGCGATATCCGACCGCTGAACAACAACAAAGTATTTTCATTTGCTACAAAACGTATTTTAAAAATGTGTTTTTTGTAAAATACATACCTTTATAATGTTATGTGTCAACAGGTTAGGCTTCAACAAATTGCTGGAACATGATAACAATGTTGCTAGGGTGTGGAGCACAACATATTTCAGTGCTGTATTTATATATCAACCAACCGGGAAGAACCTGTGGGCTTCTTTGCTGTGTAAACTTACCCTGGGGTATTGGAGTAATATTGACGCTGAGTCAAGTGGCAACCAGCATCAAGAAATATTTGGTTTTTCGGTACATGTATGTAATCAATTAGAGTGTTCAACTTTGAACCTTCCTCACAAACCTCATTCAAAGCAAACCTTCCTCCGGGTGTTATCCGCAGCTTTTTTGCAACTCTGGGATTTTTTTAGAAAGGGTTTTATACATGCAGCATGTATAAAAAATCCGCAACACTTAATATTCATAAATATTCGCTTCTTTTCGAAAACGAAGTAACGTAGCCCCCGGAAATTATTAAGGTTGTGTACTGTTTTATACACTGTATAGATTTGCATACTGTTTTTATAGTAACACTCAGTGTGACTAGACATGTTCAATTTATTCTATTTAACCATCCACATTGCTTTCTACCACGCTATTGCACAAAGTTGTTAGGGTCATTCTCTCGTATTTTTTTAGGTACGTATTTTTTTAAGAACTTTGATGACCTGGTTAGGACTCTCTAGAAAATTATTATTCTATATGATGATGAAATATAAGAAACACTAGGACTTGAAACTGTCAGCCTTAAGATTTTAAAAATGAATGTTAAATTTTAACATGATGATGCAGTTTGACCAGATATAACTCTGAGGTGCATGTTTCAGCCTTTCAACTATATCTTTGTTCATTCAATATTGGTCAAGCTACAGCAGAATGATGAAAACTGTGAACAATTTCTTCCATGTCGGTAGCCCGCATTACAGGTTGAATAAACTCCTCGTGAAAACAAGGCCTATTGCATGACGTACGATATAAACCGGTTTTAACCTGTACAAATCACTACCACAAAGCCTGGTTTCATAGTATTCAATGATTCAATACACTATAAAGCCATTTTTCTTCCTTCAAGACTGATTTCAACAGCACGTTGTTTCGTCACACCTTTCTTTTCGTTGAGTTTACGCTTTTGTTTTTCAAAACGATTTAAAGTTTTCTTTGAAGACTAAAAGGGAGGAAGGCGCAAATAAAAATATTGAACATTTCAAAAAATCGCGGCAGAACTTGGCGACCAATATTTGTTTTGTGTTAGCCCCCTCCGGGTAGAAAGGGGAGTACAATGTTTAAGGTAACGATTTTAGTCATGATTTCTGGAATAAATTACCTTTGAGAAGTCAACATAATCTATGTTGCTTTTCGGTCGAACAACGTAGTCTTTATTTGACGGGGCTGGAACTCTCGCACGCATACACCAACCTTTTTCGCCTGGACGGAGAGCCCTGTGACAAACATAGACTCATATAGGCATCATATAAACAAACCCCCGCGGTATGAACTTAATTTACATGTCTGATCGTAGAAATCATGTAGGCTTGCTTCAACATGTCGCAACTTTGGAGTACTATATACAGTCTATATGATTTACGATAACAAATACTTGCTTTGAATCTGATTTTATAGCGTTCTCGATCCTCTTTGGGGTTTTTCTCCCATCAACACCGTCGCTGCTGTAAATGTACGGATGGAAGTAATTGTAAGAACTGCAAATTCTGCAACGTGATTGGTAAGCGGAAACAACGTCTTTGCAACGACGTTTTTCGCTGACCAATCACGATGCGAGATCCCCAGTTTCACTTCGCGTCGCGCAAACAAGTTTTCGTAGTGGAAAACGGGCTTTAGTAAAAGCTGGGTCTAGTTTGCACTACACACAGTCAAGCTTTTGCCAATACTGTGAATACGAGTATTATCCATACCTTAATCTCCTTCGTTTTGACATATTTGCGTAATCCCGCTCTTCTCTCTCCTCTCTCGTCATTGACTTGAAGTTTGCTGTCACTCCAAATATTGGTCTTGACCACTCACCTGAGATATAACACAACAAATTCATTAATTAACAACGTTTAGAGATGGAAACGGGGATCTCTTGTTAAAATTAGAATTGATTGAATGATAGTAGAAGAGCAATGTCACAACCAGGTCTGCTTACGATGCTTGTAGAATATGCATGGGGGGAAATTGGCCCTTGCATATGTAGTTAATTCAAGGTTAGTTTGCTGATCTTTCGATTTTCTGAGCTACATAACGGCCTGTTTTTTATAGAGAGACACCAGGATTCCTACAAGTGACTTATATATAATTTTAACATTGGAGTGATGTTTCCTACATTTCCACCAAAAATACTTCATTTTCTAAAAAATCACCCTGCTTATTCATGACACATACTGTACGGATGGAGACATTGATTCCCATTAAAAAGTATAATACATTGCCTGTTCACAGGTCGATAGATCGCAAGTCATCTGTTCGTAAATATTATGTTAAAAATTTCAATGTATTTAACGTTATACTGTTTTCATATTACAACACTTACTTATAATTTTCCCAGCGCGTTCCTTGTTCTTCCTGGTTTCTTTGGGATGTCTAAACAGGTACATGACAGCTTTACCAATCCCACAGACCTTCAAAGCTCCACTATCCACTGGAGGAAGCTATCACATAAATAAATGCAAAGTAAATTTACCATTTATAAATAGATTATTAGGGAATCGATCTTAGAGCCATTGGAGGAAAAGCAGGTAAAAATACTTTTGCAACAAATTGACTGAAGAAGCGAAAAGAATCACAAAAAACTACTTTCACAGCAAGCACAATTCTATGGCAAAGTAAACTTGATAAGAAGTGGGAATGTTGTTACTACGTACCTGTTCTAAAACTTTTAGTATTCCTTCTCGGATTTGGATGTGTGGTAATGAACCGTCGGGAAGTGGACTGATCCATTCCTAAAATATTACAACAAGAAATATCATCCGTATTTCTCGATATGCCACACTAACGTTTTCCAACGAATACTACATTTCCTTATAGTCGACTTAGGTTATACGCCCAAGTTACTGATGAATTATGCGACTTTACCTTTAGGACTGGGAGAACATTACTGTCTACAAATATTAGCATCAAATCAATTCTAAAACGAATATAGTATGAATGATCAGTATTTAAAGATTCGAATCAAGCAAATAAGTGTAGAAATATTTTACTTTAACATATGTTTAACGTGATGGAAAGTAGTTTTAGTTTTGGGTGAAAGAGAAGTTAGAGAAATATCTTACTTTAACATATGTTTAAGCACGGTGGGAAGTAGTTTTAGTTTCTTTGTTGCAGCTTGTCGAGCTTCATTTGCTAATCTATCTTCTTGAGCAGCTTCTTGCATTCTTTTAATAATTCCAGCAACCAAATCATCATTGTCATTTATTATATCAACATTCTAGAGAAAATGTATTATAGCATGGTTTAGGTTCAGTGGAAAGTATACCACAAAACCATATCCTGACCTAACCTACTTTTAGGTGATTTTTTCACACTTTAAAGAAAACCCTAACTATTTTCTCTGCAATTGCACTACTAACACAAAATGGCCACAAATGTTACCAGCTATGCTGTTATCTTAATTTATTATTATTTGAAATATTTTAGCTTACCTTTCTTCGTCGATGACTTTGTCTGTTTTCCTAATAAAATAATCAAATATAAAAATAATAATAATCAAACAAAATAACAATAAAAATAACAATAATCAAATACCATTGTGGTATAAAATTAAAAGTTAACATAAGTTTTAATGAACAATGTTATTCCATCTGTGATGAACCTCAAAGTTAGCATGAGTAGACAACATAAAACTTAAGACCTGCCAATGTGGTGAGCGCACAGAGAAATTTGACAAACAAAAATACAACAACAAAAATACAACAACAAAGGAACAAAACAATCACAAGTGATTTTAACATATATATCTTATTTGGTACCTCCTTCTTCTGTTGCATCATGAGGTCAAAATCAGATATAAATCTGAAAAAAAAGTATTTTGAATATACAGAAAAAACAAATATTACACAGGTGAACTAATACAAAAGAAGGTATGACAGGAAAGATAATGTTGGATTAAAAATTCTCACATTTCAGACTTTCTCTCATCATCATCATCATCACTATCGCTGTCTTGAGGGGGAGGAACAGTAAGAGACTCTTCATTGTCAGCTTTTGTTTCTGTTTCTGTTTCATGTTTTGTCTCTGTTTCAGGTTTTGAGGCTTCACCACCATCATCAGCTAATGTGTTAGAAGAGAGTTAAAAGTCATTTCATATGTACAAAAAACTGGGATGAATTACTTGAAGGCTGGCATTCATTGTGAATTGCTACCTTCTTTCTTTTCCTGTTTTGATTTATTTTTCTTCTTGATTTTTGTTGTCCCATGTAACTCATCATCTTGAAATCCCTACATAATAGATTGATGGAATGATTAGATAACAATTAATCCTTTTATAACCAGTTTCATGCATTTTCACCAAGGCAAATGAAAGCTAGGCAAATGCTTTCAGGCCAATTTTCATCTATGTATAAGCTGGTATATACTTGATTTTCTCTATGACCACATACTTTCCTCAGTAATAGGGTTAATAAATATGCATTAATTAATACAATATACAGTATCCTAACAGTACATAATTATCAGTAAAATTTATATATTGTTTAGACTCACATCAAAGTCTTCATCATCTTCGTCACTTGATCCAAAAATATCATTGATAAGTTCTCCTGTACCCCCTGCTTGCCTATATAACGTAATTAAGTAGAACAAAATGGTTGAAGAATAGATTAAAACCACATCAGATTGCTACGGTATTTACAAAACATTTATATTAAACAATTTGTTGTTAATCTTTTGTTAAACTGAGTGAACTAGCTCCAACTTACTCTTCATTGTCACCATCATTTTCTTTAGGATTATGAGAATTCTCTTTATGTGACTCTAAATGTGCAAAGTAATGTGCAATTAAAATAACTAATTGTCAGAATTAAATTACAACAGATAATAATTTGGGAGAAATGCATTTACCAAGACTGATAATTACAATTGTAATTATTGTTTTATTATACATTGCAAAAATTTATTCACCTGATATTTCCTCATGGTGATCTGTCACCAACCTTTCTTCAACCGACCCACCATGTAATAGGTCTCCATCACCAGAATTTTGTAAGATATCTTCAACAATGGCAGCTTCATCCCCAGTCAAGTCCACAGAAAGATCACTTATCTCTGTAATGTTTAACAAATCACTTTCCTCCAGATTTCCTGAATAATTTTTAGTGGATGGAATATCCATTTTCTCACTGTCATTATCTAGAGGCTCAACTGTTTCAGATGTTCTATTGCCTTCTTGTTTGTCCTTCTCATGTGAGAATGCCTCGACTTTGTCCACCGTTTCCTGTTTCTCTGGTACTTCATTAAGAGCATCAAGAGTAATTTCTTTGTTCAAATCATTTGAATCATCTTGATTCAAAGGGTTTTCTCCTGGTGAACTTGCCTTAGGCACTTCTCCTGATATTTCTTCCTTACTTCCTTCAGGTTCAGTGTTTTCCGCATCTTTGTCTATCTCAATGTCATTGCCTACCTCATCGTCTGAAATTGGTGAAATTGGTGCAAGTGGTGATATTGGTGAAACCACAGAATCATTTTCTTCTGCTTCGGGATCATTTTCTTGAGGAACATCTAACAAGAAGTTGAAATATTATCTTTGAAGGTCATTACAAAATGTAAAATTGTTAACATATAAACCACTCCATGATCATGTCTTAAGCAGTTGTCAACAATTCATTCTCGGCACACAAGAATACCTATAACTTCATATTACTCATTACTCTGTGCCCTGGGTGTTGTGTCACTGTTTGGCAGTTATTGATCAAAATATTGATATTATCTTTGCCCCAATTTCAGACATGGCATTTCCATAGGGACACAGTCACACAGATTACACTTTATTACAGATACTTTATATGTAATGTAAACAGAATAAAACTGTTTGATTCTAAAATTATTATATCTATTTTGTATTAAGATATCTACCGTGGTTAGATGGTGTTTCTTCATTCTTTTGTTCTTCATTACTTTCTTCATGTTCACTGTTTGTATGAGATATTTTTGAATCGCCATCTTGACTGCCATAGCTGCAAGGTGTAGGAGGATTTTCAACTTCTGAATGTTCGGATCCTACTTCATTCAAAGGAGACATCTCCATTTCGATGTCTGACATCGTTATAGGGCAAAAATACTTCAATAGGTTAAAAAACACACGATTTTTGGGCACTTTTAAAAAGGCCTTTATAGCTATAACTCAGATATGATTTTTTCCGGAGTCGATTTTTAAATATTTTGGCCGAGAATATTTCCCGAGAGTTGGAAGACTGGAACACATATTTCTTCGCTTATCCAAGTATCAACGCTTTATAGCCAATTAAATCGCTTCGTTTGCGGTCCCGTTTTTCTGGACAGCTCATCTACAGGCTCAACCAACGATTATTTAAACGATAAGTTATATTACAGTAAAAGATTCAAACAATTGCAAGCTCGCATAAGGAGCCAGGGGGGAGTTCAGTCCGGGAGCCGCAATTCTCGCGGCTCTGGTTAAAAACAATCCACCTATATTTAGCCCCCTTTTCAGGTCTAGCTGCGTTGCTGCGTCCCCTGAGCAGTGCGAGCACGCTTTAAAAAGGAGGCAAATTCAGAAGAAAGTGGTTGGACACCGTTGTATGCCATCCGCGGCTCTTCCTTCTCTTCCTCAAGGAAGGATGTCCTTGGCTGGGGTGTGAACACTAGGTGCAAATGAATTAACAAAGTCGGTGCCATAAACGCAGAAATATTCGACATTAGCATTCCTGAATCCGCCTCCGTCATTTAGCTAAATTCGCACTCACTTACTCCTCTCTTAGTGAAGAAAGCTCAAAACGTCGCCGGATTCTTTTTCATCTGTATCAGTAGTTCGGATCTTGAAACAAACTCACTTGACAGAATTAATAAAGAGGAGTTAAAAAACTGCTAACATTAGTATACATCTCTGTAGGGTCCTTTCTCTATGGGCACAGTTCACTTTCCTTATCCGGCTATTGTGTCATAACTACCATAATCATTTTAGGCCACCTCCTTGCCCGGGGCCAATAGCACCTTGACTCCCTCACTTTCTTACATTCTGTGCAGTTTTTATATTGATTTTTTTTTCCAGTAAAATGATACATTAGGAAACTGAAGAAAGAATGAAATACAACTAAAAAAGTCGATTTTCCCTTTCTATTCGATGAAACTTGGCCTATATCTGTGTTTAAATAACTGGTCAGCAATATAATACCGGAGCAGATAGGGCCAGTCATGGAGTGTTTTTTTAGTCAAAGATGATGACAGGCGCCCAGCGTGTGAAACTGATTGACCATGTATTCAGGTAAATTATTTTCAGCCCATGCAGAGAAATATTCACGCTGTGGGGATGGCTCGTATTTCCAATCAAAATGCGTTTATGAGTTCATCCTGAAGTGAAAGAATCTGCGTCTTGTGCTCAAAGATTGGATTCTTTAAAAAAACATGCGTCTTTTCTCGTTTCATTGCGTTTTGTTGTCTGCCTTAGCAATTCTTTATTATGCAGAACGATGTGAAGGTTAGTGGTTGTTATCTAATTTCTGTGTTTTGGTCGATTATCCTTCAAGACTTCAAGCGAAGTATCCGTCCGCAAAAAATTTAGTGTCGTATTGATAATTGATCAATCTCGTAATTATTCTATTGATGCATTTAGGTCCTAGTAGTGAGATGGCAATAGCATGCAACCCCCTGTTACCATATTTTCTCAGTTAAAAAGTAATCCTGTATAGTATCATTACAGTCAGCACGTAATATTGACAGTATTACAGTAGTTGATTACAAGTTTAATTTTGTCCCAACTGTATACGTTTACTTAGCAATTATAGGTTATCTGATACTGCACAATCTCGTGGTTGAAATTTTATAACCAAAGGTTCAATTAGTTTCAGTTTATAATATATTTGACTATCGTTACTTTGTCCTTTGTTTCGATGGCTCAGTTTATGCAGGTCGGAATGACTGAGTGGAAGACTGTTGCAACAGCTAAAACCTGGCAAGGAACTTCCTCCACAAAGGAAGATCTAGTCGGGAAGGACGTTTTAGGTCATTGCAATGTGAACTCTTTATACTGCAGTACTTTGTATCAGTCTATTTCACCGCGTGCAATAATAAACGAATCTAATTTTCTCCGGTCTCAGAAAAGGAGGGAAGGTCTAAACGTATTAAGGCGTATTTCCACGTCATCCCCTGTAAAAAAAACTATTTATCCAACAACTGCAGTGGTATACAGGTAGTCTAGGCTATCATTAAAGCTGAAGTATTTTCACTAGTATTATTTAATTATATGGTTACAATATCAGCTGAATTTTACTAAATTTTAGCCTCCGATATATTATTGTTTGTAAGTGTCGTTTGAAGCTTTAACCCTATAACTTAATTCCGGAGTTTCCTCATTATTTTGTAATTTTTGTTTTATAGGATTAACTATAAAAATCAAACTGAAAGAAGATGTTGTCCTAAAGATAACTTTGATTGGAAAGAAAACAAAGAATACTACAGACACAAAGATCAATTTACCTTACACTGATAAAGAACAATGGGAAAAACTTCGCAGTAATATGATTGGAAACAGCTCTGAAGCAAATATGGATAACGCAACTTCATTATTTGATCGCATTGTTATCACAAATGCATTTGCACGATGTAAGTTTATCATGAATTTTGGACGGTTCCCGCCCAGGACGCTTATATATATATAAAAGAGCCCTTCGCGCGTCCAGGGTGAACATTCCTGGCGGAGCAAATTTAAGGGAACGACAAAACATGAAAACTTAAAAACAGTGAGTCTACAGTTCACTTGCCCTACTTCTGCAGTCGGCTAGCCCGCGAGACGAAATATTTGGCCTACCTATTTTACTGTAGCGCAAACTGGCATACATGCATGCATCTTGCTTTGCAAATTACATAACTACTATATATAAACAGTTATTCTTTACCTTAAATTCAGCGAAATCAAATGATGGCCGGTTTCTGTACCAAGGTGATATTTTAATGGATGCTGATAGTTTCCTGCCTAATACGAGGAAAAAAAGAGCCATAATTGCCTTTGATTATTTTCGATGGAACGTCAAACAAGGAGTACCTTATAAATTACATTCATCTTTGGATGGTTAGTATCGCCCATAGTGCGTTAGGAAGACATTGTACGCATAAATGCATGAACTTTTCAGTTAAATTAACTGCCTTTCTATAAATATTACAAAGCAAATTCTTAACTCTATTCCCACATTAGTTAACCTTTGAGGTTAATCATCATTTCTACGATTTCACTATACAAGGTGCACTTGAAAGTTTCATTTCATTCATTTGTTGTACCTTTAGCCGCCAGTCGCCGCGTTATTCTTAGTGCAATGAGAGAATGGGAAGAATCTTTGCCCTGTATAAAATGGCGAGTAAAAACTGCTGACGATGTAGATTTCGTTCACTTTTTTAAAGGTGATGGGTAAGTAGGCAGAACTGTGACCATCTGGGAGAAACTACAGTTTAAACCCATGGTAAATGCTCTTAGAGTGGAATTGCATTGCATTCATTGCATAAACCTAAATATTTTTCAGATGCTTTTCTCAGGTCGGGCGTACTGGTAGCGAACAGTCATTATCCATAGGCAAAGGTTGCGCAGTTCATGGCATTGTTCTCCATGAGATGGGTAAGGCTGCGTTCAGATTGAGTGCGGCGCTGGTGCCTATCACTTTTTCTTGGCGCCAATGCTTCAAAATGAAGGCATCCCAAGAACGGTTCTCCTCCAGATGTAGTACTCAAAAGGTCACTGTGCTCACACCAGTTGTACCGACCAGTTTTGACTTTGGGCACCAGTGTCGGGCACTCTCTTCTACTAGACTCACCTACAATGTAGTTAGAGTTTTTCACAAATTTCATTCGCTCCATTTGCTTTATTTTTTGCAAAACCTCTAGGCCATGCTCTGGGGATTTTCCACGAACAGTCACGTCCAGATAGAGATGATTACGTGGAAATAGTGAAAGAAAATATCCTGGAAGGTAACTATCACTTTCAGGTTCAATCCGTGATCAAAACAAATTATTATGGATTCATAAAATAGTAAAAAACGTCAGAATAAACTTAATTAGGTCTCTTGCATGTGTATGAATAGCTTAGAGTTTAATTTCTCTTTCTAAGACTAAGTATATTACAAATTTACAATGTCAATGTAATGAGTCTAAATTCACTACATTATTGTAGCAATAATAGTCTATAGAGCACGAGCAATCGTAACAGAAAAGAACAATTTTCTGCATGCATCTTCTAAAGATACGTGTTCTTAACACACATCTTTGCTATCTAGGTTTTGAGTCGCAATTTGAAAAATTCGGTGAGGAGGCTATCAACAGTTACAATATCTCATATGATTACTCTTCAATCATGCATTATTCGGCAACGGCATTTGCAAAACAAAGAGGATTAGTTACGATAGAGCCACGACCGAAACGCGACATCAAATTTGGTCAACGTCTTCACCTGAGTCCTAGTGATATCAGACAGGCAAGAGCTATGTATCGCTGTGAAGACACGGAGTTTAACGCGACTCCGGGCTCCACAACTACCCCTAAACCCACAACTACCCCCAAACCTACAACTATGCGTAAACCCACGACATCAAAAACGACAACTACCCCCAAACCGACAACATTAAAACCCACAACAGCCCCAACACCAACAACAGAGCTAGAACTATCTAGTGGCACACCACCTGATGATATAACTGAAACTACAACATTTGAAAAACAAACAGACACGGTCACTATGCAAACATCTACCCCCAAACCTACAACATTAAAACCCACAACAGCCCCAACACCAACAACAGAGCTAGAACTATCTAGTGGCACACCACCTGATGATATAACCGAAACTACAACATTTGAAAAACAAACAGACACGGTCACCATGCAAACAACAACACAACCAACAGAATCGCCAATCATCAGTACACCCAAAATAGAAAAACCAACGATTGCCACAGGCGTCGTTGAAACCCAAGAACTAAAAACCGATGCAGGAGTAGTCGCTACAACAGATACACCAAACTTGACAACCCAAAGACAAACGAAACCTGTTACATTACCATCCAAACCATCCAAACCTGAAGGTAAGCGGTTATGGTTGACAAATAAGTCACATGTCTTACAAACTAACAGATGCTATCTGGGCAACTCAGCCAGTACAGGGAATTCTGCGAGACATACATGAAATACTGCTTTTCTACACCGTTGGTATGAAAATACATACGTTATACCATGCAGTCAAGTATCAACAACCAAAGGCTGGTGAAAGCAGCCTTACAACGTAAACTGAGGTATAATCTTGTTATGTAATGATTTATGTATACTCATGTGTTTGTAATAGATTGCGTTGATCTGTTGTCCACTTGTTACAAATGGATCCGCAAAGGCTATTGCTCACCATCATCACCAAACTATTGTTATATGAAGTACTTCTGCAGTAAAACTTGTCAAATTTGGAGAAATTCGGAGTTAAGCATGGGAGGTAGGTTCTGTATCAGGGGGTGTATGCGGGGCTCGGTGCATCATGGTGTGAAATAATCAGTCCTATATAGCATTGTATTTTTTCTGTGACTGAATCTCGTGACTTACCCCCAAATGATGGGCAATCAATCTGTCTCTACACTCGACCAAAACAGCACACTTGATATCCTCCTTCTTTTGTTGCACCTGATCGTCAACTGAAAACTTTCAATCCGGCACGTCATTGCAAACATGCAATTGGCGAAACGTGAATATTGTGGCATACCCGTCATAAAATGTAAATATACGAGTATAAAAAGGCCTTTCGAAGTCCCCTATCCAGAAAAAAGTCGACGCAAAAAATTTCATGACGCTAGTTCCAAAGAAACAGACCCCCCTCTTGTAACAGAGTTTGCAATATTATATACACTTTAACTAGTACGCGAAAATCGTATTTATCAGATGTTTAAATGTTTCAGCAACTTGTGTTGATCTGCTTTCTGATTGCGAGGCAAAGGCACTAACAGGTCAATGTACTGATTTGGATAATCGTGAATACATGGAAAATATGTGCTGTGAATCATGCCGTCAGGAAAATTGTATTGACGAAGATCCTTCCTGCGGAGACTGGGCTACATCTGTACGACTGTGCTCCCTTTACCCGTATTTGCAGAAACGCTGTAAAAAGAGCTGCAATTTGTGTGAGATCTGAAAAATTTTAGACTCTGAATTAAGTAAAATATCCTCGTTCTACGAACTGCATCTTATATCTGAAACATAGAAGCTCCGAGAGGTTTGTGATTTTCATAGGCATAGCCGCATAGGTTGTTAAAACTATAGACATATATAAATTTAGATTTTTTGTTCTAAAATGGGTATACTGGTATATATGGAATAATAAACGTAATTCGAAAACACTGCATAATAAAATGCTCTCAAATTCTTGAAATACCATAGTAGCTAGTTTGTCTCAATGTTTACGTAAAGAGAGTTTAAAGCTCGAACAGCGATGATTCCCCCTGGTTAAAACGAGCAGTTATGGCACGAAAACGAGACCATTGAGGTACGGTAATCTCTATTACATTAGATAAAAATCTAAGAAATCCATAATCATAAAAAAACGTGCCGTATATGAAGTAAATTTAAGTTAATTTTGTCAGCGCTTACACTAAAGTATATTTACAAAATAAATAGTATATATTAATTTTAAAATGGTAAAGTGTATATTTTTTGCAAAGGAAAGTTTTATGGTCAAAAAGGTTTCTTATCTTCATTATTGCATGGTATATCAAAAATAATCACAACAATGGTTCTGTGTGAATAAAATATTATTTCTACATGTTTTGTGTAAACCCCATTTGATATATTACATTAACAACGAAAAAAGAAACAGCATGGTAGTCTGAAGATGGACAAAAATCATTGCTTGATATGATTGCCTAACAAAGTAGTGTAGTAGTGAGTCTTTCATGCATAAACAGTGGAAATATTATTTTCTTCGATCACTTTCTCTCTCTCGTCAGATTTCTATCATATATCATGGTTGTAGACAAATCACAAGCTCATGATGTTCATCAGTCTTTCTCACAACATCATAAACTAATGTGACCGTGGATATTGACCTTGACACCAATGCCTTGCTGTGTGTCAACAAGTAACAAACCAGAAAACATTGCTTGAAATATTCACATTATGCGGTGATGAAGGTAGCTGAAGCGGCGGACAAACCAACCCTCCTAAATGTGTTAAAAAAGCCATAAATAGAAAATAAGAAATATATAGAATTAGGATTTGGCAGAATTATTCAGAAAATAGCAACTTTAATTAATTATAAACTTTGATCTAATAATGTTACACCCAAAATAGTAATTAACACCCATGCAATATTTCATCAATGTCTGAAGACCATACTAAGTTAAAAAACATAAGGAAAATAGCAATTTATTATATCTAATTTAGTGATAGACACTCACGCTTCTTTGAGAAACACCTCTAAGGTAATTTCATCCATATCAGCACCTGGCGGGTTTCTATTGATTTCTTTAACACCTAAGTTTTCAAGGGCTAAAAAATTGGAATGTAAAATTAAGATTTCTAATGGTAGCTCTTGATCACCGCAATAAAGGTCTAGTTTTTTGGCTGACAAAATAATACAGGTACTTACCACGTTTATATTGTTCATAGTTGATATAACCATGATTTGATATATCCAACATTCCGAATAAGGACCTGATATTGTTGTCATCAAACAAACATGGATGATTCATTGCTATTGTTCTGGAGTCCATTAATTTCTTCAGATGAGAAACAATGAATGCTTTGGGATTTTCTGCAACAATTCAAAACACCCAGTCTCCACTGTAAATTTGTTTCCCTGAAGACAACTTCTATTACTGCCCAAATGCACTGGCTTTGCATGAATAATTTGTGCGAAGTCTGCAACAAGCCTAATGTTTTGCCATTTGAATGTTGGGCTTTTGCAGATGAATAAAAAATGTGGTTCTGACAGACAGACACAGATTACAGATACAATTGCGTCTAAAATTTGGCACTAATGAATCGGTAACATCATGTGATTCTCAAATACAACTGTTAAATATTGTTATATACATTCGTGAATCTAATGTATTACTACAGAGACAGAATATCATACGTTAATAACCATAAATAAGAAAAAATGTTAAATTTGTGAACCAGTCTAAAGCGCCTTCCTAGTTTTTGTATTTACTATTTAGTTTTAAAGTTTTTTAATGCGCAAAAATCAACCTGAGTTAAAATTACAACTTACCGGGCCTTTCAAATACTAAAGCGGCTGTAATATTTTTAAATAACTCCACAATTTTATGTTTAGCAAGATATTCTTGCGCTGTCTTTTCTCCACTATCCTCCATATTCGACATGTTTAGTCAATAATGCCCATTTGCGTGTTGCTAGGTGACTGGTGACAAGTTAACAATATTGTAATGCTTTGCTCCCCCCCTGCGCCGGTAACGTATAGACGGTAGTCACGGTATAGTCACATTACTGACATTAGTTAGGTTGCTAGAGGTGGAGGTTGCTAGAGGTGGAGGTTGCTAGAGGTTATGGAAGCATGTCTAAGGTGGCATATCTCTAAACAAAAAATAAGGGAAGGTATCTGGCCCTTATACCCCGCGAGTACACAGTTTTTCACCAGGGTGGACCATACCCATGAACATATGAAGAAACCAATCACAATTTGTCTTAAAAAACAAAGTTAGGACAAAGATAAATATAAATAATGATTTTAAGAATTAAAATAATGGACAATATTTTGAAGTGAGACGATGAAAACCAACCTAAACTTCGTGTTTGGTTTGATCATAGATTACTTGTAATTCAAATGTTCTCATTTACAAATAATTACACTATTATACACATGTTGGGCGTCACTTTATCCAAACAATGGTCAATGAGTCTGAGTAGTGTACGGTATTTTTCTCACATTCTTTGAATTGTGTATTATTACTACCGTTCAACTATGACTATGTCTATGCAAAACGTAGTTACAAGTTTTATTCAATTCATTGGCCTCTGGACTGTTACCAAATCTGAACAATATTGTGCAATTTTGATATATCGTACTATCGTAGATCTCGTAGACCTAAGTTTTTTCGCTGTGCACGCGTGTTTCGATTCATATCTTAGTTACGTGTTGCACCCGGCTTACATTACAAATCGATACATTGCGCGAAGGAGTGCGAGTGTGCGTACCAGGTCGCCTGGATTTTCCATTCTAAAAAGTTAGATACTTCAATCCTTTTAAAACATCTCCGCTCAATATAGATCATATCATACTTGTTGGAGGAAGGATCTCATCACCCGGTTCAAAATCAAGCTAAAATTCTCATTCATTTATTAGCTAAATTTCTTCCTCTTCTTCGTGCCGAAGAGAAGGTCGCAAAGAAGCTCTTGTTAACCCCCAAAACTTGTTTGGCACCAACTTCTTGTTGACTGCTGTAAATTTCCAGCCCATATGTTTTCCACAATGCCTGCATTCCGCTATGGTCCATGCATAACTGCAAAAAAGTAAAATAAAGAGGTACAAAGCGAACCCATGCAGCCATTTACTGATAGTTAATTGTTATACGTTTTTTAGTGATATAGCCTATTTTGCGCATGCGTCATGTGAAAGCTCTGTGAAAAACAATGCCTAAACTTAATTCTTGTAATTTCCACTGCTTTCGAATAAAAATGTCTGAACAAAATACAACATAGTTTTTATCATGCTACTTATCCAAGCCCCTCTGTGCATGAAAGATCATCGTGCAAGTCTCTTGTCACTCTATCAGCCACGTCAATAAGACTGAAAGCTCTGCATGCTTTGCCGCGCTCGTTTGGTATAAAAACCTACCCTGGAAACCAACTGTGCTCTGTAGAAGATGGTCCTCGCAGACGTAATCCCTTAGCTTTATGGAAAGTAACAGTTTCAAAAACGTGACCTCCTGGGTTTACGTACGCTCCCATCAGACCAGTCAAAGACATGCTACAAGTAAAAGACATGAAATATTCTACAAACATACTTTATCATCACGAACTACAGTTCATAGAGATATGGTCTGAAAACTAAGCTAAAACTTTGTTTCTTTCCTTCTGTTTATGTTAACTAAACTAACAACGCGCGCGCGCTACAATTGTTGGGCTACCTATGACTAAACTTGCACATGGTGAATGAAGTACAAAATGAATCCGTCTCAACATCCTAGCTCATTATTGTCGTTCAAGTTTTTCCGATGTCGGATCAACATCATATCATGCAAATGTATTAAACTCTTGCAATAATAACGTATCACACAAGCTGTCCGCCATCTTGGAAGGCAAGCGTCTTTTATTCTGAAACCGCTTTATTACTACGAATCCTTGGAGATAAAAAAATCTTTGAAATCACAGGAGAAGTCCCGGCACCACAATCTCAGTTGCATTCTATGTTTGCTTGCTTTTAACCAATTGTATCTTGATTTGCCGCCCAAAATGGCAAAAGGCAAAAGTTATGGACTATATCGTGCTCAACACAAAGTAAACTAACCTGAATAGGTCTTTTTTGTCTGCAATGATACTTCTACAGTCATTGCAAATCATTATACCATACTATAAAAAATATGTGATTTTTAATAACTATAGTATACCATTACCATTTACCACAGCAATTAACGTTCCAAAATAATAAGGTATTTTTATGCATGGTGGGTGGATGGTTACGTTCATATGGTGTCCAGACAATATAAGATAAAAATAAATAAAAGATCTAGAACTGATTTACCTGATCTATCCAATTATTCTCATTGTACTGTAGTTGCATCATGCTCGCATCATGTGAGCATTAATCTTATTATTCAGTTTAGAAGAGCCCAACAAGAGCTCACCTTTTGCATGATTTCCAACTGTTTTCGAAGTCTTTGTATCGGGCAGTCCATTTTTAACAAAGCATCTCTTCGATTATTATCCAAAGGTAAGTTATGAGTTACCCAATAAGAAAATTCTGTAGCTTCGGTTGGGAGAGTTTCCGTTTTCAGATTTTCAATCCAACTTTTCAATTCTTGTTTTATCCTAGCTACCAATAAATACTGCAAAAAAGGCATGAATCATATAGGTCATTTTCTAAGTTCATTATTGTTCTTACATTATGGAATCATGGATGATGTTAAAATAATTTTTTACCACACGAATTTTCATTACAAGAAAGATATATCAAGCCTGCTACAATACTGAGCCAACAAAGCCTTAATGATTGTCAGTGATAGCCACACAATAGACCTTTCTTATAATGACGTCAAACGCGGAAAGTCTGATGATACACGAAATTTAATTGGCTCCAAAAAACTATCCAGCCAATCAAACTTCGTGTAACATCATACTGTTCGCGTTTGACGTCATTATGAAAAAGGTCCATTAACCATCTTTATCTTTTTCTCAAAACGCCGAAGATCTCTTCAATTTTTTCAAGTAGCTGCTAATCCGGTATATGAAGCTCTTATCGTATAACAAAACTAAAGCTAAAGGTGGATTTCCATTTGGTGTAAAAGTCTCGCGCGATCGCTTTTTCTTGAAATAGCTACAGACAATCAGGCGGAGCTCATCCCATTAGACGAGCTTTTAAAACAAAACATATTTCAAAAGCAATCGCAAAAAATGGATCGCGCGACATTTACCACTGAATGGAAATCCTCCTTTAAGGTAATAGACATGGATAGGGGTTAATCTTTGAAATTAATCCATCTAGATTGGCAACATCACAAGGCAGGATTTGTACTGAATTCAATACTCTCTAGAATAGAGAAAAATCTATCGTTTTTCTCTGATGACATTCTTACCGGGTTGTAAAGTTCGTAAACCCAGGATGACCATGCCGAACAACTTGGAACACTCTAAGAAATAATATAAACTTGTAACAACTGTCTTAATAAGAAAAACTGTAGGTTTTTCCGCATAAAGATGTTTAAAATACCAAATTTGAGATTTCATAGTTGTAATAGTTATAATAGTTGAGGTGTAATAGTTGAGGAGTAGAGCATATATAACACTTCATATCAAGCACTACCTTGGACAAACTTTGATTTAGTCTCGCGGTGGCTTGCAAGTGACTCGTCACCAGACGAGTTGGTCTGACGCATTCTGCCAACGCATTTCTGGGATAAGCAGGCATCAATACATCTGGTAGAATACGAACTGTTCCTATTCGAGTCCTAAACAAAATTATTCGTGAACAATGAACATGAATACCATGATGACGTTGAATGTCATCCCATCTCGCGCTCAGACGACGCCTCCCACGGGATGGGACTGCGTAAGGAGACTGGGAAAGCCAGAATGAGATAGCAAGAAAACAAAATGCGATGTTAAACTAACAGAAATGTCACAATTAAAGAATGATCCCGAGAACCATTGACAGTAACCTACCCGTCCAATTGAGTTCTCAATGACAGAACTTGAAATCTCTTACGTGCCATTGCTTTGATACTTATAGTGCTAATTCCAGCCTCATTTTCCTCTTTCATGGAATAAATCTCACAAGTTGTTCCCGTTATACGCTTAATGTCCTCTGGCGAGTTCACTAAAAGGCTAGAATATATCAAAGAAAGAAGTTGACAATTTTAATTTCTCAGAAAATATATACATGATCCTTCCGATTTCAACCATATACAACTATAGTTGAAACTAACCCTCGATTGCCAGTGACAACACCAAATGTATTATCTTTGTCAAGCAAGTTCTTCATCATTGCCACAAGCTGGCAAGAAACATTGAAAAATCCCAGATGTCATATCATTCAATGACTTATCAAATGAACTGCACACATATTTTTATTATTTATTTAATCCATGCATTATGTCACCTAACATGGGTCACATATCATTTACCTGTGGATTGAAGATATACATTGGCAATGTCTGACCAGGAACGAGAAGAAGGTTTGGTAATGATATAACTGGAATTGATACGACGTTGTCTTCCTCCATGACAGTTCTTCCTGTTACTTCATCCATCTCTTCTCCTAGATACTAAAAACGTTTGATCTAAGTCAACAATTCTGGCTACTTTAGAGGCAATCTAAAGATGCCTAGGAATGACAATTTAATTTACTCAGATGATGTGAACACAGTAACGTTTTGATTCAAGAGTTTTTATTTTCGTGCCAAAACATTTCCAAAACACTGATAATTTACAATAGAAGTTGAAGCTAATTTAACAAGAAAAGTAGGGGACTAATATGGCTCTGAGTTTCATTTGTTTAGATTTTCAGACACTCAGTAAGACAGTTTCAAAGTGCACCAAAAAATTGCAAGTATGCAGGTACTAATTTTCAATACATTATTCTTAAAAAAATTGAAATAATGTCAAAATTTTGCATACTGCTCTCATGCACATCCCTTCCCTCTGGTAGAGTTAACTATAGGCTAGTTTACTTCTTAGTAAATCCATTGCTTCATGTGCACATGAGCAATTTCTAATTTGTATATTGTTGCATGATCAAAAAGGTTGCAAAAGTGATTATATCTGATCAACGTGATTATATTTTGTCGTTTTCTGTGGTAATTGTAAGTATATATATAAGCATGCACTCCCTGATATCAGCCAAAGATAAATTAACCTTTGACGCTTACAGTATGAGATGATGGAAGTGATTGATCAAATTTAATTGTTTCTTTTTTATCTTCCTCAATTGTTTCATCATCATCAGTTTCTGGAGACGCAGCTTTTATATAAAGAACAAATTAAAATGCGCATGTAAAATGCGTATTAAAAAGACATCAGGGCGATAGGCATATATTTTCAATTCTAAGAACAGAATAAGATACCATGGAAGTTCAATTCCTCCACTACATCGAGGTATTCATCATCAGAACTGTCAATATGTAATTCTTCCATTGGACCTTCATATCCATCTTCCATTTCGTCTGCCATTTTGTTTACATTTTAAAAAAACATCCCTCACAAGTAGACATCCGACGACTGACTGATTGCTGCTGTCAAAAAAGCAAACAAAAACTTACAAGTAAAACCAATCACAAGTTGCTGCGTGTGCGTTTCCTGCTGTGAAAAATATTTTAATATTTGGGAAGTACAGTGATCAATACATTTTATATCATTGATTATTTCAGTTGTCATCTGCTTTATTATATACAGCGAAGGATTATACAGCGATATTTGCAGTGTGATGCAGTGTGAAAATTTTGTCGTGATAGCCGCCGTCTTCGGTGCGTTGGTTTCTGAATTAAATCTAGTTTTGGCTGGAAAGGATTACTACAAAATCCTCGGAGTACCGCGAGATGCGAAGGAAAGACAAATTAAAAAAGCGTTTCGAAAACTTGCCATAAAATACCACCCAGACAAAAATAAGGAAAAAGATGCGGAGAGCAAATTTAGGGAGATCGCAGAAGGTAGGAACAGTAAATACAAATGAATGTTTGGGAATGAAATGTTAAATTGACATGCTGTACGGCTGTACCAATTTTTTTATCTTACGTTAATCAAAAGTAGAGTTTCGCTCTCATTTTTGTTGGGTATAAGGTTATTTTAAATATGTTTCAAATATATAAGTATATACTAAATTGATAGGACGAAACCACAATGACACGTCATGTTTCTATTTTATATACCTATTAATTTTCAATTTTACAGTATAAAGGTAGAATACTTTGTTGGTATTGTTAGCAGCTTTTAGTAATGACAATAAACTATTCCAAAAATACCTCTTCTATCAAGACCCTAATTCATATTGTCAAAGAATTCCACTTCAAGTGTAAGCTTATAATCTCCCTGGCCCCTGCCATGCCTGAGGACCATGGTCTATGAAATGAAATATGTTGATTATCAAGATACAATTAGTCAGATTTACCAATTAATTTACCAAATGGCAATAAGAATATATGCATATCTGAATCTAATGAGAATTCATGCAAAAATTCACAATCATTAAGCTACATGTAACATTTACATTTTTTTAAGCTTACGAAGTGCTATCTGACGAAAAGAAACGCCGTCAGTATGACCAGTTTGGTGAAGAAGGATTAAACGGAGAAGGTTTTAGAAGTGGATCCTTCAATTTTAATGACTTTTTCAAAGACTTTGATTTTGGTGGATTTGGTAGGGCTGGCAACAAACGTGGTAATGGTTTCAAGTTTTCATTTGGTGGTGGTTTTGATGACTTCTTCAAAATGGATGATGATGATGAAGATGATTATTTTGAGGAGGAGAGTGCTTTTGGTGGTGGCTTTGGTGATGGCTTTGGTGACTTTGGTGATGGCTTCGGTGACTCATTTTTTGGACATCATAGAAATAATCATGGGGATAATATCCACACAAGACAGATGTATAAAGAGTCATCAAGTATGTTATAATATTGTTTGCCACATGAGATAATAGTTTTCCAACAGGCTAATTAGTTTTTCAAGAAAAGGATAAGTGTGTTTGGGAGTTTGAAAGTGTCAAATTGTAGATTTTTGTTTTGTTTTAACATTGAATTTTTCTTCTTTTATTTAGGTAGTGGATCTAGACAAAACTGCCGTACAGTTACCCGAAAAATGGGTAACATGGTTACAACTTTTACAGAATGCACATAGTGTTAACTATAAAATAGTGTATATACAGTACCATGGTTTTGGGGCCATTACTGGACGTTATAAACTTCATACTTGATGTATGAAAATTACAAGTTTACACAAATAATGTGGATATACAATGTTATGTTTGTAAAATTAGTATACAATCTCCTTGTATAAATGTAATATTTGAATGTGAAATTTATGCTTATATTCTTTTGCAAGTAAATATGGTGACATTTTTTTTCTTGTTAAAAGAATTGTTAACATTAGTTGCCAAATTATTTGCAACTAGTAATTTAACTGCAGTTTAAAAGATTCAGATTGATGGTGCTTTATTCCGTGATGATTTCATTATAATGTCAAGCATGGAATGTCTGGTGTTACACAAAGTTTGATTGGTTTTTACTTTTCCAGAACAAATCAAACTTCATATGACATATTGCATCTAGTGTTGGGGCAGGTCTACAGTATTCCTTATGAAAAAAAATTGGCACCTTTTTTTACAGGGACAAGAATAGATTGTATATGATACAATAAATATTGCAAGTGTTTCAACAATAGTGCATAAATAGTACCAGACCAGTCTAGGTGAATTGGTATCAAACCTTAATTACAGCAGGTGGGCTGTTCACCTAATAGCATTGTTTAGACTGTTAGGACATTCACATAGCACTGATATTGTCGCTTCTTAATTGTCACACTGGAATACCACCAAGCCCAAGGACCTGTGTGCTGCATTGAGAGAATGCAACAAATGTTTGCAATACAGAATAATGGTTTATGGTATTCACGTTTTCTTTGCCCCTTCAACTTCCTCTACGTTTGGTAACCAAAAAGCCTGTGGTTTGCGAAAAAAGAAGAATATAAATTTTATTCAATTCACAGAAAAGATAGAAAAAGTTCATTTTACCAGAACACTTGCAAGCTGCATGCTATCTAGGTAATCCATTTTACATGTACTTTAATCAATAACTCTCAATAATTTATCCTGGTACTTACAACATTTGTACAAGCAGTCGTCATTGTCATGAACTTTGGATTAAATTTAACACAATGTGTGGGTCCTGGATGATTTCCATCTAACACAGCTACCTTCTGTCCACTATCAGCTGCCCATACATGTACACGACCATCTTTAGAACCTGTACCATGCAGAGGAATGGTTTACTATTGCTGTATTTAGATGCCATTTTACTAGCATTTAATTCATGACATGGAAGTGAAACACTACAAGGTTCAAAACCAATTTGAGGGTAATTAGAAATTTAAACTGAACTGAAAAGTGAATAACTGTAGTCTGTAAGAATTTGAAAGTTTGTGAAAAATAAAGACTGCCTATAAAACTTCTAGTCATCCAGGGTGATCACAGATATAGGGTTGAAACAAGGGTTTTATGTCCCAAACTCCCAAGTATCCCAAGTTAAATGTTGTGCTCAAGAAACAGAAGGAACCTCACCTGATATTACATACTGAGAATCTGGTGAAAAACATGCCTCAAAATATGAGGTTGGAGAACTTCCAATTCCCTGAATGAAATATGTATATCAATCATATGATATTGTTTATGAAGCAATATATTATATGGGGACATAGAAATATCAACAATGCAATTGCAATGACCTGACCTTGATATGACCTTACATTACATGATGTACGTAAAAGAATTTAGAACCAATTTCTCACCGTGAATGTGTGCAATTGTGAGCCTTGAAAAGCATCAATAAGATAAATAACTCCAGCATTAGTTGAAAGTAAGATCATTTTACCATCATTGCTAAATTTCAAATTAGTCCACTCTGTTCCAGCAGTAGTTCCTGGAATGTGGAATGTTGAAAATGGTCCCTAAAATGAACAATTAATTAAATGGTATTGAATATAAATATAAATGATAACGATGCAATTCTTTCATTAAAAATACATAATCTTGAATGAAAAATATTTTCATACAATTCCCTCAATATATCAGTGTGATGCATGCATGTACACCATCCTGTAATGGAGAGGCTCCTACCAACGAACCTGCATGAATAGTCTGAGAAATTTTTTCAATGTTGCATGAAGCCCCATACCAAAAAGGATAATTAAGCCTTTGTATTGAAACATTACTGGTCACCAAGATCAACTCACAGTGATGCCTTTTTTTGCAATTTTTACCTTGTCAAAAGATCTCAGGTCATACAGTTTTATCATCTCACTATCCACTCCAGCTGAGAAAACCAAACCTTCTGGATCAAAGGCTGCTACAGGCCTACCATTCACTTGCATTAGACCCTTTTTAAAAACATATTAATAACATATTAAAAACATACTAATTATAAATATTTCAAAATTATATAGTAGAGGATTAATCAATAACCCTCATTTGTATAAAATATTTATCAAAATCAGGGTGTGCACAAGTACATTAACAGCCTGCTTAGAGTTTCATCTTTTTCAGCAGAAGTGGAAAGAAAATATAAAAAGATTTGGAATTTAAATATGATAACTGCCTGAACACAAATTACAAATTACAGTGTATAAGTCAAACCTGACAGTTGTGAGAACGCAAATCCCATAATCGCAAAGTTTTGTCCAAAGAGCCAGATATGAAAGAATCATCCAACGGTGACATACACAATGTCACGACCCTAAAAACAATGTTTGCCATATGGATAGCATGTTCAATATTCACAATATTCATATTCACAATATACTTGACTTTGCTGGAACAACAAAGACATCTGTCATAAGACAGCTGAGAACACAAATAAGCTAAATTCCTTGCCTTTTTGTATGCCCTTGAAAATATCTAAGAAATTTGTTGTCATGAAGAGACAAATAACGGATTGTGTCTATAAAAAAATTAAAGCCTACATGAATAATATTTAACATATATTAATACATCTATGTACAAGGAAATATTTGATTTGTGAAAAATGAGACTTTAGGTTTGTCTTGCAAGAATTTGACCAAATGTAGTGCTGAACATCATCCCAATTATACAGTGTATATATCTTACCATCAACTTTGGTTGAAGCATGGATCACAGTGTTTGCTGCATGCGTATATTGAATTAGGGCCACACCATATTTCTTACTGTATAATGTACGCCTTGGTCTAAATTTTAAAATAAATTGCAGCTCAAGTGAATTTGGAAAGTGGTTATTATTCATAATCAGCAAGTTATGATCAGAACTTGAACAAAAACAAATTTGTAAAGAAGCCTGGCAATGAACTGGCAAAAGTGATATCAATAAATCACCTGTAATGACATAAATACATTTCAGCAAATTTTTGGTTTTTTCCTGAGTTGTCTCAATTTGGGTTAACAAAATGTACGTTTTTGTATGTAGTTTACTTGCTGATGGTTTATTTATAGTGTTGGACTGTTGGTTGGAATATAATTTGAGGGTTAATAATTTTAATTGGTACAATTAAAGATTAGAATTGAAAATTTAATTGGTAAAATTAAGTTGGATTGGCCAGGTTTTATAGTTGCTCAGATGAAATATTGAGAATTAATGAAATTTTATGAAACTTACTTTCCTTCCAGACAATCATATATAACCATTGAATCATCATCACTGCTTGTAATCAATGTCTCGCCATTAGCAGACAGATCCAAGTGATTTACACGATCACTATTTTCTCGAAATACTTTTGCAACACGAAATGAACGAATAACTTTATCTTCCAACTTCATTTTTCTTTTCTTCTTCTTCAAATACGAAATACTTCATGTAGAATGTTTTAAACTATTTTAGTTGAAGTTACGCAATTACTGTGTAACTATGGAAACAAGCATCAAAACAATATGGCGGTCAAAACAAGCAATTCTGCACCATCAACTGTTCTCTTAAGACGACCTTTGCCGCCAAAACTTAGTGAGCATCAAAATAATTCTCTCGTTTCAAAATTCAACACCAAAGGCTTAGAAAAGAAAAGGGAAAAACTACGTAAAAATGAATGCCTGGCCCTGTGTTCAAAAGAAAATACTATCACATCTGCAGTTGACCTTACGAAGCAAGCATATAACTTTAACCCAACTTTAGTTTCTTATAAACCACGAGGTCCTGATCCCCTGCCAGGAAGGCAACCAAAGCGTTTCAAGGATAACCCGTATGATTTCCCAGTGGACGGACGTTTTCTTCCTTCTTTGCCACAATTTACTTTGGAGCAGTTTGTTCAACAGTGTAATTCACAGCAAAACAAATCTAAAAATGAGCTAAAAGCAAGGCAGTTTATTGGAAGAAGTGATGATTCGTGGTTTCTGAAAAAAAATAATCAATTAAATAGCCAACAAGAACTTTATAAACAGGTTATTGATGGTAAGTAAACTGGCCACAAGGTACTACTACATGGTACCCGGTTAAGACACCACGGGTATATACCGGCATATAACAAGATATCGATCTTTGACGGATTTAATTAGTTTCAAACGAGGACGCTCTCATCGGTAAATCTGACTGATATGAGTGGCCATGTGACACTTAGGTACGTTATTGTTAACAGTTAGTTTTGCGATATTTCAGCGGAGAATGCGAAGCTACCAAAATTGCCAGCAAGAAAACCTCAAAGACAAATTATATTTGGTATGTTCCAAGACAAAGATATTAAAATACTTTTTTTTCAGTTAGTGTTACAAGTTCAAGTAGAATAACCGATAACGATAATATGCTCAAGTAATTTCATTATGCCTGCTGTCACCAGGATGCGTGATTTTAATACGACGAGTTCTTTTAGGATACAGAACATTCATTTTACCTAGTGATCTGTCCTTTATATGTAGAATTAGCAGCTGCTATTTTAACAAGTGAAGAGTCAGACCTTGACGAGAGAATCACAGAGATCCTTGATGAGGTCGAGATCATCAATAGTAATACACCATCATGGTTCCAACGACAAGCAGGTCCTGATCTACCTGGAAATATTGGAACCATGACTGATACTGTGCGAGAGTTGAGTGAACTGTCTTCACTTGATAGCCGAGCTGCTCCTGATATTGCGCATATTTTAAACAGACATCTCGATCAGAATCAAGCCATTATAGAATCAAAGAGGTACATGCCAACATTGAGTTTTCTCTGAAGTCTGAACATATTGTTTCGTTGGGTCGTTTACTGTCATAAATACGTCGCAACTTTGAAATAAAAATATTATCTTCTTTCTCAGAGAAAGTTGGCCACAAAGCGAAATACTTTTGTCAGGTTCACCAACCTCGTTTTTTCAGGGAACAGCGCGATGTTCGTCGCCATTTCGTAAGTTTGAAGATCCAGTCATAACGATGACAGACAGATCAAATATAGTTTGTTCAAAACTTAAAAATTTTCTAGAAAACAACGAGAGTCAACACGAGACGATGCTTACGGCTGCCGAATTTGTTATTTTGGAGACTATTGTAAAGTGCTATACAACGCTTGATCTCAAGGTATATAATGTTAGACCTGTGTTTGTTAATTAGGTCTCCTATATGTAAACGGATGGTGCATGCTTATTCAATATTGCCCGTACTGCACTGAAAATACATAAAGCTAGGCTGTGCATATTTATGAACAATTTGACATTTTGACTTGTATATTACAGGCTCACTTTATCGCTCATCTGCCCAACATCGCACCACTCTGTACCAAACTCACCGTTGTCAATTTGTCTTTCAATAATTTTCTGGTAGGTATATTGTCTAAGCGTTACTCAGACTGGGCATGCTAGTCCCTAGTATATATATTATTTTGTGTTTATATATCTTCTTGAATGCGTTGTTAGGTTGTGCCATCTCAGCTTTTAACAATAAAAAATCTGGTGAATCTAAATCTACGAAACAATCCAATAAAAGAACTGCCCACAGGTAGCTACTAGGTATATCTCAAGAGTCGTTTGATTCTTTCAAAGCCGCCATGCTAAAATACAACAACTGCTTAAAACATATAGTAATAAGAAATAATAAAAGTTTTTTTGATAAGAAATAGAAGTTGATTGACTTTTATGCATGTGTTGACCGATGTCATGACGCCGTCAGCGGTCAAAGTACTCGTGTATTCAGTCGCTATATAAACACGCAGACTTTAAACATTTAACGTAACGAGGACCTGTAAAAATATAGAAAGACCTAGCTATAGCTTTTGCATAAATATAACACAAATGAGCCCGTTTCTTAAACTGCACGTTGCTACTAGCTGTTATATCATGTACAGTATATACGTTAATCGCTTTAAATACTTTGGTATTTTGGTAGAAATAGGACAACTTCGTTTGCTCCAGACGTTGGTCGTTTCATTCTGCTTAGTTTCATGTATTCCTGTCAGGTAGATATAGCTAGTAGCCTACTAATTCATTTCTGCTGCAATTTTTGAGAAAAACTGAGCTGGATTCTAACATAATCTTGATCACCATTTTATCTTATAGTTTATTTAGTTTAAAACATTTGAAAGTGCTGGATCTCTCGTACAACAGATTATCATTTCTTCCAAAGGAAATTGGAAACCTAAGGTTTAGTTTCAATGCTTATATACTCTATATATTTCTTAGTTAGGACTTAGGAGTAGTATATTGTTACAGAGGAGCATCAGCGGCAGTATACCTACATAACGGTAGTATTATAACTATGTTTTAAATACGAATTTTCTCTATAGATCGTTACGTGAGCTCAGCGTCGAAGGTAACGAGTTAGGTGCTTTTCCTAGTGGTATTCTACAGCTGAAGTTGAAGCACCTTCGAATGATGTGTAATTTTACCCATCCAGTATTCTGGAGGGAGACTACTAGCAATCAGCCACAGGTAAAGAGTGCATGAGTAGCCAGCTGTTGTAATTAAAGCAAATGTTACATCACAGTTGGTTAATATGCACTGTTTATAAACGAGCTAAAGTGTTTTACCATGTAGGTTTACAGTAAGGTTTTTTATGAAGCAGCTCTATACATGTCAATCTATACATGTCAATTTTTTTGTTCCATTACAGCGATTATTTCACATGGCTGCGCAACGAATGATTTCGTCGGAAAGATATTGCATCACCTCGATTCCGCAGGAAATAAAAATGCTACTTTTTAGGTAAGACGAGTAAGGAAATAAGATGCATAATGCATATACGGTAGCTATATAACTTTTGTGTCTTAGTGACATGATATATGGCAATATAGATCAGCGAGCTGCATCATAGTGATGATAATCGTAATTTGCTCGTCTTATAGTCCTGGAATATGTGACTGTTGTGATGGTCCCGTGTTTGGCCCCGGAGTAAGAATTATCAAAACAGTTGAGGAGATTTTTGGTGTGAAAAACATGGCGATAATATTTACAGTATGCACTCACACCTGCAGGAGAGCGTTTAAAAAGAATTCTAACGCTGTTGTTAACTGGATGAACAAAAATTGCTCACAGGAAGAAACATCTGGGCCAGAATATAGAATTCAAATAATTCAGAAAAACAAATTAGAATAAAACGATCACAAATTTGAAACTTCATGGAAATGAGTCAACCCGATTCACATGCAGGTTTCCTCGTTCATAGAAGTCTAGCCGATGCATTTACGTCATTACACTTGTGTATTATGTTATGCATACTAGGTATATGAGATGTACCATGGTTTATGAAATGGTATGACGTAACCATGGTTTGTGAGATGGTATGACGTAGCAACATTCGCTGGGCTGCCTATGTTTAGATTCATGCATGGTTACGTTTTCATCGCCCTACCCCGGCGATATGTAGCTAATGTAGCTATATACACTGAATTAATTCTAACATGTTATGCAGCATTTTCAAACTCTGTATTCTTTGAGTAAAGAAATGAATAATAAAAAAAGTAAAGTAAAGAAATGAATAATAAACAATAAATAAGTGTATCAGTTCTATCCGAAAATCCTAGTGTAAATCTTGTATTTAGCTTGCTCAACCAACGCTTAGGTTCTACGATGGAAAAATGCACAAAGTTCATGCATGATTTTCCAGAACATTTTTTCATGATCAGTTTCAAATGCGAAACGTGATAATGTATTTTACTCCTTTAGGCTAATTTGCTATCTGACATTCAATTGTAATGAAAAAGGAGAATGAAAATATACTTGAAACAATCTTCGCCTCAGCAAAACAAAAACAGAGAAATACATCTATTCAACCCTATTTTCTTATTTATTTTAACTTCTCGAAGGACTCTGAACACTCTGCTGGTCTGGTTCAAACGTCGCGCTGCATGATCATGTTTTCATTTGCAAAATGCTACGCCGGACGTTCGACACCAGTATTTATATAATACATATAATTATAAGTTAACTGACTTTTAGAGGGTTAGATTCCACAGAGGTGGGTACATAATTATCAGCTATTGAATATGGAACCATGCTTGCCAACAATATGTTAATACATTAGAGATGTCTAGAGCCGCTGAGCAGGCTATAGGACCACCGGGCTCCAGATCTGCAGTGACACGGTCGACTTTGTTTCCTTACCTAATTTAATTACAGACACGCAGGCACACTGCAGGTAATTACTGCATGCCTTGTTCTCTTGAAATGCATTTAGCTTGCATGATAACATCTGCGTGTGAACAGAGCCAGTCAAAACGCAAGATACGGAGTCACAGACTACAGGGCCTGCTATATAGTTGATATAAAAATTAATTATTCGGTATGAATCCCAGCTTCGATTCAAATTACAGCAACACAAGTGAAAACATGACACATGCGAGTCCTGACTGCAGTCAGACAGTTTGTATATCAAGTGGTGAACGCATCCTACGAGGCTTCTTCTTGGTCGTGATTATCATCGCTGCCGTGTTTGGGAATTTTGTTGTTATCTTCGTTATCCTTGTAAAGAATGAACTTCGTAACAGAAGATTTGCATTTCTTCTACTTCTTATTGTTAGTGATTTTATCATAGGACTCGTTGTGATGCCTCTGTACTTTGTAAATTTACTTTTCGAGGGTTTTTTTGAAATTTCGGATCATACATGTATCTTAATGGCAATTTCGGTTTCATTTCTTGTCATTTTTTCGTATCTCTGCATTACAACCTTGGCACTTGAAAGATTCCTCATGGTGAAGTTTCCAATAAAACATCGACGTTGGTTTACGAAGTCAGTGTTGGTTGGGGTTACTTCTGCCATTACGTTATTATCAGCAATCTGCGCTTTCAGCCCGTCAATATTTCGTTCTTTGCCAGTGAGATATAATTCAAAAATGCATATCTGTATCGTAGATCTAAGAAGCGAAACTGAACAGCAAAAAGTCAAAATACTTTTGGCTCAGCTCGCGTTCTTGGCGTTATTCTGGCTGCTTCAGATATGCTGTAGCGTTGCTGTTGTTGTTACCATATGGAAGAGAAGGAATTTTTCTACTCAAATTTCCCCACAAGACTCGACGAAATCGTCGACAGCACTGACACGGAAGGAGCACAACTCTCGCGAGATTCGTTCAACCGTTCGTGTCGTATTTGTGACAATTGTTGTTCTTGGATGTTGCTTGCCTGCTACAATTATTTATTCATGCGACACTTTGGGCTATCAATTCTCAGAGCGTAGTTTTACGGCGGTCTTATTTATTTTCTTTTCCAAGAGCGCCTTAAATCCTTTGGCAAATGCCTTCTTTCACAGTCGATTGCGTAGACATTTTGTCAGCATATTCTGCTGCAAATCACAAAGTTAGTGAGCAGTTGTTGTATAAGCTTTGTTTAGCTATAAATTATGATCGTAAATAACTTGGGCAACAGCGCAGATTAAAAAAATAGCGGCATAGTAGAAAAGTATAATATAAAAATAGAGTCGGATCGATGATGAGCCTAATGCAATGAATACAGGTGTAAATAAAAACTGTGTAAACGTGGGGAAGCATGACAGATCGAGCTAGGGCATCGTGCTAATTTTGCAAAACGATGGCTTTGCCAAACTCATAGAAAATTCATTACTTGCAATCATAAAACAAATAATTATATAGTTAGATTATCAGTATTGAACATTTGGTTTCTTCGTTTAAAATGACACAATAATTTTAATTTTAGTGGTTCAAATCTTGTAGTGTTGCATGAAACAGTAACTAGACATCTCTTTTGACTGAAAGAAATGTAACAATTGGATGTAATTAAACAAAAGTAAGAGTAATCTCTACAGAGTACAGACATTCATTTAACAATTTTATCAGCCACCTGCTCCTAAAATAAGGATTATAATAGCCTAGCGTGATTGCCTTGGGGTTTAATTTTTGAAACATCAATAATATAACTGAGCTATTGCACTAATTATTACAATACTAGACGGCGGAGGTCAAAGCCATATCGTGTTGGAAAAAAAAACATACGAAACACAACAGCCATTTACTTCTTACTAATTTATTGCTTTCTTTTCACTCCACTTTAACAAGCAACTTAATGACTATATTATTCATGCCAAGTACTTTCAGCCGAGATTTTTCAAGACATTGAGAGTAACGCATTGTTGAACCGTCCCAAATGGATTGGTAGTTTTACACAAATAAACACCACGATCATGATACGTCACTTGAGAAATGCGGTACGACTTGCCTGAGAGCTTGCCATTTGCATAAAGATCCTTTTGAATCACTTTGCCTCCATACACGTCTTAGAGGGTAAAATTAGGAAGATTATACAATAAAATTTCATTTAATAATCTTAAAGGATCGTGTCTGCAGAAACGGAGCAAGGTTTTATATGTAGTTTGGCATGCAGATAATACCAATATCAACATACGCAGTTTCGTACGTCTATATAAGGAAAAAAACAACCTTACCATCAACTGGATTGACTTTTGTCCAAGAGATCGAAAAGCTAGGAAGAGCTGAACTACGGCATATCAGTTCAACATCTTCACCCTCTGTAACAGTTGTTTCACCTTTTGGTGCTATTGTGATCATTCCTTTTCCTAAAATACGACCGAAGAAAATTGGTTATGATAGAGAACAAGGGGTATAAAGCAACAATAGCGTGCAGCATCTTTAATAAAATTTTGCCGTAGTTTGCCAGGCACACGACGTGCCCCTATATACATACTTCCGCATTCTTTCTTTGAAGTTTCCCCCAGAATAAGCGTTGTTGTATTTCCTGTACATTTTTCACAAGATTTGGATCCATAATTTGGTTCATATTCTCCGATGCTACATAGTTTGCATGAATCTGTCTCTGTTGGGAATCCTGATGGCGAATATGTGCCAGGGGTGCAGAGGTCTAAGAATAACGAATATAAACAAAATGTTATTTTTCTTAGCAAACCTAATTCTTTTCTGCAATCTTCAAAATTCGTCATCAAGAAGAAGACAACCGAAGAAATCCACTCATAAAGTGTTAGAAGGGAAATTCATGCCTTGATTATGTTGAGGTCGAGGGTGTAGTTAGGAGAGCCCAAAAAGAAAATTTTGGATTCGTAAGTCTGGCCGAGCCCCGTTTGTGAAGTTTGCCAACTAGTGTAGTGTCAATCGTTAAATAAAATAACACCCCCTTGCAGAGACCTTTTACTAGACAATCTTGTATTAAGCCTCCCTTATATGATTCAATCCATCTAAGCTTTGTTCATGGTTCGTGCATCGATAATTCCCCAATTTAGCCAAATTACTTAACACGTGATGTAACTGACCAATAACATGACACATTGCCTTACTTTTACATTGCTTGGCGCCGATTTCCGTGGTCCCTTGAGAGGCTGAACATTTCTTACACGATAGTTGTTTCTCCTTATCTTGATAATAGCCCACTGGACATTTTTCACAGGTTCCGTTATAATATGTTCCCGCAGGACAGTTGGCTTAATGGTAATTAATACGTACATGAATGGGTGCACACTATTGATATATACGGCGTTGTGAATTACACGTCAAATAGGAAAACTTTCAACATAAGAACACATGTCTTAGGTTACGTGCAACGGTAACGTTTTCGAGCGTTTTCACATTTGTTTTCATGCTAAAAAGGTTTCAACACCGTCAATTTACAATAGAAGTTAAAGCTATAATTAAACACTTTGGTGCATATTTTTCTCTGGATCGTGTGGACAGGGCATCAAAACAATAACATCGAAAAAAAGTTTTTGAAAACGCTCGAAAACGACGCTCGTGTGCCTTAATAATGTACTAAAATGGATGAAAAGCATAATCAGCGATATATTGCGTCATCTTCATAATATCTAAGTGTTTTATTTGATATTTTTCTGTTTTAGATGACAGCAATTTTTTTGTAGACAACAAACTTTCCAAACTAAACCTCAAGTGAACTTACCACAAACTTTCCCTGCAACAGGATCTGATAATTCAGATGTCCCTTCAGGGCACTTATCAACAAACTTGCTAAAACCTATAAAATATGAGAGTATGTAGGGTGTATTAGAGCAATCGAGCAAGCAATTAAGCGTTAGTCCAAGCCACGAAGGAACCAAGCAACCAGTGATGTTGCAAAGGCCCTCCAGTTAAGGGTATACGGTGTTGGTTTTTTGGTTTGCCTAGTTCACGGACGAAAATTCGCAAAAATTTTTAATGAATTCAATTGAAGTTTGTATGAAAGCAACAGGTCAGATGTACATGAGGCAAAATACTATCTATTGAAAAGAATTGACAGGTTATTTTGTTACAGATCGATCTTATCTTTTACATGCAGTTTTACAAGGGCACAGAAGTGATAAAAACACGGGTAAAAAGCTTACCTACGCAATCAGGAACATTTTCTACTGGTGGGGACCAAATACCGCTCATACACGTATACCATGGAGATTGCTGCGCTGCGGCGAATATTCTGCCAGTCTTGCAATTTGGATAACAGAAATATGTACCACCAGGGATGCTTGAGCACTGTTTGTTGGTAGTTGTAGAGTCAACAGAAAAATCATGTTCGCTACATTTCTTTTCTAAAGTGCAATGATAGGTTTCATCACATCTTACTTCGCCTGCATGGTTTCATGCGTGGGGTAAAATATAAATGAAAGTAAAGATTCGCGAAGATCGCACAAAAATGAAACAGGACTGAAATGCTGATATAAAATATCGTTAGGCGTTAACTAACTGTTACCTCGCCCCTTTTCAGAAACCTAAACAACATTTCTGTTTTATCAAACTGTACAGCCTTGCTGGTGATGAAACAAATTGAAACATTCCCAGGCGATTTTTAGGGTAAATTAACGATGCTTCCCCGCTACGATATTAATTTTGTTCCCCTCTTTAACCACACTGAAGGAAGGAAGGATTAGATTATTTTGGTACTCACCAGTAACAAACAAATCAAATTCACAAGTAGCATGATTTCCAGCCTTATCTTTAGCAACATAAACAATATGATAGTCATTCTCATTCAAGTCAACGCCAGGTTGATACGGACTGGCTTCAACCTTTACTACACCAACGTTATCGCTAAATTGTGGTTCTGGCCATGTTACTAATGTTCCAGGGTTTTTCTTAACATACTGATCTTTGGGACAGTACACAACTTTCGGCTCCTCCTTGTCTATGAAACATCACAATATATGAATTATTGCCATGGTAAATGGTGGGCATATTATATAATTCATGTTGTTCGCGACCTATTTCTTTTGAAATCAATTGCATGTCTTTACGCTCTGTTAACCTGAATATATGAGTATGGTCCCCCAATGAATTATCGATGCTACTAGCTAGCCACGTCACTGTAAATGGCCATGTTTACCTAAAATTGTAACACGGATAGTACAGCTATCACTTTGACCATCTTTTGTTGTTGTTGTGAACGTCACGGTTGTAATTCCCACGGGAAACTCAAAATTGATATCATGAGAACTTGTAATCGTTCCAACATTAGTGTAAGGGTATTTCCATTGTGAAGCCACAATCATGGATTTACTGCCCTTGGGTAACTCGGCAACAATCCCGGGGGGGCAGGAGATCACTGGTGTCGTTGTTTCTAATACGAGTAAAAATGTTAAGATTTGTCAGTTGCAGTTAATACTGAGTAAAAGTAACTATAATGATTTAGGAACAAGATAAGGCAAGATGAGCAAATAGTAACGACGGTTTCGACCACGGCATCAACAACCGTAACAACGAAACCATTCTTCGTTGTATGACGATACATGATGTATTTTCAGACGCAATTTTGGCAAGCACATTGACTTTTCCTTGTTTGCTTTGTAGATGCTTACCATTTTTATAATTTTACTGGGTGGGTCGTGCATGTAAGTTTTTAAAATCAACCAAGGGCAAGATGACTTAATAAAATAATACGAATATGATATTAACAGAAACAACAAACCTCCTCGACACCCTAACTTAGTTACATCGGAATTGAATGAACCATCGCTTTGACAAGAGACTTTAGAAGGTCCAACATTACTGTAGCCACTGTTACAACGTATGCTACAAGTTCCGGGATAGCGAATACCATAAGCACATTCAGCAGGGGCAAGTTTTCCATTGGATGGTTGTGAGACAGCTGGACATTTAACACCTCCACACAAAAAGAAAGAATAATGTTGAGTTGATTCATTTGCGCACTCAAATGCTACGAAATATAAAAGGCAAGGATTTGAGGGGGGGGGGGCACAAATAGCGGGGTTGATCTGTATGTGGGATGCCTCCTAACACGCTTGCTCGCTCGTATGCTTTAGGACACTTTGTAAGACTAATCAGGGTAAATCGTCAGGCATTAAGGCTAGTTATTCTGCATGCCGTTATTGGCGAATATATGATGTGATGGTATATCAGTGTTTACTAAATGCGGAGGAGCTGCAGCCACCACCCGACCTCACTGAGTTTGGACCAAATTGATGGCAAGTCGAGCAATTATTCCTGGAAAAGCTCGCCCCATAGAAAAAAATAGCTCGCTCCACTGATAGAAGTCCCAAATGCAGCAAATTACGTTTCAGGCAATAACGTATCAATTAGATTCATCAGATATCTAATTATATAACGCTTTCTGAATCGAAGCAACCTATTTCTGACTGCTAATGGATTCGGTATACATCATAAAAGCCTGTTTATGCAATGCCTTGCACTAAATGTATAAAGTGGACATATGGTTCTTGATCTTACCATTACATTGGGGTAAGGTAACACTCCACTGTCTGGTAGCAAGGCAGGTTGCTTTCATATTGTTAGGATCCGCAGGTTCATACCCAGACGCACATTTGAATGTACATACATCTCCAAAAGCATTCGTATCACTCAGTAAACATCTAGGAGGTTCTACTGTGAATTTTGGATCAACAGGGAAAGCACTACATTTCACACCTAAAAAAGTACAACCAACATAAGATAAAAAGTATAACGCTTTAAAATTCATATCGTTGGCAGAATTAATTAACGTTTCACCATTCTTTGTCCTCTTTTTAACTAAAAAGAAATTGTTGGCCAACGAATGGCACTATCCATATAAGGCTCCATGGTTCATGGTCATCTTTTGTACTTCATTTTGCTTCTATTCGATCAGATCTTCGTGGACATTAGTTGGTTCACTAATTATCGGATAAATATGGCATGCACAAACATATGACTACATGTGTAACACTTGTCTGTTCAGCGGTCAGTTGTAACTATTGAGCTGAAGGCGATGTTACAGAGAACAACTTTTAAGAAAAACTCACAATCGACTCTTTCACAACCAAATTCTGCACAAGATAATTTGTATTGTGTGTTGCTGTTAAGTAACATCGCCTTAAACTCTAGTGTTTCTCTCGGCTATCAAGTTTGTCCGGCTTGGCACAAATTATTGGATATGCAATAACGTACGTTGGCATGCCGCTGGATTTCCTATCTTTGGCTCAAATCCTTGTTTGCAATCACAACGATAGCTTGGCTTAGTGTTCACACAATTCATCGAGGTTGCATCACATGGTGACTTCTCCGCACATTCATCAATGTCTACCATAATTATAAAAATGATATAAAGATAAGAAATGATCGGTATTTCATAGTTTCAAGAGCTTCAAGGATTGATTCCCCTACGACGTGGTTCTTCCACACTGCTTAAATTAATGTTCACAAGACTATCGACACTAGAATGCTATCAAAAAGTACTTTGTATTTATCCTACTTTTACCTTCGCAACGATAACCATCACTCAAAAGTCTGTAACCAGCCCTGCATTCACACCTGTGTTTTCCCACTTCGTTCACACAAATGTGTTCACAATTACCATAATCATTCTGACATTCATCCACATCTTAAGTGAAGTAAAGTACATATGTCATGGTGTGTTGAATGTTCACATATTGAATTATCTGCTCGACTTTTTTTCAAAATCAATTATCTCGACGGTATTTAAGGTATATCAAGGTTGGCCTTTCATAACTAGGCGAAGATGGGTTGTCGACTGCTCTGTCAGAAAATTGCCTTTGGAGAATGCAAATCTGATAAAAGACTTTTAGATTTAATTTTACATGAAAAAACCCAATATATTGAAGGCAAAATCAACAGCCTCGTTAAAATTGGTATAGACAAAATTGAGTCTTAGGTGACCCTGTTACTTTCTAGGTTTGAGATTCATATTTCACTAAGAGTCATACAGAGTTAACAAACAATGGAACAAAAAATTGACAGAAATTACCTTCACACGTTCGATCATCTAACTTTAGTTTAAACCCTTTAGGGCAAGTGCAGAAAAATGATCCAAAAGTATTTGTACAATTATCACTGCAACCTCCGTTGTTCATCTTACATTCGTTGATATCTGAAAAAATTATTCATGACAGCACAATTATAATCGGCCGATATAATGATCATTAATAAATCCGTAAATCATGCAAAAAGTTAGACGTTAATTGAGTAATCGATCATTGAAGTATAGAAGTAGTCAATGATGAAACAATCGTGCATGTATGAAGCCGAAATCGCATGCATCACGTACGCAAGTCATGAAAACTGGTGATTTTCTGTAGAAAAATGAAAGAGAACTTTGAAACGCCGGACTAGTTGTTCATTTCTTCTCGTCAGTTCTTTGTATTGATAGTCAATGTGTTTCGTAGCTACCTAAATCTTACCGTCACAGCCAAAACCATCATCAGCAAGACTATGGCCTTGTCTACACTTGCATGTGTAACCACCAACATGGTTCAAACATATTTGGTCGCATTTGTCAGTATCCAAACGACATTCATTTATATCTGTACAAGAAATGCAATACAATTATCAGATTCATATTCACCAATCCTCGAAATGATGAAAATGATAATTAAGGGGGAGGGGATGATAGAACGTTGAATATAGAACATATTCGCTAAAAAAAGTTTTTAAAATTAAAATACCACAAAAACAAATCAGTTCAAACAATTTTATATGATAAGTAACGGCATATTTATAACAAAAGCAACTTCACCAAAGATAACAACCACATATAATTACATACAATGCTAATACGTACCGGTACAAGATTTTCTGTCATAATCAAGTTTATATCCATGACGACAACTACATTTAAAACTGCCTACAGTGTTATTGCACATATGTTCACATCCCGATGTACCTGCCATGCACTCATCAACATCTAAAAACAAATTAAAAAGCAAAATGAAAGGAAAGCAACATGACAGAACGACACTACAACGCACAACACTACACTAAAGTCAGTCAGTCTATGAAGTCACTCAGCCAATAAAATTGGCAGAAATACTATTTGGAGCAAACTGTTATGCTGGGGTTGACGTTTTGAAATAAAACATGAGAGAGATGCTTACCGATACATTTTTTTGACAAGCTACCAGATCCAAACTTGTAACCACGTTTACACATACATTTGTACGAGCCAGGTATATTGACACAAATCTGGTCACAGGTATGATTGCCCTGACATTCGTTGATGTCTGAAAAAGATGATGCTGTTTGATCATTTGTGATTTTTAATCGTTTGTAATAAACTACGATATTAAAAACAACTAGAAACTAAGCCTCTATACGAATTGTTGAAACACATTTGATAATGAGGCTATTTGAAAAAGGTTGCCAGGCCAGGGTGTTCTTACGTAATCTTGGAGACAAATGTAGATAATGGAAACGTTTCTTCATGCAAAAGAATTTTAACTGTCTACCGCAATGAGCTAGGATTCGATGTAAAGACATCTTTACCATGCACATATCTTTCATTTGAGATATCTTTTATTTGAGATATCTTTCATTTGAGATATTGCTTATAATGAAATGGTTGAGTGTTAACTGAAGGTTTGGGTTTGAAGAACTGCATTATGCAAGAATCCATTGTCTTCATCATGCAAAATTTAAAGGAACATGGGCGAAAAGATAAAAAAGTGACTTGTCCAAATGATGAAATAACGACTGAAAAATTTTGTTTTTTTCGTTCAATACCTGAGTTCTCAAAGTCACACATGAAACGCTCGACGTTTAAAACAAGCGTAAGGCCAAAAGCACAGGAAGTTAATTAATATATATATGATAGGTGACAAGCCATTTCAGGGCATTTCAGGGCATTTCAGGGCATTTCAGGGTATTGTTTCGTAAAAACGCATAAAATTCTAATATGCCATTGTTGATTGGCCAGAGTAAACGCTGTTTCCATTACAGTCTAATTTCCCGCGCGGATTTAAAAATCCACTCATGCGCCGGAATGACGCGTCTTAAAAACAGAGGACGTAATATTAGGAAAGCCACCTTAATAGCAGACAATGATGCCCAATGCAATATGCGCAGGAAAATAACTTGAACGGTTCCGGCTTGAGTAAGTGAGTGTATTGTACGTTTTTTGCACTATGACGATACCTTAATAATAATATTGGTTTAAAAACGTACCTTTGCAAGACTTGCCATTACCGCTTAAATTGTAACCGCTCTTACAGCTGCATTTATAACTACCATCCGTATTCTCACAGTTGTGATCACATAGGTGATAATTACTGCATTCGTCGATATCTAAAACGTTAAGAGCTCCGAATAAAAAATATATTTGAGAATCTACTGATTGGAATTAGGAACCAGGTGTTGACACATACCCAATGAAATAACGTAGTCAATCTCAATCACATTGGTACAGCGGTCAGTTTACTAAACTAGTGGTAGCAGTCTAAAATGGCATATTTGGTGTCGCTTATAGTTCAGGATTCAAGACCAGGTTGGTCTGGAATTTCGTCTAAGTACAACCTCCCATCGGCAAAAACTGATATGTATGTTCGGAACTCTGATTAACACCTATGCCTACTCCCGTGCAATGTTGGATTCCAAGCTTGTCTTTAAATATTTGACTATGTATTGGAAGCCGAGAACCGTGCGTCTGTCAAGATGCATGATGGCATATGACACATGAAAAATGGCCGTCTATACAAATAAGTAGCACGCTACGACATTTTCCGTCATGCTGAAGGTCACAGTTTTCCTACCTTGACATTTTCCATTAACTAACTCATATCCTGGTTTATTACAGCCACAAATCACATGACCGTTATCTAACTGTACACATCTTTCCGAGCAACCTCCGTTGTTGATTGAGCAATTCCTGGCTGAAAACAAGCGTAAGTCATATTCTATATTTCTGCTTGTAAACCTAGAGAGCCGATATATGCAGACAGTTCTTGAGACTAGTAAAGTCTCATATTTCTTATCGTACCCAATCCAAGATCCTACCCAAAATTTCCCTTTGTCTGGATTAAAATATCGTATTCACTAGCAATCAAAGAAAAAAACAGTAGACAAAGTATCTTACGAGCCAATCCAAATCTAATGGTTATGAGGACGTATATATGGTATATAGTTAAGCCAGGACACACATGTCTACTGCTCTAAGCCTCCGCCCGACTTGTGTTCGGTGTTTATGTCTGCACATGCGTATTTGTACATACTTACGTCGACATCCATAAAGTTCCAACTGTGTGCATACTTTTCGTACCCACTTTTGGGCATAGAGTCTGAAATATCGAGCGTTAATTGATGGCAATTCATTCTTGCTTGCTTTAAGTTTTCCTTCAAATATCTGCAAAAAATTGTAGCTGGCTAGGTTCATGTCATTTCACAAATGATATATTTAGTACTCGTCGATAACAAAATTAAAATTAGAACAAAAATATTATAAATGTATCATTAAATTAGCACAGGGAACGTACACTGCGAATTAACATACCCGAAGGGTTAGTAACTGTTAGTTACTAACTGGGTACTAAACTATTAGTAACTATTAGTAACAAAAGAATGATTATTCATAATTCATACTTAGTATACACCCGACTATTATCTATTACAAATCCTACATTCTGATTGGCTACTCAACCATTGTCTATTCGTGATGGTGAACGTTTGGGAAAAATTCACTCGTGCGACCGTATAAAATTGAATTAATTAAATTATTTTTCTGTGTAATTGCGGTGTATCCATTATTTTTTAGGTACTTAATATATCTAAGTAGGAAATTAATATATCTAGGTACAGGGTGAATACTTAGACAACTCGCCTTCGTTGTCTATGAGCGAATAGTCAACTCAGGCTTCGCCTTCGTTGACTATTCGCTCATAGGCAACTCAGACTCGTTGTCTATATTGTTTAAGTAATTAATTCAGTTGCTTGGTCTAAAAAGACAGCCATCATATGCATTCTTACAATCATCAAACACTGAACTGAACTGAAGTCTATGCATTGAATACTGACCACAAGATTCCCCAGTTTATCTTTCAAAGTTTGAAAATTCTTTCCATCAGAACTATATCCGACATAATACTTTGATATATATTGCTCATAGCCAGACTTCGTACGTCCTTGAGTGGCCACTCCAGTAAGAACATAGATTTCTCCCAGATCAACCTTAATGTTAAAAATATTGAAACTTTCACAAACAATTAAATATACAGTCTCATGAAGTTTCGTTTCAAAAAAAGTTATTGCAGATCTGGCTAACCCAGTCATACATGGCTGGTACACCTAACAAGTCAAGTTGGTCAGTCATTCTTTCACATTTATATAAAAGACCTTCAGTGTCGGCCAGGGGCCGGTTGTACAAAGCCCGTTTACCTTAAACGGGCTCAAAAAAGAGAACAAGGCCACTTAAAAATTTATCACGTAAGGAAACTTTTCTCAACACGAATACAACATAAACGATACTGGTTACAACTACAAATATAGCATATTAGAGTTCAATTGTTAATTCACAACATCTGCTTTTGCTTTTTTATTCGCCGTTTAGACTAAACTATAGATTTGTAAGTGTGACCATATATGAATATTTTTTAACCAAGGTTGCTCAAACCTTGTCAGTAGACTGCATGCCCACTCCTGGTGTATATTTAGGAATTAGCTATTATCAAATAAAATCAGATGGGGCTGTTTATGTGCATCAGACCAAATAAAAATTACCAGATCTGGTCACACTGAAGGGGACGGCGGTACTTTTCCAGGCAGCCTTTTGATGTAGCCCCACATGTCAACTATTTCTAATTATTATAAAGTACAACTAACCTGTAGCTATACACGGTTCTTTGGTCGTGAAAAAATTGCTTTATCCAATAATCATGTTGAAATTCGTTACTTAGTGATAGGAGTAATCCAGGAAAATGCAGAACCAAAAATAACTCTGCCTGGATACTATTTAAAGACAGGCGCTTACCTGAACATATTCATTGGCCACATTTTTTGCAGCCAACCAAACTTTAGCTTTTTTGTCATTATTCAACCTTGCATTAGATGCTCCATGCCAGCTAAAAGAATGAGAAAGTCTGGAAAGTCCTTTTCATGTTAGAGTGTCACGTGGTTATTACACTCCCCTAGTTAAGATAATCACGCTACGCCTCAACCTTGACCCCAGGGTAGAAGACCCTGTGAGAATGGGGTTGGCTACGCCCCTGACTATCGCCTCTGGTACACTGCAAAAGTTGCGGATATTGTGTTTGCACTTTGGACAGTCACCGCCGGATTCTATGCATGGATACTTTCTAGGATTTATGTGCACACTGAAGTCCATTTCAAACACTGCATAAATCTACGCACACAGGTCACAGCTAGAGCATAATAAAAATCAAGTTAAGTATTGTAGGATCCGTGAGAGATTTAATCTCAGTAATATATATGTTTAGTTTTAAAACGACCAATGGTGATTGATTATTATATATACAATAAAACATCGCCGGATTTAACTCTGCGCGAGAAACTGCGATATCGCACATTATACCTGTTGTGCTGAGAAGATGCACTAAAACTGCTATCGGGTATTCTCCTGTCTTCCAATCCCAGAGGACTATTGCAATTTTCTAAAGTAGCAAATGAAACAATATATACCCATTGCATTGTGACAATGTATCAAATACGATAGTAACAAAAGCAATCGACGCATTTAGTTTGATAGAATATGGAGCATATATTTTAATTTGTTGATATTAAAATAATAATAGTTACTCTATAATTCATTTTTAAACTACCATAAACCATACCTTGGGAGGAAATCTGAATGGCTAAGAATATATTGAACGCCAAATACAATATTCTCTCCACCATTGTACGTTTCGTATTATTCCAGATGGTGCGGTGCTTTCTTTGATGGTTTGAAAACTTCTTTTCACGTCCTTACCCACTGGCACTTAGAAAATGAAATGAATTTACAATGACTTTGCAAGAAATTGCGAACAGAAAATTAAGCCGTATAATTTATAAACACAGATGAGTAAACAAATGCAGTATTTCGCTCAACAGTGCTGCAAAACAGAAATGATTGCATAGATTATGTACTTTCATATATTCTCATAAAGCAAACAGGATCATAAAAAGAACTATAAAACTTAACACTTATTTCTGGAATACTTTGTAAATACTGTATGTACAAGTTGTTACATTATATATATTACAGTGAATTACACATATATTACAGTCAGAAATGATATTTTTGTTCAAAAGTTATTACTTTGCAGTTTGCGTTTTGTTAATGGTAAATAATAGTGTTTGTTTTCAATGCATAGTTAACTACAGTCGTTAACTTCAGCACAAACAAATGCATTTACTTCAAGATATTATTAAAGACATTTTCCTTTTAAGGTCCTGCACTGACAACCTGAGCAAATAAATCAGAGACATCGTTGATTTTATTTACTTTCCACTGATTTTAGTTGGGACAAATATAACTGGCCAATTATTTAGCATGGTTTTAAAATCATATTTCTCTAAATAGCAAACCCAGACACACACTCAGTACGAACCCACTTTGTGCAGGATTGTTTGTTTTGAAAAAAGGTCGTTTTTACAATTCGCTTCTTTAGGTTGATGAAATATTGACTGTTGTTGCTGTGTGTGGCGATTGACGTTTCGACAACCCGAGCGGCTGTCATCTTCTGCCAGGGGCAAGTGACGTGACGTTTTTTACAAACTAAGGTTCGGAACCATTACTTTGAAACAAAGTCGCTCCCTGAATGGCCCAATCCCCCACCCCAAGAAATTCGTTGAATGTGCTTCTGTAACCATAAATTAACAAATAGACACGATGCGACGATAGAAACAACTGAATGCCATTAACAAAGGCTAAAATCTATATTAAATATTGAAAAATCATTGTAGTTTGCAAACACTGCTTAAATCAATGATCAAAAACGCAATTTCTATAAACAGTTGTTCTTGCATAGATCATGAAAGGGACGATCAGACTATTAAGTATTAATTCCATTATTCTTTATATGTACATTTTCAACCTTTCGCATCTTAACCATCAAGTTTCCGATTGTGTGCCATGAACGTAGAACATGTAAATTTAAGAACCAATACAAGTCACAAAATGTAAAACCCCAAAATACGCAACCTTGTATCTGTGAAACACTTATCAGTGTATGTGTGTGAAAAAAGATAAAAAGTTTCGCATGACCTACATATTCATGAGCATTTGATCCACTTGGCTCATCTTATCTAGTCACAATGTGATAAGCATTGTAGAGCTGTGGTGTCTTAAGGCTGCGTGACTTTAGTGCAAACTGTCACTTGATCAACACTTTTTCGTTCGCTTTCTTTTGGAATTCAAACAGTCATGCGTGACATTTGCAATGAATGAAAATCCCCCATCCATTAGATTTTTGAATGATGCCTCCATGCTTAAAATCACCATACAATTTGCATGATATTTCAGTGTTGTATATCAAGCACTACACTTTCCTTTTCTTTTTTCGTGAAGGTTTACCCGATGAGGAGTCATCAGAATCAGATTCTGAACTTGAAGAGGATGATGATGATGAAGAGTCAGTTACATCACTACTATCATCACTACTGCTTTCACTTGAGATATCATCATCACTAGAACTATCTGATTCCTTTGAACTGCTTGAGCTATCCTCACTACAATCATCTTCAGAAGTTGAACTTGAACTCTCAGATGCGCTAGAGTTCAGAGAAAAGAGGCTGAGTACATTATTAGGATACATTATCAAAATATACAAAACACATTCTTATTATTTGCAAGTTATTAATAACGGCTAAATCTAGTAATTAGAGTAAAATTTAAAGTTATACCCTGCTTGTTTCCTTTTTCTTGCTTTATTTTCATCTTGTCTAGAAAGAACATTTCAGAAATTTAAATGAATATATTAAAATTTAAGGCTTGTTTCATACGCCATATTCTGCATGTGCCGAATGCATAAAGACAATAGATAATGAGCTGGAATAGATCATTATCTATTGTAACATAGAAGGTCATAACTTCTGCAATTTTGCATCCTTTGGGATACTCATGCTTGCAAATATATCCGGTTTACATTATTTGTTTAGATATACTATATATTAAGAAATAGGAAATTCCCTGCAAGACAAAGCATAGGTAACGTTCCACAAGCAATTGTGTGTGTGTGGCATTGTGCCATTAATTAAAAACCTAAAAATTCTGAACATGGCAAAGACTGCCAAAGAGAGACCAGACAAAACTTGACAAAGAGAAACCTGTGAGGCAGAAGGGGAAAGGCAAGCATCAAAGTCTTCAATAATCATTTCGTTATATAATCTTATATAATTACTTCTTTCTATGCTCAGCTTTGTTTCTTTCGTCTTTATTCATAACACTCGTTCTAGATGGTCGGTGCAAATATTTACGTTTATTCGTGCACTGATAAGTCCAATGACCAATCTCCAGACATTTCTGGCATTTTTGGTTGCTGGCCTCGAGTGCACTAAACAGAAAATAAAAAACTTTACTCTACTCAGTTTTATATCATAAAAGTACGCGCAAAAAGTCATAGTTTACCGTTTCTTTTCCAGAATGAATCTTCGTGTAACGGACGCCATCTTGTTTTTGGAGATACGCCATGTAAGAACCTGTGAAATCATTTTAACTGACGCTGCTGCGGTAGTGCGGTTGTTACAGCAATCCACACTGGAAGTTGTTAAGCCTGCTAGTCTTGCTGCTGCCCTTGCTCTTGCTGTCCCTTCTCCCGCTACCCCTACCCTCGATGCTGCTGTCCTTGCTCCAGATGTCCCTTCTCCCACTGCCCCGCTGCTGCCCTTGCCTCTGATTCTGCTTCCGCTGCTGCCGCTTTCCCTTCTCCCGTTGTCCCCACTGCTGCCCCTACCCCCGATGCTGCTGTCCCTTCTCCCCTTGCCCCTGCCTTCACCCTCAATTCTCCCGATGCTGCTGCGTCTTCTGCTGCCACCACGGTCATTGCTACCACTTGAACAAGTGAATAACTTTGCTATTTTTTCGTGAATAGTGAATATTTGGAGTTTAGCTTGAACGTGGAAGATTTACTTCATTCTCTGTGACTGGGGTATGGGCTAAACATTGCTACGTATGAACGCAATCTGTAAAAGGGTATAGATAAATGCAACGGGGAGATAAGTTATAAAAATCAACTATTGTTTAGCAGTAAATTGTATGAGTAGTTTGATGTCTCTTTTTTATTCATTTATATAGCATAAAATATGTTACGATTCGTTTTCTGAACACCAACACTAAGCCCTACACCGTTAATCAATCTATGCACTCACATCTATGACTATATAAATGGAAAATATGCATGCGTGTTAAGAAGAACATTGAGCATAGAAATTGTTAGAAGTATGTTTCAATCTCGTTAGGAGAGAAATTTCTTGTTCCAGCGAGGAGATCTCTTGCCTTGTTTGTGCCGTATCCATACCCGTGTGGTGGTTGATAAGTATGACCAAGATTAGCGTAGGAACCAGTGTTAGCGTTGGCCAAATTGGAAATATGAATATCGTGACCACCACCAAATGTTGGACCGTAACCAGGGTTAGTATATATAGCATGCTGGTTGTGTCTGTAAACAGGAGATTTGAAGGGTGGAAGGTTGTCCTTATTTACGAAGGAGAAGATAAACGCCCGCGAACTGGATTTGTATGCGGCTGAACCTAAACATATTCGTAAAAAGAAAAAAATAGACTGAGTAATGCATGGTTGAAATATAAATTAATTTTTCAGTGGTGGATTTAGGGCTAGTTAAAATAAATATAGCTTCTCACATTTGAATACATTAACATTGTCCGCCTTAAATCGTTTGACAAGAACAATCAATATATCATGCAGTAAATCAGTTATGATTTTTGGCATTTTCCTCGATGCAGGTAAATTCTAAAATTTATCGTGCAGTAAAGTTGAAATAGGGCGTGCTACATGCATTGACTCATGCAGTATCATCTTTCAATCTAACCTCCAAAGGGTTGATCGCTGTATGCACCAAAAATATAGCGTCCAGTGCGGACGAGAGTGACAGTTGGCTGTTTAGCATCACATTTAGCATGGAAAGACGTCGCTGCAAACCCATTCTCAGTTGCACGGTAGCATAACCTCCACGATTTCATGATCAGTGAGCCACCAAGCCATTTCTTTAATTGTCTGACATCCTTTTCTCGCCCAGCCAAGATTTTTGAGCCATAGAGACCATCTGCACGGAAATATATTAAAAGGGCAAATATCTATGTACGAATAAAATCACAGTAACGATCGTTCTCGTCTCAATATACAGTCATTTTTTAATCAAATAATTTTTTCTGATTGCGGCCTTTTGAGATATTAATACAATACTGAAAGAACCAACAGGCTGTTACATACAGATAACGCACGGATATTATGCAATGACTGTCATATATATGTGAGTGTCAGCCCAAAGAGCAATGAATTCGTGTCAGCTAAGGAATTATGAGGGAAGGGGGCCCCCAGGTAAATCTTCAGTGGAAACGCAGGTCCGATATATATAAGTGTTCTAATTATTCTAAATTAAAAAACATATCCGGGTGTCAGTATTGCCTGCATTATGAACTGTTTAGGATACCTACCTCTTCTATCACAAAATGTTCCTCCAAATCCCTCCTTACATTTACACTTGAATCTCCCGTTACCTTCATTCACACAAACACCATTGTTTTTGCAAGGCCTAATCTCACATGGTTTAACTATAAACCAAAAAAGGATTTAAATTAACAAATAACCGCAAAATATATTCTGAATCACTGAATGGCGCGGCATACCATGCACAAAAATAAATCGCATCAGTTTATAAGCAGGTCAGATTGGAAAAATGAGTGTATGTGAAACGGTATTAATTAATCATGCAGGAATTTTCATCGTATTCCTCTGCATGCTATAGTATATCTTACCCATTTCAGAACAGTCAGGTCCTTTAAAACCGGAGGGACATTCACATTTAAAACATTTGATTCCATCATCAGTACAATTTCCTCCATTTTTGCAGGGAGCACTGTCACATGGTCGAACTGCAAAGTAATAACCCAGTAAGAGGGAGGAGCAATTTTAATGAAAACAAGTGCAGATAGTATGGGTTTAATTGTCAAGTTACTAGCCCAGTTATAAGAATCATTAAAAAATGACCTCAAATGAATTAAATCTAGCAAAAAAACGTCAAGAAGAACTGGTATACATGAATCATAATCGTTCGGTTTCCGGTTCCAAATTCATTTTAGACACGTCTTTTCAGAGGAAAATATACTATGTTTATGATAGAGGTGCCCTGGGACGTGCCCGGGAGCATACGTATGGTATTTTGAATGCAAATTTTCAAAATAAAACCTGAAGAAGATTATCGTGTATTTTTTCTTTTCCTGGTTGGTTTCTATCGTTCAAACTTTCAGTTATAATTTATAAACCGTTAACTGTATCAGAGCTCAGAGGCGAGCTATTAATTCTTTTTACATGTGACGTCAAGTGTCTGCTTTTTTGCGTTTTCGTGTTACTGGAGCCTACCTCTTTGTTCGCACAAAACACCTTTGTAATGGATTGTGCAAGAACACTTGAATGTCCGGCCGTCATTGTTTTCGGAACATTTCCCCCCATTTCTGCAAGGACGTCCTTCGCAAGGTCTTACTAAAATACAAAAGTCAGCCGTTATACTGTGTTGTATCATTTCTTCAAATTAAATGCACTGATTATAACGCCTGTAACATGACGGGGAAAAGTAATCTTACTTTACGAAATTTTTGCGGTATTCTGTAATTCTGATAAATATGGAATGGATAATCCATGCAGGATGTGCGAAATTCTCTATAGTTTTAATTAAAACTTGGATTTCTGAATCAAACAATTGAATTTTAATATTTAGCAAACCGGATACACTGATATAATATTAACCGTATTAACCTAACACCATCTGTTTCATGTGACCAGCCAATAGACCTTTTTCATAATGACGTCAAACGCGGTTGATTGGCTCGATAGTTTTGTGGAGCCAATCAAATTTCGTGTAACACTATCTTACCTCTCTGACTGCAGTCATATCCTTTGAATCCATATTCACACGTGCAAATAGGATGAGTCTCATTGCCCGCAATCCCTCCATTCTTACACGTTGGTTCGTCCGCTGCTTTTGTTACAGCAATCCACGCTGAAAATAAAATTCGAAAAAATGTTATACGTATCCAATGTGAATTAATCACCCCAAACACGTGGATATAGCTAAGTTTACGTCCTGGATTTGGCTTTAAAAGATATTCAAATACATTTGGAATTGCGGGATGATATGTACCCAAAATCAACATTCTGAATTCGTGTCCATTTCCCTAAAACAAACTTTAAATATTTCTTTTCAGGGAGCGCACCATCCCTCATAGTTGCTAGCTGTGGACTGCGGAAGTTCTGTCATTTTGTTAAAGCAAGTCATTATAAATTAATGGTGAGAACTTTCTCCCCCTTTCCCCTGCTCTGATAATGCATGGGCAAGGGTGCAAATGCCTCACAGCTACGCCAGTCTATAGAGTATCAAATCTTATACAACTTGCTGTGCTAAATGTGACATTTAACAAAGTTATTTTCTTCAGAGGAGCATTAATTAACTAGTTGCTGTTGCCATATGGACAAATTAGTAACAAACTCGCAACAAGAAAACAACCGGATAAAGTAAATAAAGACATGTTACCTGCTAAAATCGCAATGGTCGTTGTTGACAACAAGTTTTTGAACATCTGAAAAAAATAAACTCTATCATTCGGAGATCACGCTTTCAGACGAATATCCCTATGATACGATGATTTATAAAAACACAACCTTGTTGCAGTAGCTCTTCACTTTATTGCACCTTTCAATGTGATAGTTGTAAATTGCAAGCTCAACCTTCTTATATAAACGCACAGGGGATATTAGATTTGCATTATAATGATCGAGACTATCTGGTATTTTAGACAAAGAAATGCTGTCACCAAGGTTTATTTCCGGATGACGTAAAGCAATGTAAAATAATTAGTTCAAAGAAGCAATGAAACAGAATGTCTTTCTCTGCAAGTGAATGGTAAGCCGACGTTTATTTATAACACTGTTTTGCTGAATTTGACCAGCTGCCAGCAATGCCGCACCTTATTTTTGATAATCGTTTTGATAATCAGTGTTATAGTATATAGGCTAATTGCAAGGAAAAATTTAGGTTATTATTATAAGGAAGAATTATTGCAAGGAAAAATTTAGGTTATTATTATGAGGAAGAATTATTGCAAGGAAAAATTAAGGTTATTATAATATGAAGAAGAATTATTGCAAGGAAAAATTTAGGTTATTATTATAAGGAAGAATTATTGCAAGGAAAAATTTAGGTTATTATTATGAGGAAGAATTATTGCAAGGAAAAATTTAGGTTATTATTATGTTCTTTTATTATACCATATATATGTTGAATATCCTGCATGAACTGCTTGTCAATTCACTTTAGAAATTCGTTTTCTTATAATGAACGTGAACTAAGGAACATATGCATGAATCAATGAATGTCTACGGGACAACTGAGTCAAGTGTAAATTTGAAAGTGAATACTTTATAATAGAGTCCAAGCAGATAATTCGACATGCATGTTGTTTGATATGGGGAAGTTGAATATCGGACGGGATTATTTCTTTGCAGAATGCGGGGTTTAGAAGTTTAGCTACTGCACGCAACCATCTAAAGTTTAAAACCTTTTATATTCAGCAAGTCACTCAGTCTTAATTATGGGCTGGCCACGTCTGCAATAACCATACAAGAACTTTCAACGCACAAAGATGTGATATTGGTCATTGTTATTTATCATGACAAATTAACTAATCACCAGTACGGCATGAAAAGTCCTTTGTATTGAGTTTGAGGAAGAAAAAAGACTTTTTTCATAACTCTCAGTAGCAAAATGTGTATACTTCAGGAAATCTGTTGTCACTTACAAATTGGCAAAAACTAACAAGTAAAATGATTAATCAACTCAAATATCACCGTTAATGTCGGACCAGCGTCTAAAACTGTGGATATCATATTGTATATATACATCGTATTAGATCATAACTTTTAAAACTATATTTCTGTAGAAACTTTGTGAATGATTTGCAAATTATTATACACTGATTACATTTTGTTGTACGAAAATAGTATAAATATAGTAATACTAAAAAGGTTGCTTAAATTCGTAACACTTATCTTATATGCCGTATATTTATTATACTGCATATATATAGCTATATATACATACAATTTGTCACAACTGAACTGACACCCTGTTTCTCCGAACGAAAATCGTTGAGCTTGCGTTAGCTGAAATTTGCATGGGTTGGGAACAAAGAACTCAGTTTTAACAAGTCCATCCAACATGCATGCATGCAACGTTCATTTGAATAAAGCATTGTAGTTTTTCTTTTCCAAGCAGTCAGCTTATCTTAGCCTTATAGTTATAGAAGGTACGTGAAAAGGCACCTTCTTGCCTCTTAGCATTTCAAGTAGATATAGCCACGACAAAAAAGTATGGAACAACAAGGCATTTGGTGGGGATCAACTATACGTTTGTATTACATCATGCAGCAAATATAGCAATATTCATAAGTAAATATTTTTTATTAAACGATACAGTTCAACTGTATCTCGAATTTTATTCTCTGCGTGAAATACTAGTTCAGTCTTGTTTGGGTTTTAAAATATGGCTAAATATAGTATTTTTGTTTAACATAAAAATCTTTTGTTTATCATTAAAAAGCAATTGAATTGCAGATCAATTTTGTTAAAAAAGAAAAGACGTTTTTCATGCAGGAAATTTTTCGTTCTTTGCGGATTATTATGAATTATCGATATCTGAGGATGGTTCTAGAAAGGAATTTTAAAATTGCACGTCCTTCGACCTTCACTGATGCTTCACGACAAGCGTTATTTCACCACGAGAATATATTTGGTACATGCATGCAGTTAAGAGTATAGAAAACCAATACCAGCCGCCAATTTCAAAACTGAATAGCTACAAGACAAGATCCGAAGATTAACATCTTAAAACCAAAAAACACAGCTAGATTAACGCTAGAAAAAGCTGAGTTTGATATTTCGCTGATGATGATTTTGGGAAAAATTGGAATATTAATTGGTAGAGCTTACAGTCTCAATACATGAAGCCGGGAGTTCAAATCTCGCTCGGGACAATGATTCTCTGAATTCGGTCAGATCAATACGATTAAGGTTTCTAATTATCGTACAGACGGTAAAGTGTCCATAAATGTGTATAGTGTTTTCTAGATAACATCTCCCATGATAATAATGGATGAGACTATATTATTTCAGACTAAATTGAAATTTTTATGAAAAGTTTGTATAAGTTATCCCTATAAATAAAGTATGTACCCTAACAATGCTGCTGTATAATAAAGAACTTAAGTTCGTTATCTATTTCAATTTTTCCTTCCGAGAAGTGTAAATATTGACTTGAGTAACCACATGATATAGACGCTACCGGAGAACAATTTCTGTACTATTTCAGTGCTGAAGGCAAGTTGAAAAATCTCGCGTGTGGGGGAGGGGAGTTGCCACCTGTCCCATGCTATATCGGCTTGTGTCAGTACGAACTATAATACTGCTGCGTTGCTCCATTTCACTGCGGGTTCAATATAATCAGTAATGCGATTAATTCTGCCGAAATTAGTTACAATTTATGGACAGCATATAGGTATAGTCTGGAACCGCGCATGTTGTCGCAAGGGTAATTCACTGAAATCAGTATTTTACTCATTAAACCTAAACTATATATCAACGATTTGTTTCCACTCTACTTCCAACGGACAGGAAGCTTTTCTTGATGGCGCATGCGCCGTTTCCCTATACTAAGCCCATACTAAATTCTGACTGAGTTAGAATGGGCATTAACGAAGTATATAGCTAAATAAAGCTCTAAAAATGAAATTATATTACATCATGGCCAAGTGAACTTGTTATACGAGGGCAAAATAAACAAAGAAGCCGCAGATATTTAATAATTAATAATTTAGATAAAAGGCGGATAAGCTATATCGCTAAAGTATAGTTGTTACTTCCAAAGACGCCTTCAAGCTGCAGTTACATTACTAATTCATAAACGAGATATCACGAAGTCTTCGTTCTTTTTGGTTATCATTTCTAAACCAATCGGGAAAAAGTTATTACATGGTTTCTTCGCTTTCATGAAATAACTCACGATTCTCGTTAAAAAAATCCAGGCGTGAAAGTTGTGCGCGCGCTTTCAAAGTCATCGAATGAAAACTATTTCGTCTGAGCCAAGGGTAATTTCAGCTCATCCAAGGACGGTCAGTTTCAACAAGAGGAATACAAGGAAAATCAGTTGGAAAGATGTTAAAGAAACTTCCATTACTTTTTTCATATTTTTTGTTACTAGCAGTATTTATAGGTAAACTGCGGTAAGTAATATACTCAAAATTATTTTCCATTAATCATTATATATGCACTTTGTATATCAACTCCAGCAGAGGGACAGAAGATCTAAATAGCACACTGTTATAAAACTGTCACCTTGTAAATTAATTTCACATCCATGCATGCGCGTGCTAATATATAGCGTCGATTATACTCTTTCAAAACCGTATTTCTTATAAGTTCCCGTATTGTGATTGTGTAAATATGGAAACCACAGAATACATAAGCTTCTCTAACTATGCACACGACTGACACGAGCGTTTCCATGGCTAGATACTAAATGTCAATTACTAATATAGGTATATAGTTGCATTCTTTAACTACAGACACCCTATATATATGCAGCTGCATTATACATCCGTGTTCGTATAACCCATTTCACAATTAATGTGTGCCATTTATTATATACACAAAATATCCGGCACGATGTATTAACTTAACGTAACCACGATACACGTAATTTTGTTACATATTTATACTATACTATAATATAAATAATTATATAATCGAATGAGTCAGAAAGCCTATATCCACATTTTTGAATGACGGGGATATGCATGCATGGCATCATATTCTATATAAAAGCTATATAAATGAGTGTACAGCCAATAAGGTGCATTATGTCTATTCCAGTATTTTTTTACTTTTCTCAAAATTTGCATAGATTTCATTGTTACTATAACGGGCAGGAAATTAAGTACCACGTACTAGCCGTTCGTCTCATACAAGCGGCATACTCATGTACTTGAAGAAGTCGACAAACTTGACAAGCCGTAAAATAATAAATGAACTTTTACCAAAACATATAATGGTATTGTTGCATGTGTCGTCCGTGCACCATTTATCAAGTGATTGTGGCCTATATATATATATAGCTCTTACCATGCAGACTGCCAAAGAAATAACAGACACGGACGTTTCTCAACACATTTTTAAAACACATTTTTAAAACAAGTAAAACTCGCACAATCTGAGGGCTTTTTCTGTTTCATGATACGTTTATACTCGTTCATCTATTATGTGAATGTTTTTCAGCATGAAATTCAAGTATTCAAGCATTCAAGTTAATTGTACCTGCTATATTTCCTATAACTCGCAAAAAAAAAACATTAAAAACCTCAAAGAAACAATCATGCAAAACTTGATGAAATTATACTGAAAGGTTTTATGTGTGGTGAAATATAATACGACAACTTGTGAGAACGATTTTGGTAGCGAATCCTGAAATAGATTTATTCCCTTTGAAAAATAAAAAACTGATGTGAACATATTTGTATATTTTCTCTCTTTATAGTTTCCTATAAAAAACAGTTTATAAATGCACTTTTAAAGTTAATAACGTTATTTCGGTTAACTAATAATGTTTCATTTTGCTACCGCAGGGCACAATCTTATGACCAACGTTTGGAAGAAAAGTTAATTGAAAATGTGTCCAAATTACCGAAATTATTTAGATCAATCAGACCTTATAGCAAAGGTACGTATATGAACCAGCTTTAATTAGTTGCTGTGTGTAAAGTTCTCTTTTATATATATTATAACTATAATATGGATTCATTCCTTATACTTGTTTATTATGAAGGTGGTAAACCGCCACACGTGGAAGTGGGCATGCAAATATATTCCATTACAAATATTGATTCAGCGATGCAGGTATAACTTTTAGTTTCTGTTTAATGTGGGGCAACGTCTATATAGCTTGGCTTATGTTTCACACCAGTCCTAATATTACTTGATGTGAGATTTAGGATAGATGCAAGAGGTCAGGTTCCAACGAGGATTCACAACATTAGACAACAGCCTACTGTGTAAAACCAATTGTTAAAGCTCGCCGCACACGTGAGTTACTAGCTGAGCTAAAGACCACGCGTGGCTGTTATAGCTCAGCAAGTTACTCTCGTGAGCAAGTAACTTGTTCTGTTGAATATCATCATAGCAATCCAAATTCGAACTTCTATCTATCTTGTAATCTGCATGTCATGTTTTCAACGTCCAACAGATGTTCGAGGTCGATATGATAATAAGACAGAAATGGGAAGATCATCGATTAAACTTCACTGAACAATCAAATACTAACTACACGATGACCATAAAATATGAAGACATTATTGGCAACATATGGATTCCTGATCTTTTTGTATCTAATGCGAAAACGACAAAACACCAAAGTAGAGTTGACAACAAAGATCTTGCACAGGTTTTGCGAATATCGCCTGGTGGGAAAATTGAGTACACGAACAGGTGAATAATGACTTGGATTCGTGATCAAGTTGTGTGCGAGTGAGATTAGTGATAATGGCTTCGCGTCATGCAAAAAATTTCTATTGCAGTTAAAATTCAAATATTATCTTTTTTTCTGTGAAAAAGAGTTGAAAAACAAAGTTATACGTGACCAAAATGAAGAAATCTAAGATCTAATCTACTTTGTTGCACAATGACTTTTTCACCGGGATGTAGAAAGACAAACCTCCACATCTTGTGAAAGATGTCGAACACTATAAATAACGACAACTATCACTTATTATACGACATATTTTTTCATTCATTAGGTTAGCTTTGGAAGTCTTTTGTGATATGAACTTACACAAATTTCCTGCAGACAAACAGAAATGCAAGATTGTGGTGGAAAGTTGTAAGTTTTAGGAGGATTTATATGATTGCGAATGGAAACACCATACAAGTGCCCTGTCCTGCGATACATGCATGAGCGTAGAAAAGTGGCAATAGCACTTCCTTTTCAGTATAGTTGTGACTGGTTCTTTTCAATACTTAGGGATGTTCATGTCCTGCCTCCTTTCAGTAGACAGCTCCATTTTTTATATTACCCGTAGACAGCTCCATTTTTTATATTACCCTGATTTTATGTCAGATGGTGATCCAGAAGATGCAATGAGTTTAGCTTGGATAAAAGAAGAATGCCCTGTGCTATTTGAGGGCAAATACGGAAGTCCCCAATTCGATATGATTGGGCATTGTCCACAAGTGTCAACCAGTGATATATACTACACTGGAAGTAAGTATGAAGTATGAACGTAGAATGGAATTCTAAGAAAAAATATGTTCTTATATTGCTTCACAAAACCAATTCATATAATTATATAAAATATAAAAACTTTAAGATTCTTTTTATTAGCATACTCTAATGCAAGTATATGCTAATACGACATCACACTAATTTCTAAAATACTTTTACGATGTTTCAGAAAAATTCACTGCACTGGAAACATATATAGTATTTTGCCGCCGAGTGACGTCATATATATTCACAGTATATATTCCAGCTGCGATGATCGTGTTTTTATCTACCGTTTCATTCTGGGTTCGACCAGGCTCTGTTCCAGCCAGGGTTGCTTTGGGTATAACAACAGTTTTATCCGAAGCTACAGTAATGAGTGGATCTCTAAATGCATATCCCACAGTCTCGTATTTAAAAGCGTTGGATCTGTACACAATGGTGTGTTTTTGTTTTACATTTTGTGTGCTCATTGAGTATGCCATAGTGCATATAATGGTTAACAAGAAGATGTACCACCATCATCAAGATCGTGGTTTGGTGAGTTATACAAGCATTGAGTTTCCGGAGTTTTTGCGTATAGGGCTACTCAATAGGGACGAGAGGTCTCCAACAGAAAAAACTGTTCAATAATAATACTGGCATTTATATAGCGCCTTAGTGTTCTAAGCGCTCAAGTTGAAATACCTTAATTTGATTTCGATTGGTTGTTGGGTCATACGGACATTGTTTTAATAACTGATTTATATAGACCGCATTAGAATTTGAATAACATTGCTATATTTTTATTTTCCACCGGATAGCCAGAGGATGACGATGAAGATGAAGACGAATACACAGGGGCGACTATAAATGTCCAAAAAACTGTCGACAGTTATCCGGCATCTTGGACACCGACATCAAACTTGAAATTTGAGTCAAGTTATGCTAATAAGAATGGTTTTCCTCTAAAAAAGGTTCCATCACGATCATTTCAAGCGATCTTCGATCCAAATCTTCCACCCGACAAGCGACAAAACTACCGACGCAAACCAAAAACCACTGAAGAAGAAAAACGAATCAAAGAAAGACAACTACTTATGGATTTTGTGAGTCCGTTGGATACTGTGTCTCGTGTGCTTTTCCCTCTGGCGTTTGTCATTTTTAATATATTCTACTTTCTTTGGATCATGGACACAATTTAAAACTACAATACATTTCCAAACCCTTGGCAGTAAATCTGAAAAAAACAATTAAGGTATTGGATGTTCGGAACAGAAAGGTTCAACGACCGAAGATGGCATGCATCGTATTATTATACACCTGAATATGTTTTTGAATATATATTAAACATCGACTTAGAGTTTTTCCTGTGATTTTAGATGCAGGGTCATAAATATCGCAAAGAGAACGAGTACTGTCATTTTTACAAGTATTTATTAAAGACTAAAACGTTACGATAGATTTAGACTATATACCGGATTGCTTCTGTACTGGGTCAAAATTTGTAGCTATTAAAAGGCAGTAAAAAAATTGACTGTCAGAGATCGAAATAAATACACCAAATCTATCAAACTAATAAGCATTTTTTTCTAACCGTTGCTCTTCAAAGGAAAACGAAGATATCGTTCGAATTACAATTCTGGCAAACATTCTGATCTCGGAGTTTATTTAATTTGTAAGCACGCATATGATACAAGTGCATGTTTGACACTATAGTGTAGTGTATACACTACCAAAAAGCTTTTATAGCAAAATAAATAAAATGAATGACAAACTCATACGGAAGATGCTATGGTGAGTGATGTGAGGTCTGAAAATCAGGAAGAAGCGACAAAACATGTTTCCTTAAATCACTTCTTCGTTTTTCACGTTTTTCGTCTTCTCTTAGCAGTGGGATGTATTTCTTCCAGTAGGTCATCGTCTTGCGAAGCAATCGTCTACAAAATCAGGCAGAATGTACATTTATTATCTTACAATTCATGGTTCCACTTTGCGTTGATCAATCTACAGTTTCTTCTCTAATGGCACAATTAATATGTGGAGACCGTACGTATAAAAACGCATCTTAAAATTAGAGGAAATCTCAGCACCACTGACACTAACAAGAACGGAACCACCATTCAATCAAGCGTATGAATGCATATTTCTGCATGAAGCATGCACACCACTAAAAACATTTCTTATAAAATATTTCGGCATTTTTCATAATTTTGCCTCGACAGCATTGACAGTAAAAAAAAAGATAAAAAACGTACTTGTCGCTGTGTTCGTCAGCCCTGTTCTCTTTATCCCAGTACATCAGTCGTTCTTCAATCACGTAATCTTGCCATATTTTGATGTATTTTTTAGCAACAAAACGTTTGGAGAATTCTTGAGCAATTCTGTCCATCTCTGCCAGATGATTACGGTACTAAAAGATATAAAACAACGATAACTTTAGAGAATGATTGATAAGCAGAAGAAATACGTAACTGGTCGGACTAATGATAGTGTGGCAAAGTTCAAACAAACAAAGTCAAACAAAAAAATTGCGAACACATTCACAATTATATCCCTTTTACGCATGCATGGTATGCAACTGAAGATTGATTTCCATACTTTTCTACATCGAAACATTTGTGTTTTAAAATTTCCTATCATTTATAGAAAACTATTATAATTACAGTAGTTATGAATCCTGGAGTCTAATGAGCGGAGCGGATGATTAGGGTTGATTACGTACATTACAAACCACGTCTGATCATCAGTCTATTATGTAAAGCATCAAGCGTAAACTTTAATGATTCATATTTCTAAACGTATGATTTAACGGCTATTAGCATTTACCTTTCTCCATGACTTCCATCCAGAACGAACAAGTGAAGATTTGTACAGGTTATCAGCAAGATGATTCCTTCGTTTACATTCTGATCTTGTATATGCAAGCCAGTTACGAAAGCAACTCCCTTGTAGATTCCTGTTACAAAATACTTCAGCATTGTTCAGCATTTCGCGCTTAATCAAGATCAATTTCTTCCAAGGTAAGAAACCAAAATTCCTCAACAGCATTCGGTGGTAATGCTCATCGGCTTTTCTGTTCATTTCTTTTATCTCATTAAGACGTTGTTGTTTTTCGATTTCTCGCTGAAATATACAGAGATATTAGTAACTATTGTTGATATATACAGTAACAAGTACTATCGCTACGTGCCACAGAGATTCGGAAAGTATACAACATCGTAAACATACAAAGAGTATTATTATATTTCAGTATTTGAATACATAATAGTGGTAAAGTGCTAAAAATTCATTTACCTGCTTTGTTAATTTTATTTCTTCCCTTTTCTTCTGTAAAGCTGCTTGTTTTTCAGCAAGAATTTCTCTCTCTTTCTCCTCTTGCTCTTTTTTTAACTTGGCCTAAATCGAAACGAAAATTTCTAGCTTCCCTATATATATAGTTAGCGAGGGTAAGAACATTACTTATACGACATTACTTATTGCTAACTCTACAAGCTGTATCAAAATCAAAGTGCACTTTCTATCATGATGATTATTCCACGCTCATATAAATTTTGCATGACTGAATTCAGAGCAGCGGCATTAGGTCGTTAGCGATAACATGAAGGTATACAAACCAACTTTTCTTCTTCAACTGCTCTCTTTTTGGCATCCATAAGAGACTTTCTTTCCGCCCTTGCTTTCGCACGTTCCTCCATGGCTGATAAAGAAAAGGCCAATATTGCGTTAGAAAAACAAACATGACAATGTGGTAGAAAAGCCCAGTGCAAGTTAACAACAGCAGCAGCATAATAAATGAGAAGAAATAAAAACAAGAAACATCTTCACATACCTAAATGCAATGGCTTTGTAGGCGGTTTTTTGGAGATCACTTTTGACTTACTTTCAGCAGACGAAGTTGAACGACTGCTTTGCAAAGCCTCAACGGCTAAACCTTTCTTTTTTGTTATACATGTATCGCTTTCTCGTTTAATGCTGTGTTCAGTGTTAACTTTAACTTCAGTGTTGATATATTTTTTATCATTTATTTCAGTATTTGACGGTGGATCATGAGATTGTATTTTTTCCTCATTCTTTTTGTAAGACGATAGTTTCGGTTGAGAATCCTTCTTCTGGTGTTTAGAAGTATTCTCGATGGGAAGATTATCTTCTCCCTGCATTGCTTTTTTGCTGTTTTCTGGCTGTGTCGTCTTTGAAGCGATGCCTTCTAGCAGTGCGTTTTGTTTCTTCTTTGGATTTCTAGCCTTCATTTCCCTCAATGTTTCGTGAGGCCAAGCTTGTCTTGGAGGATTTTCTTTTCGAGATTTTGAAAGACCAGAGTTTCTCTCGATGCCTGTAACTTCGTACGGTTTCGAGGGAATTCCATCCTATTTGATACAAATAAAACATTTAGTTCTACATCCTTTTCGTTTTCAACTGCCCAGAATAGTAGGCCAAACGGATTGAAAGATTAATGCCTTGGCAAAAAGCTAAAGGCAAAATCATGGTAAATCTGTTGTTTATTTTTATTTAGCTACTGCATTTCTTTAGTCAATAAAATGAAGTCGAATTGTGTCAATTTTTATCAATCATGGAACAAAATCGTTAACATCAGTGATGTATAAATTGCATGAAACTATGCATTTATGTATTTGCACATGCAATTGTTTCTACATGCAGAAGTTGAAAACCTCAGCACGTATATTGTCCATCTACGTATGATGCAAGATAAAGTATTACCAGCTCCTCAACAGGATTGACATCGGATCCAGTCTCTTCTTCAACGTTCTGATCTTGGCACAACTGTCCAGAAGCAGCAGCTTTCAACAAAGTGGTTATTTTCTCAGCTCTCTTATCATGCTGTTCCTTTAACGCACGATCTTCCTTTGCCTTCTCAACCCAAGACAGCCAAGCTGAGAGACAACGATGAAACAGAATTTGGCGATAAAACCTGTCAGCAAGAACTTCTTTTCTATCAAAGAATAAATACGAACATTCTGATTATCAAACGTTTGATGAAAATACTCGTCCAGTTACTCGTCCTGTTCAGGGCTATGGATACATGATGTATCATGTGATACATGACGTGATACATGTTGAGTATATAGTCCCGATACCCTATGGTACACAAAAGTACACATTACCGATGGCGTTCTTTCATTTCTTCATTAAGGGACCTCGTCTCTCGTTCGCTTCTTGAACGTAAAACATAAGTCCTCCACGCATTCCAAATGCGCAATTTCCGTCTCCATTCTAATAAAGCTCGAGCTTTGCCGCATTTGATTTGCTTGTTAACGACCAAAGCATACCATGAAGAGAAACAGCTTTGAAGAAGCTAAGAAAATGTGACGTTTTTAGTAAACTTTTAATTTAATATTCTAAAAGTCTTGGAGTCTGAGGCGAAACACTGAGTTTGGAATCATGTCAGACACAGTTTTGCAGTAGGATTATAAATGCGTTTACATAATTTGGTGGTGCTGTAAGTCCATTACCGAACCTGCTTGCGTATAGAATGCATGTTGCCTATATCTCAGTCATCAGTCAGGTTGCCCATACCTCAGTCAGGGTCAACCCGGCAAAAAGAAGGGCCTGGGAAGAGAGAGTGTTACAACTGTGAGTGTTGTAGTGAAGTTACATACCTTAAGATCTTGTCGCTGTCTGTATTCTTCTTGTTCCTGCTGAATCAACAACTTTCTCCTCGCTACTTCCTTTGCTTCATTATCTCGTTTTAATTTTTCCTCATTTTCTTCTTGATGTTTTCTAACATCTTCCTTAGCGAGTTTCGTTGCCTTTTCCTCACTTTCAATTTTTCTAAAAAATTGTAAAGTAACTTTGATTGTCTTAAATTGTAAAGTAACTTTGATTGTCTTTCTAACGGCACAATTTGGGATATATTAAGCAGTCAGCATTTGACTTCAGGATGGTAACGATGGTAATTTGGGGATTCAGAACAGTATGGATTCTTTATCATCAAGTAAAATACATATAGAGCAACGTGAGAATAATGTCTCATTACCTTGTATATTGTTTGGCACGCTGTACGTTTTCTTCTTGCATAACACGCCTTATTTTCACCATTTCCTTCCGTATTTCATCCTCTTCTCGTTTCATGTTATCCAAACGTTGTTTCTCTTCACGTTGTAATTGCTTTCGCGCCTCTTCTTCGACCGTTTTTTTATTTATCTTCTTCAAATTTGCATTTTTCCACGCAATTTTTCTCCGATTTGCTCTCTCTTTCACCTGACAATAAAATATGTTGTTTTCTAGCAGGATATTTTGAAAACACAAAGTTTATTGGCTCAGGTGTTCACCTGCTCATGTCTTAATTTCATCTTTGGTGTTGGATCTCTAAATTTCTTAGTCTTGGTCTTGAACATAGTTTCATCATTCACAGAACATACGTCAACCACATCCTTTTCCAGCATATTGCAAACCACTTCATGAACAGCATTATCCTCATCAAAATCATCATCTAATTCAAAAACTGTCAAGAAATATAACAAAATTTGAGTGCTAATATCATTCCTACCTATATATACCAAAATTTTACTGTTCCTTTTTTATACAATATTAGAAACACTTATATAAAGTAAATATCTACATAGATGTAGCTATGAAAAAAAGGACTACATATGAGCAACAACTACATTTACAAACTATATGTGACATAGTTTTTCTTCACCTGGTTTTTCTTCACCAACTTTGTTATAATGATTTGCTGAATCAAAAAGACTGGAGCTATGTATATTGTTATAGCGAGAATGTTCAGACAGTGTTGGTTTATCATAGCATACCAATGGTATGCTGGGTACTTCATCCTCAATGTCACATTCTGCCAGTAGATCATCTACGTTCTTTGTATGAATCCATGAATCAATTATGTCTTGACCTAGGTAAAAAAGCTCATCAAAAGATTTATGTATACAAAAAGAGTATTGTGAAAATGTATAGAGTAGACAAACATAGCAGAAAGTTATGTGATTATATATTGATAAACAGAATGTTTTCCAACTTGTAAACCCTCTTGGATTGCTAGCCTGTTAGTAGATATCATAGCACAAAGAGAGTTGTAAATACCTTCTAAGATAGCATCATCATCAACAAAGAAATCTCTTCTACCTAATACCTCACAGGTATTATTGCCGAATATATCCTTGGCTGCATCATCACATGCTTTTTGAACTTGCTGAAATCATGTGCAAATCAACATACATTAAATTTTTCAAACTGAGGTTCTCCAGCAGGAATCAAACACACACACCTCTGTGATTCTGGAGCAGTGCCACACAATTCAATGTTCATATACGAAAAAGAAAGTGCAATACCCATTCCATCTGTGATACCAGTACTTAGTGGTTATAGAGCTTTGCTCCTGAATAGCACAGGTATGTAGGTTTAATTCCATTTTGAAAAGTCAGTCTGGTATAAGACAAATGTATGAATATATACCAACAGACAAAATGCCAAAGTGCATATTTCAACATTAGGCATGTAATCATTTTTCCAAGATAATTAATGGTTTCAAACATATCTGCAAAGCATAAACTGATCAAATGAAAAAAAGGAAACCTTATAACATACCTTGACCCATTCTTGCACATTTCCCCGCGAAGAAAATACCTAGTTAAAATTATTAGAAAAATCTATATACTGTATAACTGAGAATGCATTTTGCATGGCTGCTGAAGTCAAGAGTATATTAAAAGGCAGCCATAGAAGCCTGAGTGCAGATGTAAATAAAGTATGCAGTAAGGTACAGTCAAAATAGACTATAATTTGTGTCTCCCACATTACATCTCTAGCTGAGAGAATGTGCAGTCAATATGATTGCGCTTTGCAATTGCAGGTACTTGACAACTTTAATATACAGAGTTTTTGGAACTTTGTTGTGCCCAAAAATCTGTGTATTTAATGAATTTTAATCAAACAATAATTCTTATTTGTTTAGCCACTAACCGGTTTACTTTCTTGTCGTTTCCAAGTATAAATAGACGAATGAGATGCCATTTAATAGCATGATGATGTAAATATCTTAGGAAACCATTATCATGGGAAGAATATATTATTTATAACACGAAATCGATGAAGAATAATTAAAAAAAAACATCCACCATATTGGATTATGCAGCCAAGAAGACTGGAACTAGAAAGTCGATATTTTGAATACCTCATGTAAGATAAAATTATTTCATTCAGGCTCAGCCAGTGCTTCCCAGTGCTGGTATTTCGGGAGCTAGGAATTTGGGATGAATTTTCATTTTTCAACTTTGAGACACATTGACATCGTTTCTCTACTATTCTCTCTAAGCTCTAATCTCGATGGATCAGAGCTCGATTCGTTAGAGAGTTGACACTTCAACAACCGTACATCAGAGGCCTCTGATCGACAGTTAGTTTCTTTAAACCTGAACATAGTTAAATAGTTAATACAGTGTGTCCCAAAAAGGTACTCTTAACAACAAAAGAGAGTGATTTCAATAGGGGACGCACGGTATATTAACTATGGCTTGAGAATGAAGATTCGACGCGACCAAAATGCGACGTATAACCAAGGCCTCAGAGACAATAAATATCCTTCACATTGAGCCTGGTTACCCAAGATTTAACGAAGAGCGATTAACTTTACCTCACTGAATCATCTCACTCTTAAATTAGTATATTGTGAACAGCCCCTAAGCGTCGTTTTAACGGCGACTCCTCGCCAAAAAAAGGCATTCAGTTCGATAAATTACTTACTCCATTATAATTGGACCTTTTAACTAACTACGATCAAACTAATCTAGACTCAAATACACATAATATATTTTCTATAACTATAAGAATCTTCTGGATTTAGTTACATTTTCAATCAAATCGAGCGCTTTCTGATTAGTGGTAAGTTTTGGTTCAGTGTGTTTTTATGTATCAGAGATGGTAATGAAAAAATCCCGATAGCAGGATTAAAAATGAAATATTTTCTCGCTTTCTTCTTATGTTTTTTGCCGAATGTTTTCCGTTCTTTATTTGACAGTAGATCTTTACTCGTATTCCATTTTTCGTGAAGATATTGCATTTCAATTTCTTCGGAAATTTCTAAAATAAAATGAAGTTAATTTCGACAAGTCATGTTTTAACCATTCAGTATGGCGTAGTACAATTGTTGTTGTACATTTGCGTGACGATGAACAGTATATCATCTTTAAGAAATCATATACAGCGTTATTTTCGTAACATATAACGTTAGTTTCGGTCAATCAATTAACCAGTTTCTGGTCATTCAGTCATTTTGACCTCGTTCAGTTACACTATACCGGATTCACATGGTCATGACATGTTGTGTTAGGGAATCTCTGTCCCCAGAAATTATTCACTTGACAGATCGCGTTACGCTTTGATAAAAGGGATAATTTTGATGTCGTGGACTGGACATGCGAATCATGCGGTATAGTGTAAAAAGGGCCTTCATGCATTACCTCCACTTCGTTTTCTAATCCTGAAGTTTTTCAATAACGACAAAATCTAAATTTTCATAAATCATAAATTCACGTTCAATGCAATTTTATATCGACTGCCTTTGCAAGGGGGTTCATAAGACAAAGAGAGTTGTCACCGCCGTGGTCGATAATATTAGAAATATGATTAGAAATGCAAACAAGGAAAATCATGTGGAAAATGTTTTGCGAACGTTATCCAACATGGCGACGACAACGGAACTCGTACAGCATTTCCAGCTTGTTGATTATATGAATTATATGTTTTTTTGGGGGGGGGGGCAGCTTGGCTCGATTAGCCTCAATTAGTAGTGTTTACACTACAAACTGAATTCCCTTGGCCTATGTCTGAACCAGACCTACTGAACTAGACTAAAGCCCCGTTGACATTACACGCTATAGTTGGGATAATGTAGTTGACCATCTTTGACCATCACACCATGGAACTGTCGTTTTTGTCCTCAGCATTTATCCATTTATAAATGAATACCATTGCCTTTTAACATAATCGACTCGTTTCAGTTTTGGCGAAAAACAGTTGGGTTACTTATCCGTTTCTTTTGTATCCGTAACTTTCGAGTAACGCCTACACCGAATTCAATCATTTTCGACACGTTTTTTCGCATACATTGGAATAATAAACGCACAAATTCAGTGTCGTTATAATCCATGGCGGTCAAGTGATAAGCCCGTATACGTTACTACCTCAACTTACCTTTATTAATTTGACTTTCATCTTTAACTTTCAGATACCCATGTATGAAGAGTGACAATGCATCTGGCAGCTGTCATATATTAACTACAACTTTCATACAGGATTGCCAGATTGCTAAAAAAGAAGCCAAACATTGTTATAGTCGGCCCTCTGATTTCTTTGTTTCAAACAATGAAAACAACGATTATGGTAATAATATTTGGCTAATTTATACAGTAACCTGGCAACTCTGCTTTCATATCCAAATCACGTTTACAATTTTTTAGTGCTTGGGTGATAAAACTATTTTCAGCCAATCCGATATAACAACTATAAGCACGCACGCTATTGTTCCTAAACCACTTCCATTGTTTTAATAATTGTATTTTCATCAAGGATAAAATAGATATAGCGTCGCGACTCTGAGGGCTGTGTTAGACGTTGCATTTTAGTCGCGTCGAATGCAATTCAAACAATAGATAATGAGATGATCGACCTCATTAAGCTTCATTATCATCTCATTATCTATTGTTTGAATTGCATTCGATGCGACGCCGAAAAATGCGAAGTTTAACGCAGTGTAATCAATTATTGTGAACTTTGAATATTTTAAACCCAATATGAACAATTATCTACGAGGCTACCTCAACCAGAAAATACCTATCTGGATTCATCACTCAGCAAGTACCGTAAATGGAGACAATCACCCCTCTGCCAACAGCCCATTTTCAATATGGGCAGGGGGGTGATTACTTCCATTAACGGTACTTGCTGAGTGATGAATCACGGGAAGAAACCCCCCTGCCAACAGCCCGCAAAAAACAATGGAGATGTCCTTCTGATAGGTATTCTGTGCCTCAACTGTCCTCAAATTTCCAATGGCACCAATTCGTGTGCTTTAAAAAATTTAAACTTTTAATGAGTCGTTTTAAGAAGTCTTTGCATTTAGCTTAGTGCTAAGTGCTAGGCCATTATGGCCTAGGGCTAGGTTAAGGTTTAGGATCTGTTTACATGGAGCGAGTTATCCCGGTTAGGCGAGGTGAAAACGGCAAAACGCCTGCAAATAATAAAAGACTGATCAGGTTAAGCCTTGCTGCATGTAAACAGACCCTAAAACAATAACTAGCAATTTTAACAGCGCGTTCTACTTCAAAACTCGCCTAGCTGGGATAACGCGCTCCATGTAAACAGGCCCTAAGACATAATGCATCGACAAGAAATTAAAAAATAACAAGTGAAGGTCGAATATGTATTGGTGCGCCCAATGGCAGTGCAGATAAGAATAGATTTTATATTTCTAATAGATTCCAATAATTTATTCCAAAAATCGCTTACAATCTTTTGCTGCGTCAAATGCAATGTGACAATGTGGCTGTCAATAGCCGAATTCATATTAGAGACGGGAAACTCATCAAACTCAACGGGAAAGTTGATGGTCTAAATATGATGGTCAAAATTGACCCGTCTAAATATGAATAGGAGTGGTTAAATTTTTAGATGTGATGGTTCGGGTGATGCTAAAAAGTGTATCGTAATTAATTATTACAATAAAAATTTTGTTTGTTTTTTCTTAGCCTTGTACCTTCCGTGACCGTGTTGATATTTCTGAAACTCGTCTGATTTATCCGTCTCGGCCAGACGAGATTCCCGTCCAACTTACCCGTCTGTTTAGCGGGAAAAGTTAGACTGGAAAGTTCGGACGCCCAGAAACCCGTCTGTGACCAGATTCACATGCATCAGACGAGTTTCCCGTCTCTAATATGAATTCGATTAATGTTCCTACAAAACGATATTCATTATTCCAACTCAAGGAAAATGACTCAGTGTCCTAATTCAGTTGAAGCCTAGGAATACTCCTCTCTGACTAGCAAAGTGTATGCCTTTTAATGCACACAACACAAGGGACAGTGCGTTTGACACAACTTTCTTTAAACTTGAAGCACTTGAACAATTTTCTTTGAAAAATTTTTCGTCTTCGTGAAGTTCGTCTTCTGTGCATTCACTGGCAACTTTATTAAAATGAAAGTAGCAGAAACGATTATGTGCAATATTAAAAAAACACCTTTTACGGTTTAAGAAGAAAACGTATATACGCTGTATATACGTAGCTATATTGAGCGTGAACACGCCAAAAAGAGGACTAAGAAAATGTGATATCATTGAGAAAAACGTTGGTGTATTTTCACGAGGAAAGTAAAGAATCCACAAATAAAAAATATTTCTTGTAATCATAGAGGTATGTAACAAACGAAGCAATTTGACTTGGCTGCTGAAAAGCGTTGATATCAGACCGAAATTTAATATAATGCGGCATATCATCAAATGTTATGTTGGCAACCTGCCTAAAAAATCTTTGTAATGTCTGTTATTTCGAAACTATATCAAACTTGTTTAAAAATTTGAGACAAATATGACAATGTTAATAGTCTTGCTATGCAATAATTCTGTGTTTCGAACTTGTCACGACAAGTCCTGACATGACGGTAACAGGAAACAAGAATTAATATTGCAACCACATTGCATCATTTGCATGGTGACAAATCTGTTGAAATGTTTTTATGTGCATAGTATCACATACCCGTCAAGGCGTTTTCTGTAGATGACTTTAAGGAATAACATTGTGAGAGTATAATACTAAATACTAATAAATCTGTTGATTATAACAGTGCAGAAAACGATAAAGCTAAAGTGCATATTGCATCAATATTTAAACTGAAAATTACTGATGAAAATCACCGAGTTACCTTCTACTAAGGCTAAGACCGACCAGTTCAATGTTGCTTGTCCTGTCGGCGTAGATAACTTTTTAAACATGTCAACGTTTATAGTAAAAATTCAGTCAAAACGCATCTAGACCAGCCTGCCAGCCAATGAATATTACAGTAAATATACTCTTAGCCTGTGTGAATGACAACTGTCTTAATAATAATATGACATCTGCGTGTGACAAAGGCGACATATGGTTTGTACAATATTTGTATTGGCATTATTTTGATGCCACGTGCTCTGACGTATTTCTGTTTCTGAAATAAACTTCTTTCAATAACCATGCGTGCGGCTGGGTACCTGCTCCCAAGTATTTGTCTGTAGTTTACAATACCTTTGAAACTCAACAAAGTCAGCATGTAATCTGCCTCTAAACGTAAGGTAGTTTGAACGTAACGTATTATACGGCTACGCCTACGGCATGAGCAATACAAAAACAAAAGTAAAAAGAACAAGGTGGCATCAAAGGGGAGGATGATAACTGATAAGACAGATAAGTAGCATATACAGCACAGTTGAAAGCATATATAAGTATTGAATATTTAAATTCAAGACTGTTTTCAATTGTTCTAGAGAATGAACTCGTTTTAGTGGTGAAATTAGGATTTGTGAAGCTCGATTTTCACTCAGAAAATTCATAGTTTCTTTGCTTTTGGCTTTGTCTGCAACTTCCTAACTAATGACTGAGGGAAATTTTATATATTTTCTTAATTTTCTTAAAGAAGCAGTACGTGTCCTTTCGACGGTTTTGTCATGACGACGTTCCTTTCGAAGTTCTACCTTTATAGACTGTAGTACATTAAATTCGAATTTAGAAATTTTTAGTCAAACAAACGCCCGAAATTCAGACAAGAGTCTAGGAACGCCGGAACACTAGAACTAGGGGAGGGCAGCAGAGGCAGCTTTCCCCCCTTGCCTTTTATGAGTTTTATCAGCAGCGGCAAAGAATGATGGTTTCATCAAAGTGTAGTACTCTTTCTTTGGTTTCTGGTTTCATGCAAGAGTCAGAGTAGCCTGCATGGCAGGCGGTCCCTAGAGTCAGGGTTACGGGGTTACCTGCTTTGAAAATTTAATAGAATCTTAAACATTTGCGAAGATAATATGTCGAATAGGGTCTCCTGTTTAACTAAACTATTAAAGGTTCCAGTTGCAAGCAAATGCAATAAAAATATAATCTACATCAAAGGAGTAGACGGACACGTGCTTGCTGGTCCAAAGTCATGTGGGAAAACAAGTTTACTATTTGAACATGCCATTACCTGTGCTGAAAACGGGGACAGCGTTCTTTTCATTGCACCTAAGGTTTTTACTAAACTACCATTGTTTGTAAATGGGCGAAAACAGCCGTCAACAGTGGTTTTAGAACGTATTTATATTGTCTATTTGGCAAATTATGTCGAGTTAATAGAATATTTTGCAAGTGCTCATCTGGACAGATCACAGAATCCACGAGTTGTTTACAGTCGACATGTGTTGATCGATGATTTTGATTGGTATTTTCAAGAGAAGAAGACAAGAACAGAGGACACAAATCGATTGGCAAAATGCATGGCTTATATGATTGATGCTCTAAAATTTTGGTCTAAAAATATGTAATTATGCGATGTTTAAACTTAATAATTAATCAAAATGGTATAACCATAGCAGCCCAGAAATGTTACAGTCAATGGTCACAGTTCGGACTGTTCGGTCTATTATTATGATAATAATTTTAATTAAATTTAATAATATTATAATATTAATTATTTTATTATTGTCACATACATGCGCGAGCGCCATGAGAACAAAAACATTTCTGGGCTGCAGTTTATGGTGCTTTGATCACTGTTTTGCCCACTGCACACTATGAGGACCACCTGATGTAAACCATACCTATTTGATATATCTTTAGATTGTAAATGAACCAATATATTATGATTGGTTTACACTTGGACTCCATTCCCCTTATATGTATTCAAGTTTCATCATAGGCATGTATGGTACGTGGGCTTAAATTTTGTGGGGCAGGCAAATGTCTTCAGGAAAAATTATACAACTCTCAAATATAAATAAAATGCCAGACTTATCACTGACTTTAGGAAAAATTGCCCATATTTTAGATTCAATTAATGTTTCTGGCAGAGCATAATTTATTGGAATTTTCGTCAATACAAGTTTTCTAAAATCCTAAAAACTTGAATCCAGGGTTATAGCTTATTATTTTGTATTTACATTTAGGGAAGCCTGTTCAGATGCAACCAGCTCATTTGTCCTTGCTGAAACTGTGCAAGGTGATGTAATATTTAATGCTGAGAAGCTAGGATTGTATATGCACTGGATTTCAAACTTCATTCAAGTACAAAAACTTGGCAATTCTTTCTTTTGTGTCCAGCGTATAAAAAATGATGAATGCACTCTATTGTCAGACTTATTACTTCATTATCAAATTGATAACAATGCAATTACAGTTAAAGAGCAAGAATTTTAGTTTCTAGGCTACATGCATGGCCTGTGGCCTAAATGAGATATGTCAGTTGTGTTAATTGTTTTGCTGATTTGAAGAATAGATTAAATGGGTTGTTGTTTGTGACCAGAGTCACGCAAATTGACAGTTTAAAGAGATCAAGAGTCAAGACTGTTAAGCTTCGGGCGCTTTTTCTCAGCGAAATATTTCTGATTGGATTCGGATATTTTGCACTAGGACCTACTTTTTTACTAAACCAGTCTGCCCGTCATTAGAGAAATGAGCACGTACTACATAATTATTAAATTAGTTTGCTTGAGACATAGAAATTACATTTTTTGCAAGAGTTTTATAAGAATAATTTTATCATATTTCCTTGCTGTTATTATTATTCCAGCATTTTGTGTTGAACATATTAAAGATTATTTAAAAATAAAGAATTATTTTTCTTTTGCGTGATGACCTTTTTGATGCTGATTCTTATGACCAGGTTGTTTGATCACAGCTCGGCTTCGCAATCTGGTGCTTGCATTTTCACTAATATTTGCCTTCATTTTCTCTGGAAACTTCACATTTTGTTTTTGCATACACTTGTCCTTGTCGTGCAAAGTCATAATAGTTTTAGTTTTATTTGACGACGTCAGTAGACGAAGCGAGTTACGACGAGAAGCGTCAACTGATTTCTCTTTTTCTTTTCCTCGTACAGGCTCGTCAGATATTTTCGTTTTCTCAACTTTTTCATATGCACGTGTTTGATCAACGTCTCTTATTCCTTTTTGTGATATTACAGTGTTGGAGGTATCACTTGTTTTATCCGTAACATCTTGATTTTCAACTTGTGTTGTTTGTGGTGCGTCGCATGAGAAATTTTTCTTCAAGGTTGAAAATGTTCCAGTGCAAATATCTTCATTGGCATCGCTTGATTCTTCCTTCTCTGTCCATATATCGTCTTTACTTCTCAGTTTTATTGAACCCGTTTCAGTTTCCAACTTACCAGGTTTACTTGATTTATCATGATATATTGCATGTGAACGTGCATCCTTCCTACGAGTTTCACAATTTTCTATTTTGCCACCCGAATGCTTGTCCGTTTTTGTAGTTATGTTGTTCCATTTTTCCAAATCTCTAATTTGTGTAGGTAGTTCAACGTTCTTGCAAACGTTCAAATTTTTCTCACTATTCTTTCCATTAACGACACAATTGCCCTAAAGACAACGATGAAGTAGATTTAAGCTCTCTATTTAACCATGAAGATTTAAGCTCTCTATTTAACCACAATAAATGATCAAGTCAAAGAAAATTTTACCTTCTCAATTATCTTCGCATTTTCATTCTTTTCCGCAGGTTTTACTTGTTTTATGGAGGCAGCGTGAGGCTTTCTTAATTCAATAGGTGTGCTAGCTTTGTATTGAACATTTGTTGTTTTGCTTGTTTGTTTCACTCCGGAAGATATCATGTCTTGTTGTTGAACCGTCTTTCCTCTCGAAGGACTACTGCCGTTGTTTTCCATACGCTGATAATTTAAAGGCTTGGTCTTTACTTTTGGAGTCCTATGAAATAATGCATTTGCATGGTTGAAAGGTTTGCGCCGTATTAATCGCAAAAACTGAAAAACTTAAAAGAAAAAATCGCAAAAGAAAAAGAATACTATAGTCGGATTACCCTCCTCGTTTTTTCGCATTAAAAGGATATCGTCTGTTAAAGCAACATGCTATTAAGAAAGGTGTTGGGGCACAGTGATGTCGACTTGTCAGTTTCATGGTATCACATGGAAACTCTTCAGATAATATTGTATCTTCATACAGATCTTGTAATGTCGGAAACTTTGGCATACCCTCGTTGCCATTATAGCTAACACTTCTTAGATACACTTTTAACTTCCTCAAACGTCGTTCATCTACAAAGTTCCAGGAGAAACAATTATTGCAATCACTGGCATCAAATCTTGTGAAATCAAAGACGATTGTTAATCTGTCGTGAAACTGTTATGGAAAGTACGAGGGTATTACACACATCTAATAAATCCGTTATTCTATTATCGGAGACTTGAATGAAAGCATTAAAGGTCATCTCTCAGTCTAAGCAATATCATAATATACCTATCTCCTTCTTGTTAGCTGTTGTAGCTGCATTTGATTGACAAGGGCGAGATCCACCTGTAATTTAATCTTAATTTTACACGAAATATCAAGTGAGTGTGGGCTAGAAATATAGTGAGAGTATGGTCAACAGGCTGAGGATATTGAGTAGGGCCATTACCACAATCATTCTCAAGAACGTCAGATCGTACACCAACACACGATACTTACTTTACGCTTGGATGGGATATTGAAGTAAAAATATTATATTTCAAAGTTTTTATAATGAATAGGAAAAACCTTAGAAGTTATACCTTTTCTTGATGGCCTCTGCATTTTCACACTACGTACTTTGTCACAAAAAATAGCGAAATTTAACTAAAACATTCATCCTCAATTAATTAAACCGTTCACATCAGCATAATGCACGCGCAACATTTCAAAATACGCCACGAAGAAAGCAAGCTCCCGCGCACGCTTTGAAAAGAAATATTATAGCTTCACAGAGGAAAAAATACAGAGCACTTGCTTGAAAAAATACAATATATTCTCCCTGTGATGGCAGCGTAGATACTGCAATTAATGGTTGGAAAGATTCGCCTCATGATGCATGCATATGGGGTGAGCTTGGATTCATGTAAGACCGCTTCATGGGTGAAGAAATCTTTATCTCTCTCTAACTTTTTTTCTGCAGTTAGCGGTTATACCACTTCAACGAGAACGAGATGATAGCATTACCGCTTTTATTTTGGCCACTGACCTACCTAGTATAAGTGAGTGATTCAGGCGTACTTTTACCAAGATGGCTCGAATAAATTAGGAAAGGTATCTTTTCCCCAGTGGTTTTCCCTCTAAAACAGTTGACGTCATTGTCGATTGATCTAATTTCCAGTAATTTCTGGTTCCCAGTCCTTGCGTTTTTGACCATTGTCAACATTTTATTCTATCAGTTCTGTTGTGCCACATGAACTATTTAGACAACGTTTAGTACCTTTACGACGCACCAAATCTACGACGCGGACGTAAAGTAATACTGACGTTATTTCCACAGTTTAACAACAGCGATAAAAATTATAAGCTCCTTTTGGTAAAAAAAGTCAAAACCGTATATGCAAAACAAATTAAAACTGGGTTCCCACGGGCCATCCCACCACTAGCGGCTGTTTTCATGTCACGCCCGCGTCGTAGACTTGGTGCATCTTAAACTCGCTATTATCTTTCTACGATTTGCGTGCATACTCCGTAAGTACTATATCTGGTGAATTACATGTTTATTAGTTTTCTGTATAATGTGGGATTACGTATACATCGTGCGGAATATCGGGATGAGAATGTCTCAATTTTTTTACAAACGACCTATTCACAACGTTTTTCATTACGCACGCTTACAGATTTGTTACATTGAGGATGTATATGATGCGGATCGTATACAAGATAATCCATTAAAAATCATTGTTCCAGTTCTTCAAAGATACAATTGAAAGGTGTTACTATTTCATGGTCTTCTATAGCTAGACATCATAGAAAAACTTGGCCAACTGGTAGCGAATAAGAAAGGCCATCAGACTTCCTACAACCTAAATATATGAAAAATATTTAGTTTCTGTGTGGCATTTTTAGAAGAGTTTAAATCCATTTCTATACTCTGGCTCAGATGTCCTACGATTTGCTTAGGCTCTTGACCTTTGTGTTAATTTTAATTAAATGCCCGAACATTGCAAGCCAGCTTGTTTTTGGGGAAAAAATGAGCCTCTATGCTCACGTTGTACAATTTAAAGTTTTAAACAACTGTCAAAAATATAAGTAAGTTTTAGATAGATACCTGAATACCAAGTATATAACTTGTGAGTATCTTCTCATTCGTTGGTCCAGCCAATCTCAGGACAAAATTAATCAACGTCAAATTACTTATTTCAATGAATTCGTTATCCTCGCCGACATCTCGCTCTATGTCGATCAAATTGAAGGTCTCTAAAATTCCTAAGCTAAGCTTTCCAAGGTAGTTCAAATCTGACTCCTTAAAAGTGGATTTGCTGGTCCCATGGAGACCAGTTTCTGGATTCAATCTAGAAATAATACAATTCAATGTCAGAAAGATTAAATTACTGGAGATAGGAATCAAAAGGTAAAAACATAACTCCATTGTTTTTTAACTTTTTTTAGCACATGTTAATTAACTGCTTATTTTTACACCAACTGAGACCCTGTGATCAGATGATTCATATGTTGGAACTACATACAGTACAGTATTATGTTATTTCTTTAATTTTTATCCAGACAAAGTAGATATCTGATGGGTTGAGTAAATTCATCCTTAAAAAAGGACAGGCATAATTAAAATCAACTTACTTTGGCAACCTGTGCCTTGGACAAGGTATAAGGTGAAAGAGTTGTGGCAGTGAATAAAGAAAATTTAAAACTTGGGGGATAAAAAACAGCAGCAAAGTTTTACTAAAACGACCCAAGATTCCTACAACAGCAAACGTCATACCAGCGAAGTAACAGTATGTGTCACCTACAAAAACACTTGATGGATACCTAAAAAAAATTAACACTTCTTCATTCATTCTCTATCCTAGGGCTTGGATCATGCCTTTCACAAAAAAACATAACAATTCACTAGCATGCTAATTTTTTCCAACTTACCAATTATAATACAACAAGGCTGAAGAAACAGCCAGAAATGGAATTAGAAGATACAATGAAAAGAGATGTGCTCGCCAACAATCCCCTTGTAATTCAAGAAAGTTGAATAACATAACAGATAAAGTGATGACCGAGGATTGGCCTACTTCAACACCATTTATACCAGCAACAATGTTGATGGCATTTGTACAGAATACAGCAAGCATTCCCATGTATAAATAGTACAGTACTCCTATATAATGAAAACCAAACAAAGTCAAAATAATTCCCACAGATGTTTCACCACTATGAATGACATATTTGACTCCTGTAAAACTGTGCGTTTCAGCTTTTCTATTGCTTAAAAAAGGTTATGTCTTTTTTTATACAAAAATTGAATTATTTGCAATTTTTCTCATGGATTACAAGGCTATCAGTAAAGCAAAATTTAAGATGGCTCAAAGAAAGCCATTTTATTGGGGATATTTTAATGAGTTGGGTCTATACTACAGATTAATTGCATGCAAATTTTCCGACCACTGCAATGCTCTGAAAAATTACCAAGATTAACAGAAAGTCCAAGAAAGAACCTAAATGGTTTGGGTACGACAATGGTAGTGGAGCCAAAGTTAACAAGATAGACCATGAGTATTGGAAGTGATGCCATAGTTGGAAGCAATAACTTATGACGCCATCTTAGATTTAACACATCGTCAGCAAATCCAAGGAATATCATACAACAGATGGACAACAGAGCTGCTATCCACTGAACAAACTACAATCAGAAAAATAGTAAAATTAGGTTTATGTTACAATGCTCTGATAGAATTGTAGCCTCCATAAATTACCTCATGATGGGGAAAATCGTCAACACCATTCTTCCACCATACTGTCCAAAATGGAAATGGTATAAAGACAAAAAGACATATCAAATACACAGCTCCACATAACACACCCATTGCTTCAGGACTAGAAATAAGGAGAATCATCTTTCAGATACACCTCCAAGTACCTCCTAAAATTTCTTTACCAGGTCTATTCAAATATTATTTCTCCATCAAAATAGTCCTTAGGCATGTATTCACAGTAACATCTGGAGTATGTACTGTACATTTTTTTTTCATAAATTTTTATATTTTAGGTCATTATTTATTATATGATATTTAGAACGTATCAACTCACATCTCTGGTTTGTCCTTCTTTCCCATATCCCTGCCCTTTAATCCTGCTGTGATAAACATCTTTCCCATGGCTGGAATAATTTTTAGCGTCAGAAGAAATCCAGCTACGGATAGCAGAACATTCAATGCAAGTGGATAGACGACCATTTTTATACAATTTGAATGTTGCTCTTCACAACCGCTGAATAGAAACATTCTTTGCTTTTGTTTTCGTAATTTTTTGCTTATTACACTAAATTAATTGTCAATTAACAGCAAAAAAAGCGTTAATTGAGTCATGGACTCATAATTTGTTAGTATTGACTTATTGTTTTTAAATTCCTATAGTTCCCCATTAGCCGCCATATTGAATCCAAGTGTGAGTCAGAGTTTTGCTGCGAGGCAGTATGGTGTGAGTCTGCGCACGGAGTCTGTCATGACCACTGCCGTGAATCACAGAATCACAGCGTATGTCTTGTGGTAATGATGGTAATAACAAAATAACAGTGAACTAAGGCCCTGTTTAAACTACAGGGTGTATAAAAAAAACTGCAACCCAATAATTCCCTAGCCTGCGAATAACAGAAACTATTTACACGCTTATTCCACGGTGGGGGGAAACGCGATAAACTGCTTGATATCTATTTATATCAATATACAGGGTGTATAAAAAAAAACGCAACCACTTAGTATTCATGAATATCCTCTTTGTTCTACAACACAAGAGACGTTTGGCCCCTGGAATGCGAGAAAGCTTGTAATCATATTCTAGCGGCACAATCGTCGGTAAACAAAGTCAGGTGCGTAAACCAACGAACTGAATTGAAAGTATTTAACGAGTAAAATTTTACTTACAACTTATTTTATAAGGTTGACAATAAAAACTCGTTGTTCGGTTGTTAGCTGCACCATTATTAGTTTAGCTGATTTGACTATTAGCAGTTAAACTGTACGATTAGAAGCCATTTTAAAATCCCAGGGGCATAAAATCTATTGAGCTTATAAACAATATGAATTTTAGAATATTAAGTGGTTGCGTTTTTTTTGAGACACCCTGTACTGTATTTCTATTTATCGCGTTTCCCCCCACCGTGGAATAAGCGTATAAATAGATTCTGTTATTCAGGCTAATAATCCACAGATGCCTACGATCTTTTGCTATTGAATACAAGCGAACATATATGAATATTGCACATGTTTGATACACCCTGTATACCGGATTTGCATGGCACGACATCAAAATTAGCGATGTCAAAGCGAGGTTCACCCCATGAGGCATGATCAGGGCCGTAGCTAGACCGCTCAATATTCATATATTCAGGTTTACATCCATGGATATCACAGGAGACAAGAAACAACAGAAATTTGTCGGGCAAAAGATAGACAAAAGACGAATATATGAAACACGAATTCTAGGAGATGTTTGGGACCTTATCAATAAACTATTCACAAATGTAAAAAAAACAAAATGGTTAAAAACTTCTTGACGTTTCGACCTAAGCTAGAGCATTCGTTGGAGAGTTAGTGGTTCGAAGACGCTGCTGGAAGAACCACTCCTTAGCTACTAACACGAAACATATTTACATATGAATAATTGTATATTAGGAGAGGACTATAATACGGTGGTAATAGCTGGTAAGATTGATCCTGAACTGGCGTGAGTGTAGTAACACATCAATTAGAAAACGTCGCCTTTACCAGAAAATTGTGTTTTTTGTGGTGATAGTTCTACTGGTATTACTGCCGCAGGACTGTCTGTAGCTGATCTCGTATCTAAGCTTGGAGTGTGATAACAGGGGCAACCGGGCCAGCAATGGCATAATGCATAGAGAATACCAAGGATACAAAGAAAGATAATAAAACCAACACTGACTCCAATTGCCGCCTCTTTTGTTTCGTTTTGAGATCTGGAGACCGTGTTTGAACATGATTTACGACAAGTATTGTCAGCACAGCACGTCTGTAATCTGAAGCAATCTTGAGAATATCTGCAATGTAAACAATTTCCACGTACAACCAAGGATATTAGTAGGAGTCCAACGACACTTAACCACGACATTTCTCTCTTGTATACCAATTAGCCTTTCTCACTATGACGAATACGCCACCATTTCCAAGGTACTTTTTTAAAATCGTGAACGCAAGGCTTCGTAACGGCAAACAGTTTTAATTTCAGGCTAAATTTATTCTTTAAAATGGTCTGTTGACTCTTATAAAGACCCCTTTTCGTATTGTTATAATTTCTTAAAGCTGTTTACGCTAAAATCGGCGGATATTCGTCATGAGGAAAATTATCATACCAAATTTACCAATGTTTAACGTGTGCTAATTTTTTTTCGCTTCGAACCTTTCTATGTACATATCCATTTGATCAAGGAGACTGCTTAACGGGCACTTTGTAGACTCACGTGTAAAAAATGCCCGACTTATCACTAATTTCAGCAAAATTGCTCGAAAGAATGCTATCATGCAATCCAGCACGATAACCATTCGGTAATTGTTTTTAAAAATTGCTACAGTAACACAATGGTTTGTAACTTCGTACAGGATTATCTCATTCTACACGGCTATCAAGCAATCAGAATTTGATTTGTACAGAATTCTTCATCTTAATGTAGATAATCAAACAAATTTCTTACAAGTTATTTAGATTGATTACATGTAACGCCTCAGCTTCATTAGTCGAGCCTTTGAAAGAATACTAATGAAACGAATTATATACGTCATCGATGACGATTTCGGTTCTATCGTGGAGGAAGGAAGATTTTATGGCGAACTCTTCTCTTTTCTTCGCGATATTTCTAGTCTTGTTTAGCCCATCACAAATTAAAAAAGAAATTTAGACCTTTTAAGTTGTGATGATCAAAAGAAAAGTCCTCTCATTCGACGACCAACGCCGTGACGATCGTAGACAACATTAAACTTTGTAATAAACTAAATAAAAATATAATGTTCAAAAATATAATGTTTTAAACGTAAAAGATTTTAGCTCTAAATACAGTTATAAATAGCTTGAAGTGCGTAGTAATTCGACAGTTAGAAACACAATTAGAAGCCAATTTAAATTCCTAGGAACTAAAATCCTTTATGCCTTGAGCTTTGAGACGAATGTTATGCTTTGCGAACAAAGTTTCTTAGGAAACTTCGGAGTTGTGTTTTTTAATTTTAGTACAGTCGGGCCATAGCGTACCTCGTTTATTGTGTTACATCCTTTAGTTATAGTTGCCAGGTATGACATTAAAACGACATCATTGCATTGCTATGAAAAACCAAAGTTCAGTTAAATATTGCATTCGAAGAATGAAATAAAAGCACACTAAGATAACCCAGACCAAGCCTCCATCCAGTGTACGTACTTCGGCACAGGTCTGACCTAGTATTCGTAGTCTGAAGTGATACTTACATTGAAGAAATCACCTTTGAACATTTCTGTTGTCATCACGGGAAGTCGTTGGGTAAGACTGAGAATATCACGCATTATCTCGTGGTTCGATTGCAACTCTCCTGTTGTAAGAGTATTGGTTTTAAGAAAAGAGTAAAGTTTAGCGCACGCAGATGTTGTTCAATGGACTTCGTATAGTGGATAGAAAAGCTTCTTCACTCCCCGCAAACCTTTTTCTGTTCTGAAAATGATATCGCTGTTTTCCATAGGCACCCTTACTCTCCGTACAGTAATATAATTTCATTCACACTCATTGATTCTTGTCAATGAAATTGAATTACAACAAATAGTTTTTCTTACAACGAAATCAAACGTACCACGTTGTACGGCTTTTGTGTATTCCATAATTATCTTGATTCTTGAATGCAACATTTTTATTGAGTTATAAATTGAGAGTAAATGTTCAGAAGCTGAAATAAAAATATAAAATGTCAGATAAGGTGTCTGTTTTCTGTTTTCTAAAGGATAAACTGGACGACTGAAGCAATTGGTCATTTTTATTAGTTAGAAATCAGTTAACAATAAACGATGAATCAAGGTGTGAATGCGCACAAAATATATCATAATATATCATATCATATTATACCTGATCCTTCCACTATTCCTGTTGATGATATTTTAGCAACATGATCCACACCAATTCTCTCAGCCTCTTCTGTGGCTAACGTGAATGGTAACTCAATGAATAACATCCGCGTCTGCAAAACATAAAGGGTTTCAATGATTGCCAAAAATCTACAGACACAGATTCATGATATAAATAATGATTTATCACCTTGCCATCCTCAACATCAATAACAGATTCGTACATATTGATTGGTAGCTAAAAACAAATTTATGCAATATTTGATTTCTAAAAATCGTATTACACGAAAATATGGCATAAATGGAATTCTCTCATTAGATTTATCAGGTTGGCAAAGGACTGCACATGACTAAGGAAAGAACAGACTTATGTCATAAATTTAGTCTCATTCTCCTTTTCTTAATGGACTTAAATCTATTCAACTCAACACAGTGAACAAACCTCATTACTTCTCCCTGCAACTGGGTTAAGTTTGAGTAAAACAGGGCTTTCATTGATATGACACATCTACAATGACAACAATAACAGATAAAAGCAAGCTACAATATTCTAACTATTCAGACTTGCTAAATGCTATGGATTTAAAGTACTTACTTCCCGTAGAAAAACTGGAGACAAAATTAGTTGTGGGGGAGAGGGTTACAGCCCAGGTGCATTTTTACAAATTCTGAGGATGACATATTGTTATACTAGCCTGTTGATGCACTTTAAGGTCAGTTTCATTTGCTGTACTGCCTGTTGTGTACCAGCCAAGAAAATCCAAGTCTTTAAAAACCTGCGAAACTGTTAAATTAAGCTATTTTAATTCTGTATACTTCCACAGAAATGCACAACAATGATGCATGCTTATGGCTCAAGGTGTAGACAGAAAAGGTTTAATATTTGTAAAAGGAGAGTGGTTAAAGTCTTAAAGAACAGTTTATATTAAACATCTTTCAAGGGTTGGTAGACTGGCTGAATGAATAGGTCACACACCAATATACTAGCCCCTTGTTTTCCTAATTTTCTTTTTATAAACAATGTGTTTTCCTAATTTTCCCAAGACTGTATACTTGGCTGCCATTCCACTAACTTTGTCTCAACATTATGCAATCCTAGTCAATTCTGAATTGTTTTCTAACATTGCAGCATGTTGCTCTCACTGTTACTTACATTGCTCTGCTTTAGCATGGTAATAATCTGTATTAATAATGACATCAGTGTCAACCATATCATATTGTAATTCAAATGAATTTAGTATCTCCATGCTTCTTCCTTCCTGTGTGCCAAGTAATGCACCAAATACTATAACATAAATTAAAAACTCCATTATAGTCATAATCAGGAAAAGAATGACAATGATATTACATATGTTATTACATATGTACAAGTACATGTAGTGAAGTAATTAGATACTTGTACATACGTATGTACAATTATACAATTTGAAAATTATATTTTTCAAAATTATACTTTTTATGGAGTTTCTATTGTTTTATATTTTATAAATTAATTTACTTTTAGCATTTCTTTAGTTGCATGTAGTTTAATGTTATTTATACACCACTGTGCCATCAAACATCACAAATCCATGCCAAAGCTCTTTGGCATAGTGGACTAAACCATTTGACTTTTTTGCAAATTAAATTTGCAAAAAATGCACCTTAGTTTAATGATTTAAGTGGAGCCAGTTTGGCCCAGGCCAAATTAGTTTCGGAGTACTACAAATATGGGTACAACAACTTTTGTGCTTTTGCCCATATATACCACAACATTTTGCAGTCCTTCAGCTGTTTTTTGTAGACCTTCTAATTGTTCAGCTGAACTGGATACCGACGGGGAGACAAAAAGTTGGTCAACCCAAGGAGACATGGCGACGGTGGACAAAGAGAGATGATCGTTTGGTTGGGTGACCTGGGGCAAGGCTGCACAGATGGCAGGCAACCAGGTGGAGTGGTGGACGTTTGTGGCTTCCCTATGCAATGACTGGCTCTCAAGGGACCCGTAGCATATGCTAATTGTTGTGAAATGCAGGATGATTGGCTATTTTGTACGTTTCTGCAATTGTGCAGCTTGTGCCCGTCCCCAATATCTACCCCATACCAGCCTTGTAAATGCCAACAAATAGAAATGTGAAAGTATTAGAATAACCACAGTGACCATCAAACAGTAGCAAAGTATCAAGACTAACTGACGGCAATATTAAATAAAAGAAGCTTACTACATTTTCTAAGTCCGTCAGTGAACATTTACTTATACAACGTATAAATTCTGAAAAATCTATGAAAGTTTTATCCTACCTTGGGGATTGCCGCCATCTGCTTGCGCTCTTATTCTTGTGTAGTGATCTGATATATTCATGATAACTAAAGGATGAAGTTGAACACAAACACTTCTAGTATTCCCCACAGATGATGACACAACAACGCTCTCCTTGGCCGCCATCTTGTCTTATTTCTGGCCCAGGTTTCCGCCCGAGATCATAGAAGAACAATAGAACAAATTCTCTCCAAACATGGCTGTCACAAATTCAGGAGTGGAATATCGAGAAAGGTGCGTAAAGTTTACAGTTTAAGTACATTCACTTTTGGTAGTTTGGTCCAATTATTTTGCTGGTATAGTTTATAAATTAATAGCTACGGATTATGATTTTAGGGTTTGCGGTGGCTGTCTTGTGATATTATACACATATTAAAGGAGATTCATGACCCGACCGTCAAGGCGTCAAATAGGATGAAATAGCCGTCGCGCTCTCCTTTATACTAGTAAAGTATGTAAGTAAAAAATGTTTAAAATGGTTCTTCGTTTTCTACATACAAAAAAGAGGGGCCAGTGTATTTTTAGGTAGATTATTTTAGCATACAGTACATAATACTTTGTAGTCGTACATATTATATATAAATGTTGAATGTATATATGCAGCTATGACGATTTTCATCAAACTTGTACAAACTGTTTCAAAACAAAACCTACAGGTCTAGTGCGGTTTTCTAATTTTTTCCTACTGGATTGCTTTATATATTCTTCATGTTGTTAAAACCAAAAAATATTATTAAATTTATGATCTACAGTAAAATTCCATACAATGAAAAACATCACCTGTTGACCCTTGCATGTAATATTAATTTCTTCTTAATATTTTATAAACCCTTTACTTGTTATCATGTGTCTTGTAGGTCACATCATTGAGGTATGGCAGCTAGCAAAGATCAAGTTGAAGAACTCTGTCCTCATATAACTCTAACAGATGTTGGAAAATACTCTTTGGCACAACTTTGTGTGTACATTTTGTCTAATATAAATGAAACCCAATCCGATGTTGTTTGGTCTCAATCATATATTTCAAAAATTGTTGAAGATTTAGGTCTGCCCTTGTCTGTAGCAACATCGTTCCATTTGATGCTAGATGAAACCGAGGGAAGTGAGGATGATAAAAACATTGAACTATTGGTAAATACTCTAAAAGATGAGGCAAGTCTTAGTGAGGACATCAGTTTATTGGGTCAGGAATTGATTCGTTTATCCATAAAGCAAGGAGGCTATGATGCAAGAGCAAGGGTTTTGATTTATATTTTTGCATGTAAATTGGGAACAAGAGAAGAGGAGATTGAATCATATGAAGATGACTTAGCAGATCGTTTGAATGTTCTTATTGAACAAGATACAGAAGTTCATGAAGAAGCTGACAAAAGGAAGTCGTACAGGAAAAAGAAAAAAGCATTTATGATAGGGCTTGGGGTTGTTGCAGGTGGAGCAATTATTGGACTAACTGGAGGATTAGCTGCTCCTGTTGTTGCTGCAAGTGCAGGTGCATTGATTGGAGGAGGGGGAGCAACATTCTTAGCCTCATCTGCTGGAATAGCATTTATCACATCTGTATTTGGAGCAACAGGTGCAGGTCTAACCGGTTATAAGATGAGTCGACGTGTTGGTATGACTGAGGAGTTTAGTTTTTTACATCTGTCCGACTGTATGCACCGTTTGCACGTGACAATATGTGTATCTGGCTGGCTAATGGAAAGTGGCACTGTAGAGTTTATCACCCAGTGGTCAGCACTTTCACCATCACTAGAAGCTTACTCATTAGTGTGGGAAAGTAAATTCTTGTTAGAATTGGGCTCAGCAATTCGGGATATAATTACGACGAATGTGTTAGGTACAGCAGCAACAGAAGCTCTCAAATATACTGTTTTGCAAGGTATCATGGCAGCTATTGCATGGCCTGTCACTCTATTGAGTGCTGCGTACTTGATCGATAATCCCTGGAGTGTGTGTGCTAGCCGTGCTAAAGAAGTTGGCAAAGAACTAGCACGAGTTCTATTATTACGCAATCAAGGAAAACGCCCAGTAAATCTGGTTGGTTTCAGCCTGGGTGCACGTGTAATATACTATTGTTTGGAAGAGCTCAGTGCACACGCTGACTCCGGGGGAATAGTTCAGAATGTGATAGTACTCGGAGCACCAGTAAGCGGAAATGCTGACAAGTGGCAAAGACTTACAGATGTTGTTGCTGGTACAATTTTTAACGGGTTTTGCCGTAAAGATTGGTTCCTGAGATTCATCTATAGAGCTTCTTCATTGCGTGCTTCCATTGCTGGTTTATGCGAGATTCCTTGGAAGAGCAAGAAGATGATCAACCTTGATCTCACTGAAATCATTAACGGTCATATGGACTATTCTGATCCTGAAAATCTAAGAATAATTTTTGAAATGATCGGAGTAAGAACGAACAGCAATAAAAGGCGATTATCCATTGATTCCAAAGAGGATTCTACGTATTGTTTTGTTGATCATATGCCAGAGAAGCAAACAGATACTGCCAGCAACACTCCTGTCGCTGAAGATATCACTTAGTGTATTAAAACAACATGTTGAAGAACAATGGCATTCTCTGTTTGAAGCTTAATTCTGACAATCGGACATCTGACAATGAAACTGTTAATAGCTAAGTTGTAAAACATAAACGTGGACAAAAGCAATTGTAAAACATAGCCATATGGTAAGAGTTAGATTTACCCATCCTTTTCTCCATGTTTTAACGGAAGAAACCGTCATTAGGCGGAAGAATGACAGACTGCTTTAATAGATAAAGGCTCGTCTGCGGGCGTTTTATCAACAGCCACAGATAAAGGCTCATTTGCGGACATTTCACCAACGGATTTCCTGAAGTAGGTCAACAACAACTTAGTGTGACTAAAGCTATAAAAGCATTACAAGGAATCAAGTTCCATCAGGCTACTGAACATTGTCATTGCTGACATCGCAGTAATACCGTTTATGGCTTCTCTTTTAAACTTTTGCCTTGCAAATATGTGTGGGTTTTAATAAATGTGAGGGGTTGCATATGATATAAACGCAGTATTTGTGACTAAACAGTTATAAAAATATTTATTTGTAAACAATTATATACTACAATATAATAGTGCAAAGTGATATATGTTCATTGTTGAACGTGAAGAAGTATTAAATAGTTATTACAGTATGCTCAAAAACGTTTCTGATTTTAATATTTGGGCTTCGAAATACTTAAAAAATTAGATATTCTATTTAGCAGTGCAATTTGGCCAGCTGATTTGGTATGTCTAAAGGATATATTTTAATTTATTTGATTTTTATATGTTGTTTCATGGGTGACACCAATTAGTAATTAGCAATATATTTACAGGGCAACCTCTACACTTTTACAGTGTCTCTTTGCGAAGGACCAGTGAGCTTTTACGAAGGTGCAACTTGATGAATTATGTTTTACCGGGCAATAATGAAGGTGAGCTCATGTACTGGCTCATCACCTTCAAGTTAGATCGTAGTTCTTTGCCCTAGAATGGATGGAGGGACATATTACGTACGTGGTCAGGACTAGAAAGCAATTATAGAACACCTATAGCCATTCCAACTCCTAACAGTGAATTCTATATAGAACTGCCTTGTTATATGTTACTGGACTCAATTGGACGCATAATCTCGGAACAAGAATGAACATTATTTTTAAAGAACTATGCAGTTCAGTTCTACAAACTACAATTAATCCTCTAACAGATCTTTAACATTATACCCCTTTGAACTGGTATTCTATGTACCCAATAGTCAAAGAAAACGCGGTAGAAGGGGCATGTTGGTAGAAGAGGGATATTGGGTGTAGAAATGGGATCGGCAGGGAGCAAAACTCGGGTATTTTTACGTATGCCCGTTCACGGATAAGAGCTAAAACATCTGTGTTTACTATTAATGTCGGTTCTCCGGTGGAGGAGAGTAGAAATGTGGGCCCTACTCCTACTACATCAACCAACTTACCGTCGACTCATCGCAAGTACCAAGAAGTCGTGATCGCAAATTTTCTCTTGTAGAAGGTTGAAGTGGACTTCCACAACCTAATGACATCCCTCCAGGCGATACACTGCATAACAAGGAATATAAGATGTATTCACATATAAAGCACGCCATAACATGTCGTAGCCTACAGGGTGGGGTGGGGGCTAAGAACATACGTCACAGTTTATCATGAAGTATATAAATACAACGCATGGTTTGGAAGGTAAAGACAAGACAGTACCCGGGACAAGTACGCCGCACGGGTAAATTTTTATTAGGGTATAGAGGGTGGGGTCGAGGGTTAATAAATGCGTTCATATATTCAAGAAAGAAGAAATATAATAAAACTCACTTTGAGTTGGAACGTTTCACAACATTCACTTTACTTCGTGGAGTTTTGTTCATTGAAAATGCCCGACTAACTTTCTTTGTCGTTTTCTTTGCAACCCTTTTTCAAAAACAGAACATGGTTGATTGTTCCTGTGCACTGACACACACATACTATAAGCGCATAACACTTTTCGTATATTTTCATTAATGTAGTGTCTTGTGCGAAGTGAAGTCCTCATAACAGTTGTCAGAAAATAAACAATTTCCTGCGCCTCATAAAAAGTGAATTCACCTACCTCACGGCTCGACCAATTTTAGTTTGGTTTGTTAAAGCAAGATCACTTTTGGTTAGAGCTAACGTACTGGCATCCAATGTCGTAATGCAGTCCGCCTAAATAACAGTAATAATTTTGAACAACTCAGTACCGTATGTTTTCACATGCCTACACTGTGCATCCCAGACATATACACGAAAATGTTATGTTAAACACGGTGTTTAGTGTTTAAGATTCCTAGAATCTCATCCACCACACTTGTTTTAGCTAAATTTTAAAGTAGAGAAGAGAAATGCCATTCGTAGGACAGGACGATAAATCAGCGATTTCTTACTCTGTTAGTGATAGAAGTGGCATTTGCCAGACCAGTGACGAGTTTCTCCAGCCATGCTTCCTTGGTAATCTCGTCTGGAACAAGACGCAGCATCGCGAATCTTTCAATCATATCACTTGAACGGTACATGAAACCAAACAGATCGTGGTTCTCTAAAAACAGTCGGCAACAATGTGAGAAGACAAGCAACAAGTCTGCGGGTGAGTTGAGACTGCTGAATCTCCGACATGAAACTTCGCTGCTTCAGGTTTTACGTGTGGGTTAGCTACAGATTAGATTTACAGCAAAAAATGCAAATACCAGGGAAAATCAAACTTTTTATAACGGTGTATTTACTCAAGTTGAATAGGTTGTTTCAGAAATCGCCCCTGGTTAAAGAGCTTTTCTTAGTAAGAGATAAGGATGGAAAAATTACATAAACCAAAACAACAACAGGTATAATAACAATTAAATAATTTGCCTTCAGTCTCCTTAATATCAACGACTTTTCGTAATTGTGACAGTGGAATAAACTCCAGATGTTTGTACGCCCTTTGTGGTGTTTTGCTTGCTGGACTTTTCATAGGAAAATGGGCAGAACTGCTTTTGGTTACACCAGCACGTCTTTTAGTGACCTGAAGTAATCAAAAACAAATGTTTGAACATTTCATCTTTAATTGAATTGTTCAGCCATTGATGTTTATCTCAGGCTCTAATATGCATGCATGGCACCTGGCAAACAAAGGAGTACATGGCCTCTACATATGAACATAACTGTTAGACAGTTTAATGTTGTTGCATGGTCAAAGTGAGTACGGTATAAACAAACCTCAAGACTGTCACTGAATAAGAACAACGTAACAGGTTGTGTTTTACCGCAGAACACATCACTCAGTTCAAATCCATCCATTTTCGCAATACATGCACGATGCGAAGATAAAATGTTTGGCTATAAGAAATCACAACATAATAAGATCGATACTTTTTCTATCAAATCAAACAGAATTGTAATATTCTCTTCTTTCGAAGCTGGGGAAATGAAGTATCGTAATAATTTTGAAGAGCCCCGCTTACCGGACAGTTGTCGATATCTTGTATTATTTCAAACATTTGCACCTGACTGTCGGTCTTACGTTTATACTCGTTGACATGTCTAGAAAACCAACGAGGTCATGTTATATATGCTTGGCCACAAAAACCATTCTTTGTTAGTTAGAGTTGCAGTATATCTGGAGTATAAGGAAGGAGAGATCGACGTGCAGATAAAAATGAACAATTCTGAAATACTAACGTCATAACGGTTTTAAGAGCATCTATAGCCTTGCCAAGTGGGACTATATCAGGGTTATCGGAGTCTGCTTTCTTCGTTTGCTTTAGAAGATCTGTTAATGATACATATATCAGTAAAACCAAACGGTACGTCGGATACGAACTATTCTTTGAGAAGGGCCTTTTCTTTAGGCAAATAAAATGGTCAAACCGGTCATATATATGGTGAAAATGCATTTTTTGTGTCAAGCAGATGTAAATATAATGGGCGCCCCTAAAAGACACATCAAGAGCTCGATGATGACCGAGTGTGCACGTGGACCAATATCAGCCTGCGAAGAATGAATTAACCTACCGGTCAGAAGTAAGTTCATGCTTGGAAGTCTTTGGACAGGTCTAATCAACAATTCTGCCAGCGTTTGTCGCCCACACTCAGGTTTTCCGAGGCAAATCTGAAACAAATAATGCAACCAACGCTTACGTTTCCTGGAGCAATGATGAATGTTTTTTATAATCCCATTGCCTTCCATAGCGGATCTACATAGAGCATGTAATGTACGTATCACAGTCACATATAACAACGTGATTGGTGCCGTAGAGTTATTTAATATATCAATACCTTTAGAAAAGCATGAAATCGCGGTCTCTCCCTGTCGCATTTAACAACCGTTTCTTTGCTCATTTCGAAGAAATTCACAAAAACCGGATACACTTTCATGAGAACATCAGCCTATATAGTTGAAGTTGGTGAGTGCAACAGTCTGATTAAAAGAATATTTCTTAATCATGCAGTTAGAAAACTACAAGTGACACTTCTCATCTCAGTAATGTATACATGCATGCATATGTACGTACATGTTTCAAAATGATATTTCCAATGCACTTATCTTCCGTCCACGAGGATAACATCTTTTCCAATTCCATCTATACAAGATATGTACATGACGATGTGTAATCAGAAAGTACGTGAAGAAACGCAAACATCCAAACCACACAACAATACTGTAAGCTTAAACAATGATAGTCGATCTTCTATAGTATTTCACACCAGCCGTACCATCATTTTATGATGCACTTCCAGGATATCTGGTAAACTTCCAAAAATCGTTTTGATTTCTTCTGGTGCGAGGATTGGTCCAGCTCGCTGATCTTCTTGTTCCAAAGGCATTTTAAAAACCTACATAATATGCGAAGTAGTGCGTCTTCCCCCTTTTTTGAACATGCATTAAGAGATAGAATTTACGCTTTAGAGATAGCATTTCGATGGAGTTCATTGGTTAATTGTGTACGCACCTTCAATATTGTATTGAGTATTTCGACATAATTTCGTTCCGTCTGCAGAAGTTCAAGAGCGACTTGATGTCTCGCTGTTTTTGGTTTTAAAGGTGAGATGACGTTTGCCGGCGTTGCTTGTCGGGGTGTCATTTGGCCACTGGGTGTACCAAACAAATCTACAGAAAGTCAATGGTTAAAGGGTATTAAAGTAAAAGTTAAACCGTATTATTTTAGAGAAAAGATTTACGATACATTTGTCTAGGAGTCACATTCACATGCCAGTCTAGCGCCTGCTTTATTTCAGGTAATTATACTCTTAAAAAAATCCAGCATACCATCTTTTGGAGTTCCTGGCGATGCCATAGTGACGTCCAGTAATGAACCAGAGAATGAACTCACGGATAATACATCACCACTTCTTCGTTTTGCTGCATGACAAGAAGAGTTGGGTGAAAGAAGTTCCATTACGTCAGTCTCCTTCATACGCCGTCTTTTTCGACTTTTCTTGTTGCTCGACGGAGTTCCACATGATCGAAGTAAAGGCTCGGTATGGAGCTATAGTATTTACCAGAATAATCACTAAGAAGTGGCGATATCATTCACGATAGTAGCTGAATATCTTTGTATATCGTATAATTCACATCAGTATAGTTGTGTAGCCTAATTATTATTTATTTATTATTATTTATTTTAAAAATTTAGTATAGATACATAAACTACATATACTACACTAGGCGCACAAACAATAGGACACGAGGTTCCCAAGGTTTGAACACCACCTGGGAAGTATAGTTCTTGTTGATTCTTTCTATTCCATCCTCGCTGTATCTCTTTTAAATTTTGTCAACTTACTTTCTATTTTTACTTCCTTTTTTGTTTTATAATAGAGAGGAAATCTGATCATCAAACATGATCATTTATATTTATCCTCGGAGTTACTATTGTCGTGTATTTTATTAAAATTCTCGGGGATTATTGAAGTCGCGATATTTTTACGGGAACAGATTTGGAAAAAATCCTTCAACGAAAATTTAACCTGCACTTGATTCCAGTACAGTGTTCTGACTATACTGCGCTACAAAGTGCAGGGGTAATCACAACGACACAAGTTCATGTGGTGATGGGAATTAATATTATTTTATGTATTAGTTAAACTTGTAGATTTTTTTACCGCATCTTACGCAAGATATAACATTATAAGTTTATGTCAGAGTGATTTTCAAATGACTTTTCACCGTACGGTTGCCAAAATCAACATGCAACCATTTTTTATATAATGTTCAAATTTACCTGAAGTGGTCGCACGAACATATCGTGTGAAAGAGCTGTAATTACATGATATACTTAATTAACAATCGAATTCTCTGACGCACCTGCTTGAAGAGATACAAAGCCGTGTCTGCACAAGCATCTACTTGAATACTCGCCCAAAACCACTAAAAACAGAAAATATACAAGCGTGGATGTCCTAGCTAGCTTGGTTGTGCAAGATACCCTGGTGCTCCAAATTACGAAGATAACGCGGCCGGTATGTTCAGGAAATTTCATTCAGAAAATTTACCTCTTGTTTCACAATTTTCACTTGTGCCAGGTCTATTGCTTCCTGTGGTACATCTTGAACACCATCTTCAACAACCACATGAGTAAATATCTTATCCTCAAGACTGCAAAACGTACCACCTGAAAATGAACAATTTCAAGATTTGAATCCTGCACCCAAAACGTTTTGTCATAGGCTGAAATTTGCGCAATTCCCAGCGAGCACGGCAAGAACAGCAATATACGTAGTTGCATTTATATGTAGTGCTTATCATATTCCAAATAATGATCACTGCTGCATGTCGTTGTGTTTTCAACTGTTTTTTATCATATACAGAATAAACATTAGCATTAGCATTTGGGTTAAGGGTTTAGGCAATGTTTTAAGATATCAGGACACATATACTGTAACATAACATTACTGAAACCAAAATTTGAATATCGCCTTAGAGGCGCAGGCGTAAATTTACTTGCTGTGTTTTTTTAAAGCTCAAATCTTGGGTTAACAAGATTTTATTCGTAGTAATATACATTGTTTACTAGTGTCGTGGTGTCCAATCGTCTCTATAGGTTTTAGTTCGCTAACAGCACAATGCACCTTGTTCAATTGTGGTTTCTTCCATGTGAGCTTTTTCTTCTTCAGAGAAGCCAAAGAACGTCAAACAACAGTCAAAAAATGGCGGAAGTTTATATTCCATCTAATAATAAAAAGCATTGCCTGAGAGTTGACTGAAACAAGAAATTCTGGAACATGAGATATAGAGTGGAGAGATATATAACTGCGCCGATCATAATTGTACAATTAGAACTCAAATACATAAGGAGCGAATTACAGCTTTACAAGAACTTTATATCATATGGAGAGAAAAAATCACTTCATACCATTTCTTCATTATCAGCTCTCCATGTCCTGTAAATTTATACATGAAATGCAAAAAATATAAGCAAAAGCACACACGATTCATCATCAGGACGGAAAATAGTTCGCAAAAAATGACTTACAGGTTAGTTCGCATGTCCCAACATTGATGGATCCACTCTTCAGTCATAATACAGGTTCCTAATCCAACAGCAGCCTGAATGAAATGAACTAGGTATTAAGATGGTTGGCAGAATTTTAAATTGACAGCACAATTTTATAACAACATACAAGAAAATCATTACAAGAATGAGAAACTATGATTGTGTATTTGACAGATATCTTTGCTATACATCATGTACCCTATATTTATCTCCATGAACAGAATTAGCAACAAGATGGGTGACTCTGCCATTGAAATCTCTTCGCACACTTCCACCCATGAAATGAACCAACGCACACAATTTAGACAGTTTACTCTTCTCTTTAAATCCCGTAAAGCAGACTACAATATTTGACATTGAGGTACAATAGAGAGGTCTTGAGGAACATGGCAATGGTTGACATTCTTCAGCACAACTGAATACAACAGGAGGTCCAACAATGCGATGATCCTCTTTCCAAAGATAGTCAAAATTCTCTCCCTCAAAAGGCTCACACAAAAATACAACTTCAACTGCATCAGACATGCATGAGGCATCTGCAATGTCTCTGCCATCATCAGAATATATCACTTCAACATCTAGCATCTACAGGTAAGTAAATCAAGATAATTAGAAACGGAAGTATTTTTTCAGGTAATTATTTACTTTTGTCATTTATTTTTTTATTTAATCACCCTATAGTTCTCAAGACAAATCACACCTGTTCGTTAATTAAGGCAGACCAGGTGCTCAATTTTAGGTACTAGCTTAGGTTAACCAGGTGCTCAATTTTAGGTACTAGCTTCAAAAGAAAAACTTGCTGAATTGCTGCAAAGTTCTAGCATGCATTGAAAGGTTCATAATCTTTACTTATAAGTTATAACATGTAATTGCTAATTTCACAATGTCTTGCAAAATCATCTCAGTTACAGTAAGACCTCATGAGTTGCAAGGGCCTATATCTTGATATCCTGCAGGATATCCTTATCAAGATTCTGTTACATGATATGTTGGCATTTCTAATCCTGGCTAGATCCAATCCCTGCCTTAACATTGATCAAATCAGGTGTGCATGAAATTAATAATTTTATGAAAACTGATATATCCCACCATGCATCACTAATACAGTGGACAAATAGTAGTGATACATACTAAAGAAAATAAATGGAGATATATAAAAATAAACAATCACCTTTAAAGCATTATTGAGTGCTTCATTGTTCTGATTATGTTGTCCAACAACACATACTCTTGTAACCATACCAGGTGCACTCGATTCTAAAAGCAATAATTATGACAGGCATATCCCAATACATCCACTCCAGCTTAATGTTTTTCTATCCATAGAAACTGCAGTTGGAGTGGGTTAAAGCTTATTAAAATAACATTTTTGCAATTTGCACAGTTGGTGCAACAAATTCAAGAGTTGCGACAAATTTTAAGTTGTGGTCAAGACAAGTTGCAAAGTGTATATATCTGAAGCAGTGCACCTAAACAGCTTCAGTCACTTTAAATGTTTGAAAATATATTTAGGTTAGACCCAGTTGGAAACAACTTTAAACATCAATGGATTAACATGATGCCACATGTTAAAACAAAGTATAGGATTTCAACCATGAAATCTTTATCACCCATTTAGAATGCACACAAATTCATCAAAACGTTAATGTATTGAATAATATATAAGTTTATATTCATTCTATGCAATCATTTAGCCTATGAAATACTTTATTCGAGCATTATTATTTCGGGTACAATTTTACAAATATATTTCACAACATTTTATCGTTTTTATGTAACGAATGTGTGTGAGCAGTGTGATCATCGCATAATTTTTAATATGTTGATAAAAACCTTCACAACAATTTTTATAGCCGAACACCTATTAAGAGCAACAACGATCAAAGGTGCATCGAAAAGTACTAGTTACACAGAGTAGAATAGGAAGAGATAAACGATGAAGCAGACATACCACCATTCCGAGGTTCTTGACGTGCCATGATGGCCGATTCTGTTGTTGCATCGTCAGTAATCATGCTGTAATATTAGCACAACATCAAACAGTTATCTTTTCTTGTTTAAGTGTAACGTTATATCGTGAAACGGTAGCTTTGTATTGAGGTAAAACTCCTAAAATTTGTCCAGTATATGCATATTTTCTTTCAGACGAAGAGTTCTTTATATTTTTGAAAAACGCGCGTCAGTTGGGCCTGGTTTGAATGTTTACCAAATATGGTCAAAATATTATCCACACTTGTACCACATTATCCATCTCATAGGTAATTGCAAAAATATCCCCATGATTAGGGCAGCATTAGGGACGTGTTTTATTGTTTGATTTTTGGAAATATTCGTAATATTCTCGTATGTTTGCATGGTGACACCAATAGATAAACTAGCTTGTAGGTACACCACGTATGTCTGTAGGTACACCACGTATGTCTGTAGGTACACCACGTATGTCTGTAGGTACACCACGTATGTCTGTAGGTACACCACGTATGTCTGTAGGTACACCACGTATGTCTGTAGGTACACCACGTATGTCTGTAGGTACACCACGTAAGGTTGTAGGTACACCACGTATGTCTGTAGGTACACCACGTATGTCTGTAGGTACACCACGTATGTCTGTAGGTACACCACGTATGTCTGTAGGTACACCACGTATGTCTGTAGGTACACCACGTAAGGTTGTAGGTACACCACGTATGTCTGTAGGTACGCCACGTAAGGTTGTAGGTACACCACGTAAGTGCGCAGGTACGCCACGTAAGTCTGTAGGTACACCACGTAAGTGTGCAGGAACACCACGTAAGTCTGTAGGTACGCCACGTAATGCCCGGTTAACGGACCGAAAGCTTTGCATAGCAGTATTAATTAAAGACTTACGTGGTGACCTACAATTTACTGAATTAATTTCGTTTAACCGAGGCGAGGAGTTTCTGCATGCATGTATTTCTAGTATCTTTGTAATTTTGCATGGTGATATCACATAAATAAATTAGCTTCTAATTATACCACGCAAGTATTTAATAATGCAAAGCTTTCGGTCAATACATACGTGGTCAGGGCCGCCGAGGGAAATTCTGGGGCCCGGGGCAAATTTTTTTTCTGGGGCCCTTGGTCGAGTCCGCCGGAACTAATTGCCGGAACTGAATGGCGTATTCGACTATGGTCGAGTCCGCCGGAGAACGGCGTATTCGACCTTGGTCGGCGTATACTAAACACAAAATAAACAAAACATTTTGATAAACAAGGCCGTTCCGTCATTTATATTGAGTTTCCTTTCGAGAAAATCACTATTTGGACGTTAAAAACCAACAAGGATTGTTTCAAAACACTAAAAGAATATCAAAACACTAAAATTTCTCGCTAAAAACACTTAAAAAACGTTTAGGCGTTTAAATCTTGACATTTCCAAGCGTGTGCCTTATTAGTCGTTTTCTGTGCATATACTTGTTAGGGACCGCCCCCCGAGACCAGGAAAAGCTTAAATACGTTAAATTTATCTTCGCTCTCAGGGCTAGCCACTGTAGCTGATTCGTCTGACGCTAGGCTTGTGGCGATGCATACTCTGTTTCTCACTGAGACGTAACGGTTAGGTGCACATACATCATGGTCTGGGGGCCGTAGTGCATCTCCCCCTTAGACGGCCGTTAAGATGTGAGTTATGGGGGGGAGTTCTTCCTATAGCAACCGCCTTGCACCTTTCGTAGTTGTAACTATGCTGAATATTGCAGCCGGTTGTATAACCAGGTTAGATTGTGGCATAGGCTGGATGATCTCTTTTGGGTGTTTTTCCCCCAATTTTTTTTTTGGCACGCTTTCCAAATTTTTGTTTTACATACAAAAAATACTGTTATTAAACATATTTTGGAACGGATATGGTTCGCAAAAAAATTTATATCGACTAAAAACCACCTTTATATAATTAACCCCTGAATACTCTCCCCAGTCTCTGCATGATATAGGAGGCAATGAATTAAACAATAGAACAATACCAGAAATCATTCATAAACAGCAAACATCTTCTTCAACCTTGCAGCAGTAAAACAGCAACAAAGACATTCAGACAGTCAACTCTGCGTTCTCGTTAGTGCCTTCAGCCCGAGAACTGTCAATCAAAAGTCTGGATAAATCCCCTGGCTTTCCCTGCGAGTTTTCAAATTCATATTTCAAAATATCTGACATTGAAAACAACTCAAGATTTTCTACTAATTGTGGATTTAGCTTATTCATTCATACTGATCCATGAGATAGTTTGAACGAAGACTCCACCATTGTTGGGTATACCAGTGCAGTATGGTAATACAGGTATTATCCCAATGATAGACCATAATCTCGATGAATCAGCCTGAATTCTTCTGTAGCTAAATTTTCATTCCACAACAAGAAACACAGCATGTTTATGGCCATTTTAAGAGCACATTTAATTGTTATTCCCAATTGATTGCATATAAAATCCAACTTTGATTTAATTTCAAATACATAACTTCGAGGTGTGGGACGGCACTTGTAGAGAAAGTGGACAAACCTACTGCGACCATTCTATTCCTCGCCACAATGAATCAAACCGCGCAGGTATTATACACTGAAGCCAGAGTTAGCCAAACTTAACATCAGCGCACGGGGGTGCTTTTCAACATCTCTCCGCTTAATGAAGGCTCGTCAAGACAATTAACCAAGACCGTTATACACACTTTATATACAAACTTGTGGACACTTGATCTCTTGCTCAGCACACAAGCATCACCGAAACCTGTTCTTTGTTTAAAGGCCGCACCTACTCCTTCGAAATAGTTGGGACAAATACCCAATGCTACAATAAACTGGATAACAGTCTTGATGATTTTATGATCTTTCACGCTCAGATCCATCACGGGATCTCGTGTTTATATTAATTTAAGAAGATATATTAAAGAGCGCAAACATAACCGATTAAAGATCAATCGAACAGATCTACTATCGATGTTTACTGACCCTGTTCCCTGCTCTTGAGCTCGGTTCTTGCTCAAATATTCCATAAAACGACAACTTCAATTCCTGACATCAGCTGTTGGAAGATAGAATTGCACTTTGTCCGCCATATTGAATTGGAACAACTGAGTCAGCACTTTTCCTTTGAAAGGGGAGGCTGGGAGGGGAGGGGAGGCCAGGCCAGGGAGGGATTCAACCAAAACCAACACCGTCATATCATGGATAGTTAGTAAAAGAAATAAAGAAGAAAGATCGGACTTAAATATTCCCCGAAAACAGAACAGAATCAGCGAAGATAAACAATAAAAACTTGTGAAATAAATACATACAATTTAGGCCCAAAGTGTACCGGCGAATCAAGCGGTTATACAAAACACAAAATGAACAAAACATTTTAGTATAAAACTAAGCCGTTCACTCATTTATATGACTTTCCTTTCGAGAACGATGACTATTTTGACGTTAAAAACCAACAAGGATTGTTTCAAAACAATAAAATTTCTAAAAGAATATAAAAACACTATAAATTTCTCGCTAAAAATACTTAAAAAACGTTTAGGCGTTTAAATCTTGACATTTCCAAGCGTGTGCCTTATTAGTCGTTTTCTGTGCATATACTTGTTAGGGACCGCCCCCCGAGACCAGGAAAAGCTTAAATACGTTAAATTTATCCTCGCTCTCAGGGCTAGCCACTGTAGCTGATTCGTCTATGACGCTAGGCTTGTGGCGATGCATACTCTGTTTCTCACTGAGACGTAACGGTTAGGTGCACATACATCATGGTCTGGGGGCCGTAGTGCATCTCCCCCTTAGACGGCCGTTAAGATGTGAGTTATGGGGGGGAGTTCTTCCTATAGCAACCGCCTTGCACCTTTCGTAGTTGTAACTATGCTGAATATTGCAGCCGGTTGTATAACCAGGTTAGATTGTGGCATAGGCTGGATGATCTCTTTTGGGTGTTTTTCCCCAATTTTTTTTTTGGCACGCTTTCCAAATTTTTTTTTACATACAAAAAATACTGTTATTAAACATATTTGGAACGGATATGGTTCGAAAAAAATTTATATCGACTAAAAACCACCTTAATTAACCCCTGAATACTCTCCCCAGTCTCTGCATTATATAGGAGGCAATGAATTAAACAATAGTACAATACCAGAAATCATTCATAAACAGCAAACATCTTCATCAACCTTACAGCAGTAAAACAGCGACAAAGACATTCAGACAGTCAACTCTGCGTTCTCGTTAGTGCCTTCAGCCCGAGAACTGTCAATCAAAAGTCTGGATAAATCCCCTGCTTTCCCTGCGAGTTTTCAAATTCATATTTCAAAATATCTGACATTGAAAACAACTCAAGATTTTCTACTAATTGTGGATTTAGCTTATTCATTCATACTGATCCATGAGATAGTTTGAACGAAGACTCCACCATTGTTGGGTATACCAGTGCAGTATGGTAATACAGGTTATCCCAATGATAGACCATAATCTCGATGAATCAGCCTGAATTCTTCTGTAGCTAAATTTTCATTCCACAACAAGAAACACAGCATGTTTATGCCATTTCAAGAGCACATTTAATTGTTATTCCCAATTGATTGCATATAAAATCCAACTTTGATTTAATTTCAAATACATAACTTCGAGGTGTGGGACGGCACTTGTAGAGAAAGTGGACAAACCTACTGCGACCATTCTATTCCTCGCACAATGAATCAAACCACGCAGGTATTATACACTGAAGCCAGAGTTAGCCAAACTTAACATCAGCGCACGGGGGTGCTTTTCAACATCTCTCCGCTTAATGAAGGCTCGTCAAGACAATTAACCAAGACCGTTAATATACACACTTATACAAACCTTGTGGACACTTGATCTCTTGCTCAGCACACAAGCATCACCGAAACCAGTTCTTTGTTTAAAGGCTGCACCTACTCCTTCGAAAAGGCTGGGACAAATACCCATGCTACAATAAACTGGATAACAGTCTTGATGATTTTATGATCTTTCACGCTCAGATCCATCTGACACGGGAACTCGTGTTTATTTAATTTAAGAAGATATAAAGAGCGCAAACATAACCGATTAAAGATCAATCGAACAGATCTACTATCGATGTTTACGTTGACCCTGTTTCCCTGCTCTTGAAGTCGGTTCTTGCTCAATATTCCACAAAACGACAACTTCAATTCCTGACACTCGCTGTTGGAAGATGGTTTGCACTTTGTCCGCCATCTTGAATTGGAACAACTGAGTCAGCACTTTTCCTTTGAAAGGGGAGGCTGGGAGGGGAGGCCAGGCCAGGGAGGGATCCAACCAAAACCAACACCGTCATATCATGGATAGTTAGTAAAAGAAATAAAGAAGAAAGATAAGACTTAAATATTCCCCGAAAATAGAACAGAATCAGCGAAGATAAACAATAAAAACTTGTGAAATAAATACATACAATTTAGGCCCAAAGTGTACCGGCGAATCAAGCGGTTATACAAAACACAAATTAACAAAACATTTTAGTATAAAACTAAGCCGTTCACTCATTTATATCGACTTTCCTTTCGAGAACGATGACTATTTTGACGTTAAAAACCAACAAGGATTGTTTCAAAATAAATTTCTAAAAGAATATAAAAACACTATAAATTTCTCGCTAAAAATACTTAAAAAACGTTTAGGCGTTTAAATCTTGACATTTCCAAGCGTGTGCCTTATTAGTCGTTTTCTGTGCATATACTTGTTAGGGACCGCCCCCCGAGACCAGGAAAAGCTTAAATACGTTAAATTTATCCTCGCTCTCAGGGCTAGCCACTGTAGCTGATTCGTCTATGACGCGCTACGCTTGTGGCGATGCATACTCTGTTTCTCACTGAGACGTAACGGTTAGGTGCACATACATCATGGTCTGGGGGCCGTAGTGCATCTCCCCCTTAGACGGCCGTTAAGATGTGAGTTATGGGGGGGAGTTCTTCCTATAGCAACCGCCTTGCACCTTTCGTAGTTGTAACTATGCTGAATATTGCAGCCGGTTGTATAACCAGGTTAGATTGTGGCATAGGCTGGATGATCTCTTTTGGGTGTTTTTCCCCAATTTTTTTTTTGGCACGCTTTCCAAATTTTTGTTTTACATAAAAAAATACTGTTATTAAACATATTTGGAACGGATATGGTTCGAAAAAAAATTTATATCGACTAAAAACCACCTTAATTAACCCCTGAATACTCCCCCCAGTCTCTGCATTATATAGGAGGCAATGAATTAAACAATAGTACAATACCAGAAATCATTCATAAACAGCAAACATCTTCATCAACCTTACAGCAGTAAAACAGCGACAAAGACATTCAGACAGTCAACTCTGCGTTCTCGTTAGTGCCTTCAGCCCGAGAACTGTCAATCAAAAGTCTGGATAAATCCCCTGACTTTCCCTGCGAGTTTTCAAATTCATATTTCAAAATATCTGACATTGAAAACAACTCAAGATTTTCTACTAATTGTGGATTTAGCTTATTCATTAATACTGATCCATGAGATAGTTTGAACGAAGACTCCACCATTGTTGGGTATACCAGTGCAGTATGGTAATACAGGTAATATCCCAATGATAGACCATAATCTCGATGAATCAGCCTGAATTCTTCTGTAGCTAAATTTTCATTCCACAACAAGAAACACAGCATGTTTATTGCCATTTAAGAGCACATTTAATTGTTATTCCCAATTGATTGCATATAAAATCCAACTTTGATTTAATTTCAAATACATAACTTCGAGGTGTGGGACGGCACTTGTAGAGAAAGTGGACAAACCTACTGCGACCATTCTATTCCTCGCACAATGAATCAAACCACGCAGGTATTATACACTGAAGCCAGAGTTAGCCAAACTTAACATCAGCGCACGGGGGTGCTTTTCAACATCTCTCCGCTTAATGAAGGCTCGTCAAGACAATTAACCAAGACCGTTATACACACTTATACAAACCTTGTGGACACTTGATCTCTTGCTCAGCACACAAGCATCGCCGAAACCAGTTCTTTGTTTAAAGGCTGCACCTACTCCTTCGAAAAGGCTGGGACAAATACCCATGCTACAATAAACTGGATAACAGTCTTGATGATTTTATGATCTTTCACGCTCAGATCCATCTGACACGGGAACTCGTGTTTATTTCAATTTAAGAAGATATAAAGAGCGCAAACATAACCGATTAAAGATCAATCGAACAGATCTACTATCGATGTTTACGTTGACCCTGTTCCCTGCTCTTGAAGTCGGTTCTTGCTCAATATTCCACAAAACGACAACTTCAATTCCTGACACTCGCTGTTGGAAGATGGAATTGCACTTTGTCCGCCATCTTGAATTGGAACAACTGAGTCAGCACTTTTCCTTTGAAAGGGGAGGCTGGGAGGGGAGGCCAGGCCAGGGAGGGATCCAACCAAAACCAACACCGTCATATCATGGATAGTTAGTAAAAGAAATAAAGAAGAAAGATAAGACTTAAATATTCCCCGAAAATAGAACAGAATCAGCGAAGATAAACAATAAAAACTTGTGAAATAAATACATACAATTTAGGCCCAAAGTGTACCGGCGAATCAAGCGGTTATACAAAACACAAAATTAACAAAACATTTTAGTATAAAACTAAGCCGTTCACTCATTTATATCGACTTTCCTTTCGAGAACGATGACTATTTTGACGTTAAAAACCAACAAGGATTGT